ATTGGTGGAAAAGAAAGCATAGGACATATCGAGGAAAGCCACATACTGATACAGCGTCTTGCCCCGCGCCGCAGCCCGGTCGATGGCGCTCCGGAGGGCTCCTAGTAATGGGCTCCGCGCCCTTGTACGGAATCATACTGTGGACCCACAGATTTCGGGCGGACAGAATTGGATGTCTCGTGAAGAGTAGCGGGTGTCCGGTTCTCGCGCGGCGACTCTCTGTCGTTGACCGAGGCGCGAGCTCAGCTTCGTATTTGCATGGACGAGACAAGTCACAGCACCTGCGCTCCTCGTGTACTGAAATGTGTGTAGCTCTACTAGAGGCCCCAAATCCACTTAAAGCTGTTTGTCTGATGGGAGGTCCGGGCAAGTAGGACCGCCCTCCCGCGAGTTATATACTAAATATGGATTGACTGTCGTCCATCATGATGGCTGAGTGGTCCGTCGTCTGCCTGGGTAGGCACAGTACTGTGCCTTCCCGGGTAGTCGGCAGACCCCCTAAGTCGGCAATTTTACTATATCTCCCTCCATAGTACTCGATTACCTTTGTGCTTTTGTAAACATAGGTTTTCGTATGCCTGCTTTCATTTCCAGCTTGAACGAAACCGAACGGTGCAGTGGTTCTGGAGTCCCTTCCTGAGGACCAGCTCAGGCCGTTGTCACGCTGGCGAACATCTCGGCTGCAACGGCTTATGTCGGAGTTTGAAGCTCTGATCATGTCAGCCGACATCATTGTATGCTTCGAGCTACCTGCCCATAGAGCCCTTAAGCGTTGGATAAGCGGACCTTGAAGTATCACGCGTGATGGATCGTGATGGGCGTGTTACTTTTACGTGACTGCCGACTTGGGGGGTCTGCCGACTACCCGGGAGGCACAGTATGGGTGCGCTGCCCTTGTGGCGATGTGATCCGTATGATGGTTGCACAGGACGAAAAAGGCAAGTTGCATTCAAGAGAGGCGCGCAGATCGGTGTTCCACAAATTCTATACGAGATAGTAGCATGATGTGGGTCCAGCATGGGAGCACCCTGATTTGGCTCCCCGAACGCATTAATGCAGTGTCCCCCGAGCTCACCTCTGGCATACATCCCAGTGATATATAATGTCTGCGCCTGGCGAGCAAACAAGACATCCACTGTCCCCGTCATCAGAACCCCATTCACCTGTTCCTACCACCTGCTCCTTTGAAAATGACGACGAGGACCAACACCCGCGACGAGGATCCCGTGCCGAGCAATTATATCTCCAGGGATTCATGGGCTCCGATGGCATGGCCAACAGAAAGCTTATGCTTGGGGTACGTAGGCAACAACCGTGCTGCTTCATGGATCTCAATTCTCTTTGAAAATAGCTCGGAGCCGACGTATCAGTACATTGATGACATCATGTCGACCGATCATCAGCTTGCGCCGCCGCTATCGTGCGTTGTTTGCATATCATCCTCATCGAGTCCCTCTGTGGCCTAACTACTCAACGGCAGTGGCTTCGAGACCGTCTATGCCTTTGCTCACAGCCCCCACCCTACCTTCGGCGCTCTGCCCTCTATTGACGGCCCGTTGTTTTCCACCTCGGACCACGATCTCCCTTTGCCCATACACCCTATTATGACTAGCGTCGCCCAAGGCAGGACATGCCACTGGCAGGGATTCTGCGACCGCACCATCTCGGCACTCTCACCCGGTCGCGTTATGCAGCACCTCCGCCAGTACCACCTGCACACGGAGGCAAACCCGACTCCGGCGGGCACGATGACCCTCTGCTGCTGGGTCATGCAGGACGGCACCCTGTGCGGCAGGCACATCCTCGGCAGTAACCTTGGCAAGCACGTCGCCGCCGTCCACCTGAAGTCCACCGCGCGGGCGTGCGACCGCTGTGGCCGTGTTGTGTCCCGGGGCGACGCCCTTTGGCGTCACGTCAGGAAGTGCCGTGGCGGCGGAAACTGAGTATGGACGGGTCATAAATGCGCACAGTGGTTTATAACACGGCTGACATGGGCAACAGCGGAGGTGGGAGTACGGCGTGGCGCAGTGTAAGGGGTGTTGATGCTCCACGGAATTTACCTAGCAACGTTTACTTACATCGATCTGCCACGCTGTTTTAGGTGCCCGGCGTCAGCTTTTTGAATGAATTGTGTATTTGTAGAATGTTTGCAGGCAATGACAATCTGTACAAAAGAGAAACTAAATAGCTGATACTGCCAAAAACTTTGTAGAGAAAACTCATAAGACCTGAATTAAGGTCGTGCTTGCTAGACTAACACCTACGGTATATTCGCCCGATGGATGACCTGAACTTAACCTCAGGGTGGCCGAATGAAAACATGTGGGTGCATTCTATGGCTGGAATCAGTGAGATAATATGAGCCGCGATATAGTGTGAAGACTGACCCAGTTGATGCTGATTCCCGTTTGACTTTGACACGTCTCGGAACATCAGAGGAGGCCACTCAAAAAGAAGGACGTCTAGTGCTCCCTCATTGACCGAGCGCAACGTAACTTCACACGTCGCGTACTTGGCTTTGATGCGGAGACGTACTGTAACGATAGATGAACAGTTCAGCCAACTTTATTGAGCTACTAGGTATCATGCCATCACATTGGACGCTCTCGCTGAATAAGTTTGTGTACATTACCGAAGGCCATGCATAAATGCGAGTCTTCCGGAGGATGATCAATAGCACGTATCGTCATTGGTTGTAGACTGTCAGTTCGAGAGATGTAGCTCGGATGTAGTATGTGATTTCTGGGACAGTGCAACAAGACGGAAACATGAAGAAAAACCCCACGATGACTTAGGAGAAAGGGAAGAGGAAGTCAAGCATGTACTGCCGTGCTCATTCCGTGTATACAGAAGGTGTTCAGCATGTAGCATGTGAGGCTGCCCTCATAGAATACAAGTTGGAGCTATATATGAGTCGCCGTGTCGCGGGTTTAATACCGGTGGCTGCGCGATCAGTCGGGGTTGGAAATGGTCATCGGTCCTCTCGCACAACCGTGTGCTCATATTCAGTTCCAGCATGTCAAGGTTCAATCACTGGTCTGCCCATGCCTGTGTCTTTCGTATAGCGAAGTAAGCCGTTGAAATACATATGCCCAGCTTATCGCATCCAGGAGGCCGTGAATCGTAATGAAACGCGCGACATGCAAGCTGGGCTGGAGTTGCACGTCTTCGGTTGCTCGGACTGGATAACTAGCAATTGTGTGTGAGCGCTCCAGGGTATGAATCATGGAGCTAGGAGCAGATCGCATACTCATATTCTCAATATATTTCTAGGGCTATACCATCGACACACCTCTGGCGGTACGCATGGCATATATTGTGCTGCAGACTTCGTTCTTGTTCTAGTGCACACACGCGCGAACATTATTCCAAAAGGACGTCCCCTGCGGAATAATAATTGGTGGTGTGAGTAGGCCTCCGTTTTCTTACAGGAGCGAAACCGCGTTCAGGCGGCTCCATTGAAGTGTTCTTGTCGCACTACAGGTCATGACGTGTGATGGTATTTGGGCATCTCCCGAGTGGACAAATGCAACGCCCACACTAAAATACTCTGTGACACTTCTTTCTAGTAATCTCACGACTGTTCGCTCGCTGCCGACTTTTGCAGTTGCCTATACGCTTCTCCAAATGATAAAGACACCATGCGAAGAAGCGTTCAACTGGCTTGACGGCGTTATTGCTGCCACGTCAAGACACCGAAGCTTTCTGGTGCAACGCGCAAGAGCATTGCTACAGAGATACTGCGACTGCGACTGCGACTGCGACTGCGACTGCTGGATTCCTCGACGAAGGACCGTAGGTAGATAGCGGCAACGCGTTCTCAAAGCCCCTGCTGATATATTTCTTTCCATAGAGACTGCAGTCCGCCAAAAGGCAACGACCACCGCGGTCCTCACCGACGAGGGACAGGGTTTCGGAGTGGTGCGAGTGCAGACGCTGCCTGATGCGAGCTGCGACGGGCGTCGAAACAGTGCGGCGGAATCCACCGTTACATTTCGAGATCCCAGATTAGCCACAGCTTGCGTATGTCTAGGGTCAAAGTGGGATCAAAACACTGACTCTGTCTATACGGTTCATCAACATCTGCTGTTGTCATGAGACGGGCACAGCGACAAGTTGGAATGGAACACCTACAAAGGACTAGAGCGGGATAAAGGCCTCGAGAAAGGCAGAGGCAGACCCATAAAGTCGCGTGCGGCAACACTGACGTGCAGCCGCAGTGTGACTCAGTCTCTCAGACACGTCCGAGGTGGGGTTCGAAGAAGTATCGTATAGTATGTATATCGCAAACCTGTATCCAGTCGTATGATTAAACAAAATAAGACTTTATGTTCGTGCTTCTAATCTTTGGTGCGGCGTCGCTTGCCCTCTACTCAGTCAGTACCTCCGCCCGAAGTTGAACATATGCCTGCCGTCCTATACTCCACCAACGCTCGCTCCGAGTCGCACTTCCCACCTGTCGATTCTGCTTCTCGTACACGAATTGTCTAAAGCAGCTCTCAGCGGGTCCCTCAAAGGACCTGCAAGGCAACGCTAAGGTCTGACTCAATGTTATCCAAATCTCTGAAGGTCAAAGCGATTTCGCACAATGCAGTTGGGGGTGGTGGGCAACACAAGGATAGCCCACCAAGTTCTTTCATTCTACCACCCCCTTGATGGCCGCCAAGTAGCTATGAGCAACCGTAGCACTAGCGTGGATAAGTACGTAGAATACCGACAGGACAAGACACGGGATTCTGAGAGAAACAGAGAACACAGCATTTAAACGGAGAAACATGGTACATATATCTAACATTGGGTCCGCGATGGTTTGTTGCAAGACAGGGAACCGTAAACGCGTACCAACTGGAGCTGGGGGCGAGCGAAGACGATCTTCACGCGCTGATCGCGACGGGCTTCGATGCGTCGTCCTTGCTGCCCGCCACCTTTTCCGCCTGCGCGACGGCCTTCTCCGCCTCGCTCTTCTTTTCCTCCACCTCGCGGACCTTCTTCTCCAGTACCGCCGCGTTCGTGCTCGGCTTGCTCGTGTTGAACGTGACGCTGCGGTTGTGGCTCAGCCCGCTCATCGAGCCCGCCTCCGGTGTCTTTACGCTCACAAGCGGTGCACTGGTGGACAGCCCGCGGTGGAATGTCCCTGGCAGCACACGTCCCTCGGGGTGCTGGAAGGGGCACGTTGCGCGCGTACATGCAGAACCAAAGCGGCACGGCGTCGCTGCCGCCCCAGAGCCATGCGATGCGCGGGGCGGGTGTGTGAATGTGCAGTTCGGGCGCGTACAGGCTGCACCATATCGACACGGTGTTGGTAAATGAGTAGTGGGCGTAGGAGGTGGAACGAATGTGCTCGGTTTCAGGTGCTCAGCAGCTGGAAGAGATGTTTGCGTCAGACGTGGCTAGTAATCCTGTAGAATCAAGTAGACTTACCACCAGGGTGGAGCCCAGCGGGGCTGACGTGTGCCTTGATACAATCCCTGTCCTTGCACTGCAATCCCGCCTCACACGGGTCGTTGCTCAGCACGACACCGCTCTCGGCCGTCGCGACAGGTGACGGGTGCGAGTAACGGCATAGGGGATTCGAACATTTGAGGTTGAACTTGCACAGAGTAGGCGATTGTGGCCTCTGTGGAGGCACGAAGCCCGTGCGTTGCTGAGATGCGATGCTCGACGACGACGATGTACTCGCAATCACAGGCGCCACAATCGGTACCGGCGTCGGCGTCGGCGCCACAACGGCGGGGGCTGCCGCAGGTGGAGGCGGCGAGGCTTGGCCAGCGTCGGTCATAGGACTTCCAGCGCTCCCGTTCGCGCCGGCATGTCCCCCTCTTCCTCTGCCAGCCCCCCTACCAGCAGGGCCGCCGCGCCCTCTCCCGCGTCCACGCCCAGGGCCGTCTCCCTGCATGCCGCCATTGAACATATCCCCGCCCATGCCGGGCTGCATTGGGAACCCGTTCATCAGCTGCCCCGGCATGATGCCCATCGCGCCCGCCATCTGCGACATGAGGGCCATCTGGTTCATCATCATCTCCTGCAGCAGCAGCGGGTTCGCCATGCTCGCCATGCCCATATCCATGCCCATCCCGCCCATCCCGTTCATCCCTGGGAAGCCAGCCATCATCATGGCCATTTCTGGCGACCCACCCGCACCGGTGATCGTGTCAATACGGGCCTGGATATCGTCCTGGCCGAACTGAGGACCGCCGCCGCCGCCGCCATTGCGTGCGGGCCCGACACGTTCCAGCAGGCTGCGGGAGCCACTGCTTACGTCGCGCCCGTGAATCATCGCCCTCGGGCCTGTGGGTAAGTCTATCCGTCGCGCCTTGTGTACGTGACCATGGCCGCTCGGTGAAGGCGAGCGCCCGGACGCCGTGCGCTTTTGTGCGGTGGGTGAGGTTGAAGGGAGTGCTTGTGATAGAGCTTGTTGATACAAAGGTGCGGATGCACGAGGGCCGCTTGGAGGTCGCCGACTAGCCTCGTCCTTGCTGACAGTGGGAAGATGGGGCGGCGAATCACGCGTAGAGGGCTGGGCGGATGCAGCGGCAGTGGAAGATGACGGTGCATCTGATGGTTCAGGTGCGCCTTTTGCGGCTTCCGAAAACAACCAGTCAACAAAATTTGGGTCTGATTGCAGGATATAATTAGAAAACTGTTGCAGCGAATAAGATTGACAGAACATACCGAAATCCGCTCCTATAACTGTAGAAGAGATTGTGGTTAGCGCGTAAGTTCACAAGAAGCGTATGGAGTGAGAGATGTCAAAACTCTTCTGCATGACCCTGTGAGACTAGCGAATTGCCAGACTTTCATCATAAGCCAGTTGATAGCTACGTGTTACGCCACCCACGCAGACGTGAAGAAACCTTCAAAGCAGTAGCTGAACGATATGTACAGGTAGCTGCGCGCCAGGTTGGGCCACAACGGATGTATCAGCCAGGAAACGTTTTCACTCAAGCTGGAATCGGACGGAGGTCAATCCCGTTCGCTCTAACGTTTGCTCCGAGCACAGGATGCGACTCTGGACTTAAGCAAGCTCGCAGCAATAACGCGCTGGGCTTCTGCCAACTGGCCACCTGTTGTCGAAGTCCTCTGATACGTAACAATTGTGGCAACACAACGGTACGGCTCTCGAAGTACTCTGAGGATCGTACAACAGCTCCACTGGGTGAGAATTCGAAAAGGTAGACTCAACGGTCCCTGATTGCTTCAGGATCCACCCCTGGACCGTGACCCGAGAGTGCGCAGAAGGAGTAAAATACACTTTTGGCGCAATGGATGCTTACCATCTTCCAGTTCCGAGGATATTTGAGCTGCACGGCTGTGAGCAAGGTGTGTCAAAAAGTGGGAAGGAGACGAACCTGCTGTCTTGTTGTTTATGATCATTATGGTAATGTACTCCGCCATAATGGGGTCTGCAGAGGATTGAGCGTAAGTCTATGGAGCGGTTAGGAGTAGCACGTACCAGCTTCGGGACTATATCCTCGCCTAACAAGCTCATCTTGGATGGAGTTCTGGTAGTCTGGTGAGCTTGAACATGGTCCACACGAAGGACAGGACGAACCTGGAGGGTAGTGTAACGCTCTGTCCCAATAGTGAGTCCAAAAGCCATGATAAGGTCCTAGTCTTCGATAAAACAGATCAAGAGTGCAGGCGATGATAGCAACGATGACGAGAGCGTGAGGGGGCAGTGGTGGTGGTGGTGGTTGGACACTGAACGCCCGACGACGAGCGGGGCGTTGGTGACGAACGACTCTGTCACACTGTTACAGAATGTCACCAAATTACAAAGCAAAGTAAATAGATTTCAACGTTGATTGTTAATGTGATTGGTCTCTCGCGTCACAAACCTTGCACGCAATTACTTGGCCTCAACTTCCACACTTGCTGAGGCTCACACACGTTTGCTCGGCTCAAACTCAACTCCCTTCGAGACATATGGCTGCACAAGAAACATTGATTTGTATTTGACTCAACGGAGAGTATGTGCTACTACGGGTATATGCCATTGCGAGGGGTATATGCGTCACGGTCGAGAGTGAGTACTCTCAGTTCCGCCGTCTCGCTCGCGTAGCTCGCGTCGTCCGTTTCGGCGTACGTGGAGACTGGTCCACCTGCAGCGCCGTCCAAGTTGGCACATCTACCTGAACCGCATCTTCAGGCTCCCCACCATCCTCTTTTTGGATTGCCTCGGACTCCTCGAGCTCTTCGGCCTCTGGCGTCGAGCGCTGCGAGATGCCGAAGGCATTGCCCCTAGCTGGTAGCGTCACCCTGGGAAGCCGTCAATGTCAGTCTCACGGCGGCGAAGAGTCTTGCAATGGTGAGACACACCGATTGAATACACTCCCTGCATCGTCCGAACTCTCGATCCCGCTCTCCATCGCGTCACCCTCATCCTCTGCGCGGTCCCTCCATTCATGGCTGAGGTCCGTCAGCCGCGCATCGTTCTTCATCTCCGCCATGAAGAACCGCTCGACCAGCTTGCGCATGTCTTGGACTTTGCGAAGCTTCTCTTGCGCTTTCGGCAGCCGCTGTGCCGTATCATTGACGAGCCACTGCAGCTCGTTGAGGCCAGTATCCATGACGGCATCCCGGCTTTGCATCTCAACAACCTTTTTCAGGACGCGCTTGGCCTCCCCTGCCGTCGGGCCACTGGCCACTGGCCTTGAACGTGGCTCGGTTTTGACGCCAACGGCGGCCTGCCCGTTCGATGGGCCTGCGCGCGCCCCCGAGAGTTCTGCGCCCATGGGCTGCTCTACCACAACCTCCTCGGCTGGTGTTACTGACACTGGAAATGAGCTCAATAACATGACATTAGCGAGATCCGCTTACCCGACGGTTCCCGCCACTGCGCTCTCTCGTCCTGGACGTCCTTATGGTTTTCCGGTGTCTCCTGGACACCGACCTGGCCCGCTTGGACCTCCTTGACTTCGACCTCAGGGACCTCCTGGATATCGACCTCAGGGACCTCTTGGATATCGACCTCGGAGCCCTCACCATCGACGACCATGTCCGCAGGCCCAGCCGCTAAGCCAACTATCAAAGCCTGCACATCCTAGAAGTCAACCTTCAGCTCGTACCTGATTCTTCCTGAGCCTCAACTTCCGCAGGCTCCTTCCCTTTATGAGCCTTGCTCTTCCTCGTCTTCTTCTCCGGGCGTCTTGATATACTGGGCGCCACCGTGTCCGCCCGCTCTCTTTTGGGACGCGTCGACGCGCCCGGCTTCTCGCTCTCTGTCCGCTGCTTCTTCGCCGGCTGGCTGGACGCATCGGCAGCTATTACGCCCTCCTGTTTCCTTTTGCTCGCGCGCTTTGGCGCCACGGGCGGTGCTTCTGGAGAGGGCTGCCTCTCTTGTGGCTGGTCCTCTCGCAGATCACGCTCAGCGACCTCCTCGTCTTCCTCGGCCTTTGACTTCACAGCGCGCTTCGAGCGCCGCTGAGGCTTCTCTTCTCCCTGGGGGCTGGACAGCGGACGTGGCGTCAGTGGGCTCTAGGTCATATCATGGCGTGCACGTACGATGGGACCCCCTGCGGGTACTTCTCGATAAGCAAGCGGATGATCTCGACCGTCTTTAAGGTAGCTTTCACGCCCTCGCGCTGTGGAACGCGCGAATACCTGCTGAGTCTAACCATGTTGTACGCCACACAGCGACAAACGCACCTTGGCCACCTTCTGGATCTCGGCACGTTTGAGTGTCTTGAGGTGTGCAGCGTCCATCTTTGAAAGCTTTGGCTAGTAGGATGTGGGAGATAAGTTAGGGAAGTGTGGCGATGCTTTGTTCAGTGGTGGTGGTTGAGAAGAAAGAGTGGGTCAAGGCGCCCGCGCGCCTTTATACCCGGGGAACAATGAACCGAACCACAAGATCAACGTGGCTCGTCTCTTCGTCCGGTGCATGCCCTTGTTTTCCGCTCAATGTGTTTGTCCTTCTGATGTGGAACGCCTATTACAGTTCACATTACATCGCAATGACGAACACTTCATGCCAACTGTCATTGCGTCCAGTGCAAATTGTGGACCATTACAACAGTGTTTATTCATGGAGAAACATCCACTGTTCATCAACCGACGGGGTACAGACACAGCGAAAGCATGATACCTGAGAATATGGGGAGTCTTTACTCGAACTTCAACACCTTCCCTGGTGTTTCAAGTCATTACTGCAAAGTGCATTATTCTCGGCAGGCATCTATCTCACCCTCATGATTCGCCATTCCGCCTCCGTCGGCACATATCTTGCCTGTTTCTCTACTTGCTTCTTCTCACCGCGCAACTTCTGCATCCTTCCTTGAGCTCCTCGATTCTGGGGTCGGCGTCGTCGATGTCCTCGCTACGGTGTTGGGGAGCTTTGCTCTTCAGTTTCGATACGTCAAGCTTCAGCTTCTTGACTTTGGTTGCGGTCCTCACACATGCATATGGCGACTCATCTCCTGGCTAAGGATCGTCAAATAGATTGCTGCGGGATCTTGCCATTTTCCTTTGGTTTCTCCTCCGGAACGCTCGGAGGTGGCTGCCTGGTAGCTTCGTCCACGGATTTTGCTACACTATCTATGTGGCGAAAATTAGCATCGCGCGCCGCGGAAGGCTTTAGGTCGCACTCTGATGCTGAGGCTCGCTTGTCCTGTTATGTGGACTTGAGGGGTGCGTTTCCTCGCTGCGTGTGCTCACCATTCGACTGGGGAGCCACGGGGACTAACCGACGGTGACGCTGAAAAGCGTGATGCAAGCGTGAGGTGGATACCTGTCTCAAGGGATACGCGACTTTTATCGTGATAATGAACGGCTCAAGTACAATGGGCCTTTTCGTTATCAAGCTTGGCCCGCGTGGAGTGATGCGAATTGTGTTTCGTTGACAATAGGTTGCTCCGGGTGTGTTGTCTACTCACATGCCCCTCTTACTGAGGCCGTAGCACGAGTTCTTCGATAGGTAGCATTCATCGCGAACGAGACGAGGACTCGCATGCTACCAGGCTTTAGAGCCACAACTCTGATGGTCCTTCGACTCAATCACTCGTTCACTCGTTCCCTTTATCGAGGTTCAACTTCGCTGCTAGACCTCCAACGACTCAGATTATTTTGCATCCGGTCTAATTGTATGGCAAGATGGCCGAGCGGTCCAAGGCGTGTGACTCAAGCGAAAGCTTGCCTGCTTCAGCGGGTCTTCTCATCTGGGTATCCAGGCGTGGGTTCAAATCCCACTCTTGTCACTTTTCTTTCTTTTGCTTAGGACGACTTCGATAATAATAAATAGTTGTAATAATCATAACAATACCAACTGCATTCTTCCATCCCATAGCTTGCACTATCCACGTCCTCACAAAGCATCTAGACCTTGGCCACAACGCAGGTACCTTGTTTACCACCAGGCAACACTGCCATTGTATATATCATCATGACAATGGTAAGACCTAGATTAATGGTGAGCCGTTAAGTATGTATAGTCTTTGCGCGACGGCAGTGCCGCACACAGACAACTAGGACCGACGAGAACACCTCTGCATGTTTTACCATTGGACCGCCGTGGTACAGTGCCAGGGGCCAGGGCGGCGGGCATTTAATCCTCGTCATCTGAGTCCGCCTCTGACAGAGCCGCGTTGAGCACGGAAAGCACGCTCTCACACTCCGACGCGTCGAGTTGCGATCTCCGGGACGACAAGGTCAATTTATCCTGTTCTTTTCCCTTGTTGGGCCTCCGGATGGTGGTTCTTTTTGCGAGTGACGACGCCGCCTCCGATCCCTCGGAGCGTAATCGCTTGTGCGGCCTCCCTCCTGCTTCGTTCGCCGCGTCAACCTCAGGCCGTGTTCGCTTTTGGCCGCTCTGTGCCACCTTCGTAGGGCCCTTCAACAGACCGGCCAGCGCCTGCACAGTTGCGTCATCGACAGGAAGCCTGCCAACCGCCATCAGGCTTGCCGAAAACACAAGGACTGAGAGTACTCACAATCGCGCTCCTGCTAGCTTCGTGCTGGTAGCCTGGCCTGGGTTGTCGCCACCTGCATCCCGAGCGCTATATGACCAACTAATAAGTAGGTGGCCCGCCAACGACCGGGAGCGACACGCACTGCACTCCGTGTTGCGGGTTTCGTCTTCCCTTCTCAGACTTCCCGGCATCCACGTCCTGGACGATACCCTCGACGCATTCACCCAGCTGCTCTTCCGTCCACAGCGGCTCGATCTTCTGCCAATACAGCAGATAGTGGAGCATCCGGACGCGCGCTCCTCTCTCCTGCGCGATTTGTTTGCGCAGCTCCCGAACCTGGGTCATCTGCTTTTTCGCTGCCTGTCGCAGGAAGCGTGAGCGCTGCAGGTAGCCGTGATTTTTGTCCGACATATCGGCCATCGAATGTGCCGCGCGCCTCAGATCCTTCTCAGTGGCGGGGCCCAGGTGGGCGGCTTGGCGGGCAAGGCGGGCGACCTCGGTTCGCCGACCGGCTGAGTCTGCGCTCGCGTGTCTGGACGGGCGCCGTTGGGCTCGTGGGGCATCAACTGTAGTGGAAGGAGGATCGACCGTCAGACGTGTTGGGTGGCACTGTGAGTAGCACTAAGCCTTACAGTTGATATCCTCGGAGTCCTGGCTCTCTACCGACGCGAAGGAACCATTCATAGGTGGCCTGCTCGGGCCTTCAGGGTTGGCCGCTCTGCTAGGGCCTGCCAGGGATTCTGGCCTGGCTTCTGGACGCATGAATGAATTGAAAGCTTGACGTGCAGTCCGTCTAGCTTTGGGTGAGGTGGCGCTCTTCACAGGTGTGTGATGTCGCGCTTCATTGGATAGAGGGACCGCGTCCGAGGGGCCGATACGACAGCGAGATTCACTCTGTTGAATATGGCTTGGGCTTGGGTCCGAGATGGCCCTGTGGCGTCAGAGGAGGTGAAATGGCGCCCTCAAATGAAGGATTGGAAACCCACGAAGATAGCGCAAGCGGTCGTTCGCGTAGATGTTCAATGGCGACCTCATTCATGCAATCTGTGTCTATATCGTGGGCCTACGACAATGGAATGTTGGCTGTAACATGTAAATAATCCAATTCACCGCCACTCACTTTAACCAGCCTTTGTAAGTCGGTGTGGCCCACAGCTCGAGGTGCGTGAGCATTCATTGTGCGATGTTGAGATTTGAATCTATATCGGTGACAGGTACAGGAGTATTGGAAAAGATGACAGTGGCGGTAGAGAAACGAAACGAAACCGATTGAAGACCCCTGTTTTGGATACAACGCCACTGATGGGAACAATACGCCATGGAGGTCCAAGCGTACATGTGGACGCATTGTTTCTTGTTGTACTTCCTGTGCCTGGAAACACTGGCAAATCTAACAGAGAATATTCCGACCAGTGGTTACGACTGCTTTGGGAAAACAAAAAAGGAGATGATAGTGCACCATCCAGCAGCTCCGACAAGTGCTGAGTCAGTTAGAATTGGGCGTCTGCTTGTATCTTGTGACTGCCTGCCGCAACAACAACTTTCATTATGAGATTCATCGGTAATCGTTGATTGCAAGAAAGCTTTCAGGAGTGAAAGTTGCTCTTGGAAGTGACTGTTCTGTAGTAAGTATGTGTACGACTGACATTCATCTCATTATGATCATGGCACTGTCTGACCTCAAGTGGAGGCCGCTTGCACAAGCCTGCTTCCGGCTATACATCTCCGGACAGTATTGCGACTGCGCCCGCTCAGTGAAAGAACGGAAGGTCATGTCGTTGAATGGGAGGCTCCGTTGAAGTTCTAGAGTACTCAGAGGCCGATATATGTGATATTGAGGCTCGGTACACATACAGATCCTCAAGTCAGCTCATGTATAGCGATAACATTTCGAGCTTCATTGCATCGTATGCGGAAGGACTTCCAAGATATGGATCAAGATGAAAAGAGGATCGTCGCCTTCTCGGCGCCCTGTTGTGACAGTCACAGTGTCATACTCACTTCGAACGCGTGACGCGTCGCGCCAGCCGGCCGAGCTAGGACCCCGGCGAATCCCCCAAGAGCTCTGATCCCGAAAACCCCGAAAAGGGGGCCTCTGGAGCCAAAATCTTACATCTCAAACCCCCGAAACGGGGCCCGGACGGCGGTCAGGTTATGTGCCAGGTGCCCCCGAAACCAGGCGTCCGGGGCGAGGTATGATCCTCGACCCCCGAACATAAGGTCCATCCGGCCTCGGAACGGGTGCCGAAATGTGCCGGAAAGGTACGATGATACCGGTGACGTCTCACTCGATTGCTTCTTGATACCGCTTCGTCGCTATGTTACTTTACTTATCGGTTCTCGATACCAAACTTCATGTAAGTAGGAATTTATAGGTCTAATGATCTTGTGCAAATACAAAGATCCGAAGTAGAGAGATTAGTACCACGTCAATCAGTGGCCTCAGTGTAGTAGTCGGTACTTCTAAATTTATGTACGGCCTTGTGACAATGGTACAATCGCGCGCGCGATTTTTTGCAATTTCTCGCCTTTTTTGCAATATTTAGACGTTAGATCCCATTCACCCCCAAAACTGACCGGAATTAGGCGAGGTTATGTGAAGTTCCCCCGAAATCGACCATGGGCTGACCCCCGGAGGGGGGTCCGCGCGGGATCAGAGCTCTTGGGGGATTCGCCGGGGTCCTGCCGAGCTGCATTGAACGCGTTCGCGCGACTTGGACGCGACAATAACCGCTAACAATCGCTGCTTTATTATATGCAACTAGCTATGCACATATTTGCGGCTGATTTCCAAGTAGACTCTGTTGGAACAACCGGTGCGAACGGCGCGGGGCGCGTTTGTCCACGGGCGTAGCGATGCCCGTAAGGGACAATCGCGTGCGGTACGTACATCGCGCGGGGTCGTTATATACTACGATAGGGGCCTCCGGCCCCCGGCTACTCGCGCGCCCGAGCTTGCGAGCTCGTTCCTGACCGCGCGGGTCAGCGCGTTTCAACAGACTCTGCATCTGCGATGCTGTGTACGTTCGAACTTGGACGATCTCTCAGGCTTGAACTGAAGGGCCATCGGCAGGTCTGCATGTCTCATTCACGCATTTTGTGCTTCATTTGATGTTTCCATCGGCGCGATTTGTTTACTCCGAGGGTGATTATACTTTGCAGCCTCCTTGTGGGCCTCAAGGCGAAATTGTCGAGGATACTGGTATGGTTTACTCAACACATTTTTCGTTCTATGGAGCATCGACAGTAACGCTTACGAGGAAGAGCAATGACAACGAAGCAGACCACGCTTCTGTTCTTGTATCAGCGTCCGATATATATGCCAATTATATGCTCGGAGAATGCCCCTCTATTGTGATTCTCTTGTGGCTGTGTCGCCGAGTATTGAGCCAACCCACCCACAGGCATCAGAGAACCCTCTGTTTCCTGTAGAATTGTTGGAGCTAACAACTGACGGCGCTGGAACAGCCGCATGGCGGGATGCTGCAAGGTGCGTAGTCGTACGACCTCGTTTCGAGAGCCGAGCTCAACTGCCAGTCTGTGACACAGGCTTGCATAGTTATGCACTCTTGATCTCTGTCTTTGCACATAGAACTAAGCATCGCGACGGTTAGATGGATGACATTCGCGTCGCACGTAACAGCAGATCTGTGTCGTCCATCGGCGCGTCGGTAGCGAGATGGGATTGCAGTGCATGCGACACTTCCGCCGGGTACGGGACAGATGCATCAGACATAATCACCACAGCCTTGATGGCCGTATGATCATCGGCGACCCCGATCGCCCTGCGGTCTCGTAATGGCTTTGCTCGGTAACCAGACGTGCTGTAACTCATCCGTCTTCTCCTACTGCAGATTGACGACATTGGCTGCCTCCCTCCGACGTTTCAGCGCGCTGAGGCATCAGATCTGCGCCCGGTCGTTCCTGTCAAAATGTGCCGCACATCGGCTATGAAGCGAGCATATTCTTCCTCATGAATGTCAGCATTCTCGCCAATTCACGGCCGGTTCCACTAGCCTCGTGAGCACACGTTTGACCCGTACTGTTCGGCTGTCCGCGATCTCGATATGTCGTGCTGCTTCCGCTGGCACTTGCTGTACATCATTTTCTGTGGTCGCCGGGAAGCCCTCGCTGTCACGAAACGTGATTGCTCAAATGTATCGGGTTCCACGCTGACAATTCTAGGTCTCCGGACCACACTCGCCCGATACGCCTTGTGAAATCGAGATATATGCGGTATGTTTGGTCCTCCGCTCGTTGTGCAAATCCCGAGCCTGACAAGGTCACCGGGATGCCATTATGAGACGGCGTTCTGTATACGCTACTCATCTATAACATGCGCTCATCCTTGACGGGATCAATGTGTCTCAGTCACGACATAGCTGTCAATTTGATCAGTTCAAAGCATCTGGATTGAACGGAGGGAGAAGATTTATGTGTCTAGTCCTTGCCTCCATTTCCATTTAGTCCTGACAACTGCATCAAGCAGCGTCAACCAGCCAACAAGACTGAGCAGCCGAGGCCTCGGACGCGCATTGTGCTTTCTGCGGCGCAGTGCGTCAATCGTAGGTTCTATCCATGAGAGACGCCGTCAATGTAGTCGACGTTGCGGTCATTGGTAGTGATGGCGGAAAAATCGAGGGACAGGTCTTTCTTCTCGCACGGCCGCCGTTCATACGCTTACCACGGAGGCATTCCAGGCTCTCGGTGTCATGGGAGTATCCGACATCTGTTCAGATGCGCACGAAGCATCTCAACGTCAGGGGAATATAAAGCTCACACCTGTGCCTCGGGTACTGCGCGTGTGCCCGATCATGCAGGGCCGATAGCAAGGCAGGTAACTGCAACCCGTGATGTCCGCCTACGAGAGCATCGGTTGCCGTGTGCAGCATGATTTCGAGGACAAGGTGCTACAGGTATGACAAATTGTAGCAGTTGGTGCGTGTATAGATGTCATTGACGAGAGACTTGTAACTTGTGGTACGGGTGAGTGTTGCGATGCTATCCGCTCTAGTTCGAATGATCCCAGTCGGCGATGCATTATCCGACGCGTTCCGCAGAATGTCTGTAGCGCGTAGGGACTGAACTTGCGCATGTTGCTGAACATCTGCATTGGTAGAAGTCAAACGCCTTTGACCAAGTCTCCCTGGACACGAAGACGGGGTGGCGGAGCAGCACAATGTTCCTTTATCGCAGTGTTTAAAGGACAACAGACACACCTGGGCGTCGCCAATCAACATAGTTGTCAATGCGACAAGTGCCAGGTCACGCATAGAGCCACGATGATACTTGAGGCAATATACGATGCGCTCCTAGGTTCCCAGGTTTGGAGGTTAGACTGACTGTACCTGGCGACATCTCGAAACGCTCACAGGGTGTCAATTTATCGCGACGCGAACTACGAAGACCCGTTGGATAGACTAGCCGTCACATCTCAAGGATCGTGATGACATTCCCAAAAAAGAGCAAGGCAGGTATCACAGCCACTGTATGGATGCGAGGGAAGCGTAATGATTCGCTTGCTTGGTGGCACTAACTGGATATTTAATCGTTTTCGCGGACCAACGTGTGGCCTTCCGGCAGGAAGGCTCAACAGTGAGGACGGTGGGTGCGTAGGTATTGGCATTGTACCAATGCCAATGCATGAGCCCTGCAATCCAATACTGATGTGTACGCTAACCTGGAACAGGTTATATCGCGATCTCCGTCTTTAACGATGACGGATGCCATCCTGACCGCCGGATACGTATGTTTCTGCAACCCTTGCACAGCTTTTCTTACTGAAAGAATATCAGATGAATTCGCTGCGCGACTGCAGACCACCAACCTACCTGGAGTACACGCCATTCAAACTAACCTCCCATCCCTCAACGACGTTGATGGAGCCTCCAGCCAGATACGTATAAGCGCGAGACATGGATCGCCAAACTCCGCGTCAGAGCAAAGGGCGAATCTGGATGGTCGTACGGCCCTGGCCTGAATACGGGTCTGCAATCCTGACACGATGAATGAGTGCGACAATTCCCTATCCTTTGTGGCCGCTTTTCTTGACTTCGATCGGTGGTACAGGCAATACAAAAGCAGTTCATAATGTCTGGGAGGTTGTCGCCGTACGAGCTGGACGAGTTGCTACTGTCGGAGAAGACTACGTAAGGGACTCCAAGTCTGCTCGAGTCCATGCGGTCTGCTAACCATGAGAGGTAGTTTAGATGTCGTAAAGTCACGTCCAGACCTGGTGTTCAGAGGGGTACGTGGTATACACATGTCCTGCGCGGGCATTTAAATCTGCTCGTTAGACCAGATCGTGCTAACTCTATTGCTGTTGATGAGCGCACGCTGACTTGCTCTGCAGTGTGATGTACTTGTTTGCTAAGTACCCTCTGCCGCGGGTTAGCCTGGACGTTCACCATGAATCGGCACCATTCTACATGAGACGCAGGAACGAGATGGAAGGCCCAGAAGGTACCAGATAGCTTATGGTGGGTAGGTTTCGCAAGCTAGCCATCCTGCTCCTGATGACGCTACTTCGCACTTGTTGGTCTCCTCGCGACAACTTGCAGTCTAAGGACGTCAACACAAGTGATAGCAGTCGTTCATCAATCGTCAAATGGGTTGCGCTGCTTGTTGACAGCGAGTGGGCCCGTCTCGACATGCCTATCATCCGTGCTCCGTCTGTCTGATTGCACGCAGCCCTGTATGCACGCACATTGATCTGCCTCTACTCAATTGATCTACACTGTGCACATTGTCTGCATTGCACGGTACTCGCTATCGCACAGCCCGGTCGCGACGGCGTGATCGCCGCCCCGAAGAAACTGGAGAGCCACGCGCATCAACCACTGGGGCCATGCACTTCGCACATGAAGGGGACGGGGAACTCTCAAGTTTGCTTGCCCGGCAGCTTGGCGTGGACTTCTCTATCAATCTGGCGCCTCGTGATGGGCTCTCGAAGCCCATTCATTGAGCGTCGTCCCATGGCCGCATTCTACGGTACAACTTTCATGCATCCATTGAACCTGCCATGATGGAGTGCTCTGTTCACCGTGTTTGCATGAAGCTTGTTTCGCGCTCCTGAGAAGTCACCCTCCATACCTGGCCGCACGACGAGCAGGATCAGGTCTCTTCTCGTCGGGACAAACACTGGATCTTGCGAAAGGTTATAGTTCCGCACTTATGTCGCGACGTAGTGTGAGGGCGCAGGGCGATAGCGTCGTCGCCTCGACGATGTCCGAACATCGCAGTATGCGTATGCACTGCGCAGGCGCAACTAGGGTCTTTCAGGGCCCCCTAACGCCTATCCTTTTATCCTGGGTTTGGCCCGGCGGTTTGCACATGAGATTTGTTGTCAGCTTCGGGGGCGGCAATCGTGGCAGAGAGACGAGTATGGGAAGAAAGACGAAGCACCGGACGGCATCAACGTGCTGACCGAGATTCCTTGAAGGTGTCAGAGAAAGCCCGCTATTGCTTCCGTTGCCCTCGCTCGTGATCACAAGATAGCATGCCGTGTGGTCCAGACCAGTATGCTCTCGACACTTGAAGGTCTCCCTGAGCACCGCGATCTCTTCTGTTCCATGTATAGCAGGCCACCAGTCAGCACTGCAGCCCTTAATAGCTCTTCGCCATAGATGTCGTACATCGGACCACAGTACTGAAATCAAGTCATTGCGATCCACATTAAGCTCATTCTGATTAAGCAACGCTGCACCAGGGCTACAGAAGCATGCCATATACAATGACACATGGTCCAAGCTTCCTGCCTTGTCATTGACTTGGGTAGCAGCACATGGCACTGTCCTAGGGAACACAATAACCCATAAGCACCCGGCCTTGGTCACTACCGATTGAGAAGACAACGGATTATAAGGCGATCCCCAATGGGCCAGTACCTACAAGGTCATGAATCGATAACATCCGTATAAATTGCCAATCTGAGGTTATTCAGTTGATGAGCTCGTAGATGCGGTCCTCATATTCTCGGCCTACTATTGTCATCAAGCGACGACAACTATAAGGGCCAAGCCATCGAACACAGCCAAGGCTTTGCACAAGGACCGGGTGACTCACATGGCATAAGGCCCTGGATCGTAGTTGGTAGTTAGTTACAAGGTCGGGCAGATGGCGCTACACTCAGCTTGAAGGTGATCGCGTGGCACGTGTCATAGCCCAGGGGGATAGCATGATCATGATGCAGGTAGAAAGAACACGAGTACATGGATAGCACTACCAAGTGGCGTCCTGATGCGGCGTTTGAGAGTCTCGACACTATGCGTAGACTCAACCGAGATCTCATCGATATGAAGGTGGGAGGTCCACAATTGATCACAGCCGACGGGCACTCTATGGACATAAGCACCTAATACTTACATTCGTTTACCAAATCACTGTCTTCTCTGACATTGGACGAATTGTAACCGCAGCAGCGTTGTGAGATAGGCAGGAACCAACATTCCAATCGTGATTGACATTCGGATCTCGCTGCAGTCTGGCGGTTCCCTAAGCTATGACTATTCAGTAGCTCGTCATCCATAGAATGAGACGGATCCACAGACGGTTGGGTGATAAGTGATACAAGCTCAGACTGCACCTAGCGACACTTCAGGCTGCTGTTCAGATTGCCCAACGCGGATCTCGTGTTCAGTCTCCAGAAGTCCTCTTCACATTCGCAGATCGTCTATGAACGCAACACCGCCCTCAAATCTGTACGAATGAGCACGTACATATACCGGTTCGTGGCGTCTTGAAGCCGTATGGCAACAGGTGACATGTGAAGGGCCACATCAAAGTCCCTCGAACGCCAATGCTGGCAAGCACTTCCGTGCACGTTGCTACTGGCTTCCATTTTGACATGAATACATTACCGCGAATCAATGAAATGGCGACTTTATGGCGCGAGAGGACTGGGTGCCGCTGATGAGAGGCAGATAGGCCCAGTGACGAGAACGACGACAGAGTGAAGATCGACGACGGGTTGCCTAGTGAGACATGAGCAGCCGCAGACATCTCAGGCTTTTGCGAAGACAGTAACATATTGAGCGTAGCGCAGAGATAGGACCTTGTGCCTTGCCGAGTCTTCCGGAAGGTAAGAAGTCGATCTACCCGTGTCAGTATACGTCCGTTTCCGGCGAGTAATGGACACATGGGAGACCCATACCGAATAAGGCAAAAAGGCTCGTTCCCAGTTGCTCCAGGTGACATCATGCACAGTCAGCCCGCATCGATGACATTCTGGTCATGAGTTCCAAAGTAAGGCTGTACTGAGGCGTAATCGAGAGTCCACCATAGATAGGTCCACGACGTATATCGCGTCATGGGGAACAAATCCATCCTTGGTGCTGGCGAAGTGCTGTGGGATTCACGCCCATTGTGCGATACGGGGGAAGATTCGCGAATGAGGATGGCCCAATAGCTAACGCTGACCGTCGTGAGAGAGCAGCTCACGTTCTGTCCATGCGCTATATGTAGGCGTCCAATAGACAAAGTATAGCGCATCTTAAACGACGTGAAATGATCGCGCAGTCTGTGGAATTAGCTAGTGTCTAAGGACACATCACAGCCTCCAAAGACGGCCGGATGCCTAGAAATGGCCGCGGAGCGCTATACGGGACGCCATGCCCACTATGACGGTGTTCGGGCGTCGACGAGCGCGGTGTTCGCCTGCATAACTTGGTCCGACTTTCTCAGGGAATGATTCTGCCGCCCTCAAACGCCCACAAGGGTGTAGAAGGCGGTAATCAGGGGGCGTTTCGTACCAGCACGTACAACCAGCGCCAGTTCCATGCTGTGGGATCGGACATGTGGTGGGTCAAGGCTAATTCCCCAACGGTCCGCTTCAGATTGCAGGCGGACGGCCTGAATATGAAAATGAAAAATAAATCACGGAAGCTGCGCAGATTTTGCCCCTTGGGCACAATGCCTACAGTGCAGCAGCAGGCAGTAGCGACTTTGCACAGCCTCCGCATCACTAACCTATCGGATCCGCACAAAGACAATGCAAGCCGAAGGACCTGGGTCATCCGCGCAGTATGAAAGGAGCAATGAGAGGGACCGAGGTTCGCAAGCGGCGCCGATCGTGTCTTCCTGGAGCACATCTGCTAATTCAGGACATCGCAGCATGTGAGAGGAGTCTGAGAGTGCTCAGAACGCACCGCACCCCAGAACCCAGGCCAATTGGGCCCCGCGCAATTGGCGCGGCGAAGCACTGCATGGCTTTGCGGCGTATACGGTCAAAGGGGCACGGAGTATGCACGGGGCGCATGTTCCGCGCCCAAGGCCCGTCCGGGGATGGACGGCATGCTTGCACAGCGCACAGGGCCTCGGACAATCACCGCGCTGTGCGCGTCGCACCCTGCGACGCGTTCCCTATGTCTGTGGCGGCCGCACACGAGCTCAGAAGACGCATGAGTGGGTGCGCGCGCGCCACGGGGAGGGTGTGCCCGGGCGGCCAAAGGCGAAAGAACTTTGCAGATATCAAGCCGACGGTATGTATGAAGTTTGCAGGAAGATGCGTGTGGAGAAGCTCGAGCGCGAGACGGAGCGCAGGTCGGGTGTTTTGGGACATCACCTTTGGTGTTAGACTCCGTGCCGGGGGCTGGGCGTCCGGATAAAGGCGGCGGCGGCGTTTCCGGACGGGCGGAAGGGCAAGCGGACAAGTCTTCAAAGAGCAGTAAGATCCAAGACGATGATGGGAAATAGGGCACGGGAAGACAGGCGCCAATATACCGAGACAGCACATGACGAACAGTCATGTGAAGCCGCAACCTGGGAACGGGCCTGGGAACGTCTCGATGCTTCGATCAGGCAACGTCAGAGGCGTCCGACTTGTCTCCATCGCAGGGCCGCAATCAGGGCACGATAGAACGATATGTCGGATATCTACGACCAGCGGGCATCCACGGAGTCGACGCGCGCTCGATCGGTCAACACCTGGAGGTCCACTGGGATATTGTGGGTCACCGTGGGGTGGTGGTGTAATGGAGATTGGGGTCATTGTGGGGCACTGAGTGTCCACACCGGTGTACAGAGCACGATTCGGCGACCGAGGATAACCACCTTCGGCGGATAGCAGTCATATCCAGATATGCGGGAGGCAATCATCATCTGTCCAGACCAGAGAAGCATGACGAAAGGGTGACGAGGGGGAGAATGATGAATGATTGGGCGCCCGTTCTAGGACAGATGCAATAGATGCATAACCCTTTATGAAGCGCCGATGTACCATAAGCGTGTATTCGGAAACGATGGAGGCCGCGAGCGCGGGTCGTATGCATCTATCAGCGCTCGGGGAATGCAATTTGTGTGGAATGGTGGATTCCTGTGGCATCGGTGAAGTATACGGATATACGTCTTGAAATGCAATAAGTGTCTAGCGACGTCCATGAGCGGATGTCAGTGGTTGATAAGACAAATTGTACCGACGCAAATCATGGCAGTGATCTTACCTACGACCACGCCCGCAACCATTGAAACACCCGATGACAGAAACGAGAGATCGCACCTCGGTAAAACTTGGACAGCGCAATCTCGTTCATGACATGTATCATAGCAAATTTCCTAAGTTATGTCAAGGTGTAGCTTGTCTGCAAGAGAAACATTCTTACACACTCACATGGAGGGATGCCGTACATCACCGTGTAGGCGCCCGATGACGCAGGGGCGCATGACCTAGAAATGACTGGCCGCGACCTTTTCGCAGAATCGAGCAGGGTCTTCGGGCTTGCACTAGATGTGCAGCAGCTTCGCACACGCGGGGGAAGATGCGAGGACGCGTGTCGAATCATGCCATGCCTATTTGTTGCAGGACACAGGCTGTAGCTAACTCGGGTCCAGCACGTCCACCAGCAGCTCCAGGAATTCAGAACTCAATGGCGGATGCACAGCATTTTCGTAGCATGGGACATGCGTTTCCAAGAGCACGCACGTCAGACGTCCGACTGGGCACCAGTCGGGATATTTTTGACTGAAAGGCGCGGAGGACACAACTCAGTTGTGGGCATGCGTGAGCTGCGCAGTTAGAGTGGGCTCGTCATCAGTTACTTCACGTATCAGAATCCACGCACGGGAGGCAGATCGGCCGACCGGATAGAGCGAGAAGGCAGTAGAAAATTGGAGCGAGACACTGTGCAGCGGCCGGCAGCTGTACCGCTTTGTGGCATGGCCTAATGCAGGATTATGGCACACTAAGCTTTGAAGCTCCAGGAGCCCCGAGCCCAGAATCGGAACTGTGCACCGTCCGAGGTCTAGGATCGCATAGCGTTAACGTGAGCGGAGGCCGCGAGCTGCCGCCGGAAATTGTATAGAATTGCATTCGCAGAGACGAGAAGGTCCGAGAGGCAAGGTCCGCCAGGATGCAATGCATTCTATCTGGACTGTGGCAGACTGGGAGAGAATCAGAAGAAGAGACATGATAGAGGCACGATATGGAGCACTGGCTGCAGCTTGCGGGCCCCATGCATGGCTGCAGATGGCAGTCTCGCGCATACGTACAGATGAGTATAGATTTCATGAGCTACTCAGACAGGCAGGCGAGGACGTCACGAGAACGCGTCCAAGGCCACTGATGCCGGCGAGATGAGAATTTCAGAAGCCGCGTGCGCGCACCTGATGACACGCCTGCCGTACTTGGCTGGGTGCGAGCGTGTACAGTACAAGCCTTTTTCTGCCTGTCTATTTGTATTGAAATTTGCGTGTCGTGTGTGGCAGTCATATGATGGGATAAACGTAGCAACAAATATCCCGAAGATGGTAGTGGCGGCGGCGGCGGCGTAGTGCAGAGTGGGCGCCACCAGTGGCCACAGCGGAGTTGGTCGGAGTACATACTGGCGCCTAGTTCCGCACGTGAATCTCTCTGCCTTTGTCGTTGTCGTCAGTACCAGCCGTGCTATCCAATAACTCTGTTGCATCGCACTCTGCTCTGCGGCAAAGATCTCAAGCTTAGGATGCTCTCACCCCATTCCGCAAGAAAGCTGCGCCAAAGAAACGAGAAACACTGTGTATACCGGACCTCAAGGAGCCACTCGAGAAACTTTGTGTTTTGACGAATAGCTGGTGAGGTGCATTAGATATCTTCTCATAATGCAGAAATATATAGCGTGTTTTGAGGCCAGTCAAAGGTCATCGACGCCAAGTGTCTATGACTGCATGCAAAATACTTTAGAATTTCAGTACTATGGGCTATCCTCTAGAGTATTCAATCCAAAAGCGAGTCAAACATGCGGACTGACAACATTTCTGTCTCTCAATTAGAAATCGCGCGCATATAGCCAAGTCAAGGGCAGCGGACGCGCAGTACTCATCGCGATCAGGATTAAGACGTATAACGCGTCAGGACGCGTCGGGTCACGAGGTGCAACCTCCGAGGCTGCATTTTGACACTCCGACACCTGATTCGGTTGTGGCGCACGTGAGTATGTGGCGGTGGCGCCTACGCACGCAACGGGTGTTGTTTGCTCAACAAGCCCAAGCGGAGCGGCCCAAGGTCATTGTGCTACGGGTGTCACAAACGCATACCCATCGATCTGCGCTTTGAAACGCTTGCAGCGTCCGAGGAGAGGCAGACGTCGGACTTCGTTCGCGATTTGTGTCGCTGTGCATATGATGGTGGCACCAGCCTGCGACAGGCATCCCGACTCGGACCAAGCGGATGGAGGATCACGCTTCAATGCTTTGATCGTCAGACAGCGGGCATGGACACTGGACGGGCCCGATCGCGACTGCTCGACCAGGGCTGTGCGCTCAGACGTCGGCCTACTCGCGGTCCAAATTTGGCAGGCGAGGCTCTGACCAGGCGCGGCCAGCTCCGCGTGTGGCGGAAGTTGCCTATAATGGGGCGGAAGCGGAGGCGGAGACGCCACAAGCGCGCGCTTTGTGTATTACCTCATTATGCGAGGTGGCGTCCAAACAAGCTGTGCCTTTGTCAGGGGAGTTATACAAAAGGGCGATGCATAGCGCAACTAGCTCCGTCTACCTCTCGGTTTTCTCTCTGCGCCACCACTTATTCAATTCTGCGACGACGACGCTGCGTCTTTGCATCCCGCCCCGCCAACCTACATTGACCGCGGCGATAAGAGCGCCCGTGATAACTGCCTCGAGGATAGTTGCCGTCTGCAGACAGATTCATTTAAGCCGCGCCATGCAGCAGCCGCGTTCAGAGACATCCGGAGACAGAGTCGCACGGTGAGTCCGAATATTCTTGGGAAGGAGCGCTACCTGTTGGGGGGACGCCGGTGCCTTTCGGCAGGAACACGAGGCAGTAGCCGGATCATTTGCCGAGGGAGGCGAAATTGGGAACCCGGGGGCATGGATCATCGCGAGACTTTTTTTTTCAAGACTCTGCAATTCTTCTGATTTGGGGGTGTTGTGCCCGGTGATGCCGATATATCTCGCCCGTGCCACGCCCAGCGTCCCCTCGCTCCCATGCGCCTTCAAGGTTTCAGAAGTCCTGTAGCCGGATCTCCTTCTTTTAGAGCACACTTACTTATAATATCGGCACCTCTCCAGGCCCTCCCGAATTCCCAACGGTACCATTGTGCCCCAGCGCCAGCCTGTCCCCGTCGACGTTGACCGACATTCTTCCTCTCGCCCCCGCCCCCCGCTCATGGCCGCTGTCTCAGGCCCCCCCGTCGCTCGCCATCCGTCGCCCTTCCGCAGGGCAAGTAAGGTCGCGAGTTCGTCGAGAGCAGCGGCGCCCACGGCACATGCGATTGTGAGTCGCCCTGTTCTGACGTAGCAAGTATGGCGGACCACTGACGCCCGACCCTAGCCCGACCCTTACTACGGGCACGAGGAGACCGCCAAGCTGTGCGGGCGATTCGTCACCCACCTGTTCGCATGTCCGGACCTGCCCCCCCTCTCGACGGCGCAGCCGCCTGCGCCGTCGCCGCCCCTCGCCTTGTTCATCGCCTACGCCCTGCATCGCACAAGGCTGCACGCCTCGGTGACGTTTGCCGCCCTGTACCTGCTCCAGCGGCTAAAAGCCCGGTTCCCCGCGGCGCGCGGGTCCTCGGGGCACCGACTCTTCATCTCGGCCTTCATGATCGCCTCCAAGGTCATCTGCGACGACACGTACTCGAACAAGAGCTGGTCCATCGTCGGGCAGGGCATGTTCGCGCTGCGCGAGATCAACCAGATGGAGCGCGAGATGTGCAGCTACCTCGAGTGGCAGCTCAACATCGACCCGAACGCGCTCAAGGAGTTCGAGCAGAAGGTGCGCCGCGACTTCAAGGGCCAGGGCCCGTACCCCACCTACGTCCTCCCCTCGCCCGCGCCCACGCCCGTCCCCGGCACGACGCCCTACTCGTCCTCGGGCGCGGTCTCGATGCCGCCCACCTTCGCGCGCACCGGCGCCGCCGCCGCCGTGCCGTCCACGTCGCCGCCGAAGCCGATCCCGCCGCCGATGGCCGCGCCCACGGCGTACCCGTCCCCGCCGACGTCGCCCGACACGCCCGACACCCCGGAGGCGTCGTACTCGACGTCGACGTCGCCCGCGAGCACCGCGCCGCCGTCGACGCCGCCCGGGTACGTGGACGACACTGTGCGGATCGTGTCGACGAGCACGATGGGCGCGCCCGCGGCGATCGCGCATCGCATACACAAGCCGGCGCCGGCGCCGTCGCTGTCGTCGGCGGCGTATCCGCGCGTAGAGGCGCGCGAGGTGGAGTCCGCGTCCGCGCTGAAGAAGTCCGGCAAGTGCTCGAGCGATCTGTTCGCGCGGGCGACGCCCTGCATCTGGTAGATGAGTGTTCGGTTCTCGATTTGCGCTGTGTTCTTTCTCGCCCCTGCGCGGCGTCGCGCTTCCTATTTCGCCGCTGCGCGCCCCTCATTGCTTGGGCTGTGGACCCTGTTAAGCTATACCCTTCCATTTGTGATTTTATACATTGCTTGTTCATCGGGGACCGCGGCGTATTCATGGTCTGTCCAGCATTACCATCGGCTTTCTTTGCATGCACATACCTGAGCATATGTTGTAACATAGGCATACCTATCTATAGTATTGCTGTACACTGCTTAGCCATAGGCATAAAATATCTTACTGACTATACAAAATAAAAAGGGCTAAACTAAACATCTATCTCGTTGCGGTGGGATTAGAGTGTGCGCGCGCGAGGACGCTGGCAGTGATAGGCTTCCGGTGGTCCTGGTGCCGGGTGGCGGTGGCTTGTCGCTTCCATGTTCCTAGGATTGATAGTGGACTATCGTGTCTTTCTTTGCACGAGGCGGCGGCAGTCAACACGAGCGAGACGACGCTTCGCGGGAGAGGCAATGGCGGTATACGGTTCGAGAGTACGCCCGTCCTCGGCTGAGACACAGCTCGTGATTGCTCGCGTTCCATGCCAGTGTCTCGCCTTGCGACCACCGGTGACTGCAGGCGGAGCCAAAGCTATTACGCTATCGTCAGGCCACTTATCGACCTGCGCAATGCATGACATACGACGTGCGCGGCGGGCGACGCCAGGGACGGCTGTCTGGGTGCGAGCCGCCCTCTTACTAGCGCGCCGCAGGAGAGCCATCTCAGGCCCATCGATGGCGGATGTGCGGCGCGATCGGTCTAAGGCGCCGCTGTCTGCGACGCTAGGTGGCTGGCACGCTACAGCGGCCCAGCGGCGGCCATCTCGCCCGCCTTGGCCCATTCGAGGCACGCCCGCGCGCGGCAATGCACACGCTTTCCTGTCCCTCGCGGGCGTGCCAACGATCAGCCGCGGCAGCCTCGCAACCTGTCTGCCCAAGAGCGTCAGGCTCGTCGTCAAATATGTCAATGGTGAACGTTTAACCGCCGCCTCGCCATAACGAGGGGGCAGCGCGCGATCGGAACAGCCAGAGCTCTGTGTCCGCGTCTGCGTGTGCGCCCGCGTCCGTTCGCGTCTGCTTCCGCCCTTCTGCTTCTACCCCGCCCCCGGGCGGGTATGCCACTTCTCCACCCGATCTGTGGTGAGCGAGTGCGGCAGCACCCACATCGCCTTGCGCGCCTCGATCGATTCGGGTTTGGGTTTTGCCTGGGGCGTCGCCGATGGAAGCAGCGTTTGTGCGCACGCGTGACGACGACTGCCCGGGCCCTCGCGTTTGTCAGTATCGTGTCTATCATGCAACCGCTCCCGCCGGGGCAAGGAGAGAGACACTTCCGCGGCATCTTCTGGGCCGCACGTGTGTTCCATCGGAAGGGGTGTCTGATATGGTGGGGATCTTCCAGGCGCGGGCCCAAGCTTCCTGTTGTCGCCTCCGCCTTTGTGCTACGACGACCCCCTGCCCCACACTCGACTCCTACCCGATCATGCATGATCACTCTCCCCGGTCCGGGACGGTCGTCCTCCTCAGCCCCTTCGCACAGCTCCAGCTGCACACAAGTGGACTGTCTCCAATCCATGGAGCGACCCTCGTTTGATATGCCAGCCGCAAATGATGCGCCGTCCGTGGACCTGTTCCACATATCCGTGGCTGCCATCGCGCACGCACCCGAGCGAGACAGCTCTCCGAGAACAGCAAATGAGATGCATTCAAGTGCGCGTCCAGAGAAGACGCCGCAAACCCCATCCTCTTCCTAGCCATATCCAAACTCCGCCCCCTGTCACACCGGCGCGATGCCTCTCACATTCACATTCCTATCTGCCACGTCCGACAGCCGCGCGCTCGCGCGGCAGTAGTGAGTCCCTCCATGTCCTCTTCCTTTTGTTCGCTGCTCGGGACGTGAGACTGCCCGCATGCGCCCCGGTATCACGTCGGATGTCTGTGTGTCTCTATGTTCTCCCCGCGCCAAAGGGCATGCGTCCATTCCGACGTGGCCCGCGTGCCGCCCCTGCGACTGTCTGCCCACCGTCTTTGTGTCCGACTCGACAGACGGGATGGCGTGCATTGTACGTGTTGCAGGAACCCTTGTGTCCTGACGCATGCACGGACGCAATGGTCCCCCGGACGACAATGCGGTCCCAGGATAGGTGTGTGCGCGCCCACACCCTCGTACGGATCGCACGACCCACACCGCCTGCCTCACACAGGGTCGCAAGCGGATGCGCAGGGCCACCGCTGGCAAGTAAGCATAACAATGGTCTTCGTCCGCCATCCTATCCGCTGCGCTACTGCCATCAGCGCCCTGGCGACGCCCCGCCGACCCGCATTCCTATGTCAAAGACTCAAACGTCAAGGGGCTACGTCTTCAGAAGCCCCCCGTAACGAGTTCGCCGCTCAATGCGCCGCATAATGCACGCGCAGGACGACCGCACAGGTGACGTTCGACCCCATACCCTAATAGGCGACGAACCGCGGTGAAGCAACAGCACAGCATGCTGCCGCTGTCGCTCCGCAACCCACACGGCCTGCGGGTCCTGTCACACAAGTGTCCCCCGTCATCACCCTCGACGTGCGTCGCTGCCAGCAGGCCTCTCGCATGCGTCCCAGCAGCACGATCACCGACACACCGCGCGCATCGCCATCGCCATCACGCTCTCAGGCGCAAACACAGCACACAGACAGAGGCAGCGCCGCGGGCCTACAGCGTTTCTGCCATGTATGCATCGCGCAGGTGAGAGAAAGGGCCTCCCCCATGTCCAGAGTCGCACCGCAGTCCATGTCTAAGTCTAAAGCGAATATGACTGTGAGAGCGCCCCACATCCCCAGCCGCCCTGCGCATGTCATATATCGAGGTGCACGCCTGCTATCCTGCGTTGGGGCCCGCGTCCGGATGGCCCGCCGTGCGCGGTAGGGTTGGGGGCTGGGAGCCCTGTGTTGCGCCTGCGGAAAGGCTATCCCACGCGCGCGTGCTTCGCTGCTGCGCGGACGTAATGGACGGGCCCTCGTGCTCGTGGCTGGCTGGGTGGTCGGATGGTGTCTTGGAGTCTCTCAGTGCTCGGGGTAACGAAGCACCCCTTAGTAGCGCGGCTCGTGATCGAGCGGGCGGCGCGATCGCGCCGCCGAGCTTCAGTCGCCTTGCGATCTGCTGCAGGCCGCGCACGGCTCCGTCCCAGCGACCCCGCGCGCATCCGGGATCCAAGTCAGGTCACGTCAAGCACTGCATGCGCGATCGAGAGGGCGGCACGGATCAGCCCTCGACCACACGGAACATCTGCCCGTCTGTACTGTCTATCGGGCATATGACCCACGATGACGCAGCCGGCCTGCGCCGTATGTATGAGCGGTGGGCAATTGATTCGGCCTCGTTGCTGCACGCTGCGCGCTTGTACAGCCGGGCAGGTCGTGAACGCCCGCACGCGAGCCCGGGCCCTCGTTCTGCCGCGAAGCGGGAAGCGGGAGGCTGCTGAGAGACGCTATCTGACTGACGTCTGTCCGCAGCCTCGATCGCCCGCACATGCGCAGGCACTTGCCAGGACGGGATAGGATCGGGGTCCTGTGGTGCGTTGTATGCGTCTTCTGCGGTGTGCTGGCGAGGCTGTGATGCTCGGGCCAAATGCGATATACTTGCGCGGCGGTGGTACTGTGCGGCTGTGGAGGAGCAACGAGGCAGATACGCGTCCGCGTCTCCTGGTAACTTACATGTCTTTCTTTGTGCACTGTGAGAGCAGGTTACGGCACAGGGAACGTTCGCTCTCCAGAGCGCTCAACGGCGGCGATAGTAGGGCAGGATATGACTCTGGCCGTCATATGAGCTATGAGCCTGGGTCACGCAGGGAGCGAAGGAGCGCCGAATGCGGACAATTGGGCATCGTGATTCTATGCGCAGAACGCTTAGGCGGCGTCTCGTATCTGCCTCTTGTGTCTGTCTTCTTCGTGCTACTCAGGGACGCCTGCAGCGGCCCTGGCGACTCTGAACCGTCCGTGGAAGCGACATATAGGAGATAGGTGCGCCGGCGGCACGTCATGCGTTGTCTCGCGCGAACAATAGTGCCCATCGTAGATAGCAGAATTAACGGATTACAAGATAGCGCGGCAGGTCTCCACGACTGCGGGTCCCCTAGCGCGATTGCGCCTGCGATGCGAACTTCTGAGGCTGTGCGGCGGGGAATGCAGATGCAGATATGATGCATATGACGGGTGCGATCAAGCAACGTGCAGATCCAACCCGACCTGGGGAAAAGCGCACTGCCGCTTTGGGCGCGCGATGTTCTGGGAAGCTTGTGTATGAGTGGTGCGGCTTTGGGGGAAGACGTGGCCTTGAGGCCTGCGCGTGCGCGGTGCAGTAAGCCGAAGACGAGGGGATCAGATTCAAGGTCCCCGTGCGCTTCCTCGGCGCGCCGTGACATTGACGGTTCTGCCAGAGTGTTGCGTGCGGGCGTGCGGGCCGACGCGGGGCGCAACGTGCAGCAGGACGTGGGCCGTTGTTAGTGGTTTGCGGTGTGTGTATCATCATGTCGAGGCTGGCGCAGCAGCGTGGATCAGAGCGTCGGGGGGGACACTTGCAGTAATGCTATGAACACACATGCGCTGTTGACAGAAACTCTAAACAATGTGGGTGATGCATGTGCGCGAGCCAGATGTAGGTTCTGTAGCAGGTGTATGAAATAGACTTGGGAATCGAGCGTACGGCTAGGCGTTGTTGGGCGCCCCGAACTTTGTTACTTACGTCGCGTGCCGTCGCAACATGAACGAGGGATAGCTCGCGAGACGGTCACGTGTATGCATTCTGTCAATCAACCAATCGGAGAACGGTCACATGAGCTCTGCAGCCCTGCACGGGCTGATGGACGCCGGCCGTGCCCGAGGTCTAAGTATGAGCGTTGAACAGACAAGCCACGCGTGTATCAGAACGAGCCATTCAACCGCGTCAACCCTCGTGCGTTTAAGTTGCCATCATCATTTCCATCGCATCATGGCGCTGGACATTTCGCACAGCGCGCGCGCATTCTTGCCGCTTCTCGTCAACGATCGCGCAGTGTATGTAATGTCAGTGACCGTGACTCGCGTGGCCGAGTCCGGGGACCCAGGTGATGATCAGAACACACCTCCGAGGCCACGCCGGTAAATGGACTGATCCTCGGCTACTCAGTCTTGAGGGCTGTCTTCCATAAGTTGTTACTCGGTTGTGTGCACGCCGCCGCGCGTCCGAGCCGCATGCCATCATATGCTGGCCCATACAACCGTGATACGTGTGGCGTCCTCGTTAGTCCGCTGTCCTCTCGTTCACTCGTCCGATCTATCAGGGGCGCACCTTGTGCCGATCCTTGACTGACACAAGAGGTCCCTGTAGTTGGATCGTTGATCATCGCTTGGGATCGCGCGAATGCCGGCGGAGCCAATGGGCCACGGTTTGACCGTGATCGAGATCTGCGCAGCGCAGGTATTCGTGTTTCAATTACGACGCAGCCTTCGAGACGACCAGCTCCTAGGATGGTGGATCACATTTGCACAGGAGTCCGCGCATCCACATACACCCGCCAGGGCCACTATCGTATCCGCAGAGCACGAGGTGCTAGCCCGATCCGCGTGAGATTCGGGCGATGACGGTGAGAGCCGGCGGGAAGCCATGGTGGGAGCGTTCCATAATGAAAGACGAGCGAATCCCGAGCAATACGGGTATCAATCCGGGGAGAAGCACGTAGAGGGCGGCCCATATTGGATGATACAGGGCAGCACTCACCGGACACTGGCAAGAAGACTCCGAAACGGAACCTGATGAGCCGTACTCGCCTCGCACCCGAGCCGTGGCGCGCAACTCACAAGTACAGGTGCACGGAGGGATCCGTTGCAATCGCTCCGAGACCGAGATGCATGCGTAGCAGATCTGCGACAGCGGTATCAGAAAAGCCGTTGGCAGCGGGCAACCCACTTGTGGAAACACGACATCATGCGGCAATTTCCATCCAAGGCGATCTTGAACGAACTACGTATTGTTGCCTGTGGGACAAGGTTATGAGCATTGTATGCTTGAGGAGAGTAGGCCAGAGTTCTGTCGCAAATGAATCCCTACAAATATCCACTAACGTGGTCAAAGAGTTGTCCGGTTCACAGCCAATGCCGCTCACATTGCTGCCTGCTCAGATGTCTCTGGGCCAATGGGCAGTTGTTTGTTGTTATTTGTAGCGGACTTTTCGTCACCCGGTTATTTGCAAGCCACTTGTCGTCTTCTGAATCTCAGCATACTCTATCTTTCAACTGCTGATCGTCTGAATGTCACTTCCTTGCTCTGGTATCCATTGCTCTTGGCAGTGATCTTGGCGTCGACCGTCAACGGCGCAGAATGTTAAAGGCCGGTCATGCCAATATCATACAGGGAAGATGATTGATCATATGATGCACACGTTGTATCGAATACCGACGTCTCGCTAGCATCCAGACACTTGGTTACGTCTTCGCCCGCCTGTTATGCAGCTCATACAGCCGCATTGGCGGAGCTCCCCAGAATTCTATATTAAACCGTCTGCATGGCTGTCTAAACGTGCTATACCTTTTCGCTCTACCATTGAGATGTAGTACAATACGATACATCCAACCCTACAAGCCTTTCTGTCGCTTCGTTCTTTGTTGTCTCGCTCTGTCTGCTCGGCCGATTTGCTGCGCGCACGTCAATTCGACATTGCAATGAGTGGATTTGTCTCAAGAGAGAGCCAACCCTTGCTGCGCAGCGCTTGCTCGCTCGCCACCCACTGCCTGTCTTGTCTAGCGTGTGTAAAGGATCCCAATATATCACGAATTGCGAATGGCAAGTTCTATCTGATTTTTGACGTCAAGCTCTGACGCCGGCAATCTATAGTATGACACACCTATACTACATCCGCTCGCCTCTGAATTCAATCCCGCGTCTCTGCAGACACGCCGGACTCGGCCAGTCCCAGCATGTGCCTTACAACACGCAAACATGCTATGCTTCGATGCATGCCTTCGCAGCTCCTCTGTGCACATTACGAGACCACGGACCCTGCTCAATCCCAAGAGCGATCGCTGCCGGTCAATTTCAGGTCATGCGCCCGTTCGTCATGGGGCGTCTTTCAGGTGAGTACGGCATCCCTGCATTTGAGCTTCTGAGCTCTTGTGCAGATATTACCGGTGCCAACAAGCTACAACTCGGAGTAACTCGGGCATCTAGATATATATTGTGATGAAATCAGCGTGGTAACGACTCCATGAACACCCGAGAACCCAAGTTTTGTGGTGCCATGACCACGAGCAAGAGCGCAAATTTGACAACGTACGTTGGTATTGCCACACTGCCACTCATGGACATTCGATAATGCGTATCAGCAGGGAAGGCGGGTATATTTCCAAAGCCCAGATCCCACCGGATCTCATAGGAAGCCACTATTATCCCAACCGAATGTCCTCACGGCCCAATGTTCCTGACTACCGCTCCAAATGGTGGCTAATACCAAATAACGCAGCCACTATTACACGACGCAGCTGCGGACATGTGGTAAGCGCTACACATATGTCTATGCGTCTATACTGTTGTGGGCGTTGCATCATTCTTCGCGTCTCGTCATACTTCTTCACTAGACAGATGATATTTATCTTCGGGCTAGCACGATGCGAGCGACCACACATCTCTGCAACGGTGATCTTGGATCACTATGCTGTACAGCAATCTAGTGAGTCTATGTATACAGGTTACCTAGGAGTCTGTCAAACCACCGCACTAGGAAGACAATATCACTGACTGTCAGTCGGCCGTACATAATATCCCGACCTCAGTACGTATAGCAACGATAGCATATGCGACATGTTTGATGTGCTCTACCCGATCCACCATTCTGTCGCGTTGCTTGATGATACGCTCACTTAAGGTACGATTGATGGGCGCCACTGACGTTGTCGACTCGATGCGTTCACATTTTCCCAGGCTTGTTCCCAGGTCAATCTAGCAGTGTCCCATCCTGTTTTGTTTGTATTTTTGGGCGTCCGGAGACCTCCAGCGGTCTCCACCCGGACGCGTGTCCGCGTCCGGATCAGCGCGCTAACAGTGCCCGGGCTCTGTCCTGACGCTCTCTCACCTAGTCTTCTCACTCCAACTTAGGTTCGTACGGTGCGAAGTTCATGCGCCCCGCTGTCACGAGCTGGCAGATCGGGCCAGGCTCCGTGCATCTTCCAGCACGCGCACGCATGCTCCGAGCCCGGACATAGGGCGCACGGCCGCCAGCAGATCGAACCTTGAGGGAGGGGCGATCTTCGTGCGTGCAGCTTGTAGCGCGCCGATGCCCGTCGGTCTTCTGGCAGCAGTCCTGGCATTTCTGTGCACGCAACAGCCCATTCTTCTTGCATAAGTTCCGCTCCTCGATGCCCGATCGACACCGTGGGGCGGTGCGATGCTTCCGGACCCCGCACTAACAGTGCTGGGGCCCGAGTGGCCTAGGTTCTGGGGTGCGGTGCATTCCTACACAGATCTACTCCGATTAGCTGAGACGTGCTTCAATCAACGCCACTTGGACATAGATCCTTTTCAATCTGCGAACCTTGCTAACTAGGCGCTTTCATGTACGGTAGCGCGGATAAACTGACCCAGGCCCTTTGCCTTGCGTAGTCTATCAATGTCCCCCAGCGGGCTGGGATTGAAGCGGTGCGTACTGCATCCTGCTGCTGCAAGTCTTGAGTGAACTAGCCCAGGCGTCTTTCAATCTTTGAATACGCAACCTGGGAAAATATTTGCTACCTTTGAAATGCGCTTGTTTGACATTGACATTCCTAGGATGCACCCGGTGAAGGCGGTCGAACGTTTATGCCCGCTGGCACGAAACGCCCATCATTTTTCATGGGCGTTTCGAGGGCCGATGTATGCATCACTCGCTCGGTCATCGGTCCCAGTCCTGCATACAAGCGTGCATTGGACGTCCCTGGCCACTGGTGGGTCGAACAAAGCGTCTTTCATAAATGCCTGTGACCGTCTCGGCCTGACGCGGGCTGAGTGATCATTGTAAATCGTCCAAAGGCTCTCCGACTGCCCTGTTGGATGCTTCCGCCTGGTTCAGAGATAGACGTGAGTTGTTCTCTCACGATAGTCAGCATGTGTGTACTGATAAGTACATCTTTGTCCCTTTGCCTCGATCCTTGCTTCGCTCGGTGAGCGTAAATCTCTATAGGACCCCGTTTGTGCCCAGGGTGACCTTGTCCTCATGAGGCCATGTGCGACACGTTCGTACTTATCTATGCTGCCGCCTCGGCCGCGCTTCGAAATGGCGTTTGCTTTCAATCAACGCTCGTGACAAGGCTAACTGTGCATGATGTCACTCACGGGCAGCTGGGAGTGAGCCTTTTCGCGTTATTAAGCCTATCTCTTTGCTCATCGAAAACGGACGTTTGCTTATTGCTGACAAGCGCAGATCAGCTCTTGTCTTCGGCAAGGCACAAGGTCCTATCTCGTGCTACGCTCGATACGTTGTTGTCTGGACCAAAAGCCAAGAAGAGGTCTACGGCTGCATCTCAACAAGCGACCTGTTTGGCTTGCGCGATTTCTTTTGTCGTTCTTGCGGTCACCACGACTCTGTTTCTCTCAGCAACCACTAAGTCTTGGCACCCGACCCCTCTTGTGCTGCAATTCCCTCGGACCCACTGATCTGCGGAGATTCTAGACAGTATCGTATGTTACGAGGCGCGAAAGTAACAACTTTGGCTTCTGGGGAAACTTCGAGCTGCTTTTCATAGCATTCCTGTCGCGATATAGGCTCGCAGCTCCACTTCCTACGGGGTCGATCTGGTCTTTTATATCAATATACTTGTCGCTGTCAAGAGATCTTCGCTTCACAGCCTGGACCGTCAGCGGTGGGAAGTAAATTCAGCTTGAAGATGTATCATTCATCGTAGTGAATGATAGTTCCATTCTGCAGTTACAAGTATCGATACGATTTCATCGTGAGTGCTTGGAGGGATTCGAGGGTCAGCAGGGTCCAGATGACATCCACTATTGGGAAGCTGAGCTCCTGCCTATCGCAGATGTATGCCTTATATCACAGCGGCCCGAGATCGCCTAGCGGACAAAGAGGACGCCCATCATTATGCAACGTACGAATGTAGCCGGTACGGCGCTGCTGACGTCGGTGCAGGGACGTGGCCGACTCCGCGCTGATGCACTCACTGCTCCACTTTGATATTGATGAGATCTGATACTCGACTACTCTCGCTGTCCCCGACAAACTGAGCATCGAGGTTTACAAACGCGACATGAGCACGCTACTGGCAGCCACGATATGATACTTATGCACGCGTGTTAAGCCATCGGCAATATACTAGCTGTCTCGGGTGTAGTATTGTGGGATACCCTTGTATTGTCATCTATCGCATGGTCCGTGATGGAACTCAGCGGCTCGTCATGCTGGCGCATCTATCATCAAGTCGCTGCGCGCTGTTAGGCCTCCTGCATTTCTGGCATTTGTGTCTGGGTCCCCACTCGCCTATCTTTCTATGTTTCAATATTGCGTGATTTATGATATTGCCCTTTTGTCTGACTGTACCGTACAAGTCGCAGAATCATCGATCTGTACACTACAAGATTGCAATGTTCTATCATTCATTTATGTGATTTAGTGATCATGATTCGCTGTCTCACTACTATGCTGTCGCCTGGATTGGCATAAAGGGAATTTTGGAGCCGTTTCTTGTGAGCATTTAAGTTACATCATAGGTGGTAGCCACAATGCGATGGTAATCAAACCCATGAGCTGCGTCCGGGACTGTAGACTTAATGACTACCAGCTCATAAGATCAAAAGGTAAGCTTTCAAGGACGTCGGGAATCGGTAGCATAATGTTTCTCTGCGACCGGCATACCGTACTGAGGACTCGGAATAATCAAAGCGAATACCATATGTTCTTGAGCAGCAAGACATGGCGCTTGAAGAGTCGAGACGTATTCATGTGTATAGAGGATATTTATCTGGTCCACACGGTATACCTTGTGACCACTACAGGCGCGGAAGTAATAGAAAGCTCTGTCCGTGAAACTTGAAGGCTCTAAACGACTTCGGTATGCGCATTTACACCGCCCGGCTTCTCGAGCTTCTCGTACCATCTTTGGTGCCGCAATTGCCGCTGCGGAGCTGCCCGGAAGGTTCAGACACGGTACAATGCGTATTCGATAGCATGGATTCCAGTCGCAAATGCATAGAACGAGCATCTGCTGCGGCACACAGAAGGATCGTGGTTCCCCTACGCCCTCGGCTAGGATGTTTTAGATGAGCGGGTCCGCGACCTATCGCAAGATCCAGTGCTCGCACAGAATGGAAGCATAATGGTCGTGCATGGCGTGTGGCCGGGGTCTGTAGGATGGCTTTGTTCTAACACGACAAGCGGAGAATTTTGGTATGGTAGATCTCGATGGAGGAATAGGTTTTACCGGGACTGGCCCATGGGACAGCATTCAATTGAAAACGCTCTTGAGCCTATCATCAAGTGCCGGATTGATAGACTTATCGATGAAGTGAAGTTGAGAGTTCCCCGCGCCTTCATGTGTGAAATGCATGGTCAGGCTGGCTGATGCGCGTGGGCTGCTAGTTTTCTCCCGGTAAGATCACGACATTCTACTAGGCTGTGCGATAGGGAGCCTCGTGTAACGCAGACGGTGTATATACTTACACAAGAGACGCGCTGGTAATGGACATGTACACCGCACGATGTGTTCATTTTGTAGGCCGAGGCTCAACTGGCGGGCGTGCGGGATGGCGCATTCAGAATTCAATGAGAAGCGCGTTCCCTTTGTCCACAGACACTCGGATTCTATCGCCGGCGTTGACGTCTTTGAACTGCAACGCACGGTGCAAGGGCACCAGTGGGAGAGCAATCTTGTTAGATTGGACACATGTGGCCGCGGAAATGACCCACCGTCAGCTCTCTGGTGCGGTGCAAGCTCTCTATTTCGTCCACCCTGTTCCGGACGTCGTCGAGCAACTTGTTGAATCCTGATGTTTCAACCACCTCCTGCGCCGCACGCAAAATTAACAATGAGTCGGGCGTCACATTGTGGTCTGTCTGCGGCAGAGGGTATTTCAGCAGGCTGTTACGGTGTGGTCTGATCCAGCATGCACTTACGTCAATGGCAATGATGTTGGCGCGGTCGAGACCTAACAATAATAACTCAGACACCCGTGCTCGACATGTGCGGACCACATACCCTCCAGAAAATCCGGCCTGGTCATGATCTGACGACATTTGTACTGCATCGAATGGTCAGAAGACTGCATGGAGGCAGCAAAACGCGGAACTCTTCACGTAGGGAATCTTCGGTAGCGGCAGCTCGTCCAAATCATCCGGTGACAACTTCCCAGACTTGACGGCCTTTCTGCGCTCCCGCTCATCCTCCCGGCGCTGTTGCACAAACTCGCGAAGAAGCAGCCACGAGCACGAACTCCACTTTTGCTCGTCCATTACATCGTCGTCGCAGTCCGGGATGAGTCCGATTTGGCTCTGCAGCCAGGCCGTCTCAACGGCGAGTATGTTGTTCGCAGCATCCTGCACGTCCTGAGCTCTGGCAATTTTGGACAAGTATGACAGTCGTCCACCGACAACGGACACAGCCTCTTGTATCGACACGGCGTCAGGGAGCGCTCGCCTCATATTCAAGCGCATCAGACTGGTGGCTCGAGCAGCATCTTTTAGCGATAAGTCGCCAACGGCAACGACCTGGGTGACGTGATGGGTCAGCATTCGTGACATATCCTGCATGTTATGTTTCACCTGTAGTCTTGTAGCAACTTTCTCTGACATTCGGTCAGAGGGACGAGCGTTAGAGAGGTGAATAGACCCACTCATTAACAGGTAAGGCCAGAAGTCATCACTGTGCCCGATGGACAGGGAGGTCAACATGCGGTCAGAAGACAGCCGAGGGAAGACAATGCGTACGTGCTAAACACCAGCGTCATGATGCCTAACCAGCGCACGCACATGAGCATTTGACCGCCTGAAGCATGATTCATAGGCGAGAGATACCTCCTGCGGCCCAGGTCTCGGCGCGATACTGCAGTTGCAAGAGCATGTTCTTCCCGTCGTCATCATTCTTGAAATAATGTACGTTGTTGATAACTAAAATGAGTGGCCGCCCCGTGCGCTGCGTATGGCGCAAGGCAACCTTCTCCAGTTTGTTTAGTGCTTGTAACAAGCGGCTTCAGAGCTTCATCCTCGCATGACTATGAAAAGACCCACCTCGCTCAATATCCAGCGAAGGCCCGGCTGTTAAAGAAAACAGCATTTAGTCACTGCTTGCTCATTTATCACATAACGACATACCTTCTCGCGGATCTCGCCGCTGGAACAGACCTGTCTGGGTATCCTCGTTGTACTCGTAATTCAACGCTTTCCCGAGGCGCAATCGGAACACCTCTAGGTCTGGGTGCGCGTCGCACATCGCGACGCCCTCCGCCTGCACAGCCTGCATCGCATCGAGGATCATAGTTCCCTTGCCCGTCCCCTATGATGCTCCGCACTCATAACTCAACCAATCATAAAATTAGGTGGTGGTGCTTACCTTAGGTCCGAGCAGCATGTAGTATTGCCCTGCCTCCGCGCCCCGAATGACGCGATCGATGAGGTCTTGTTCGCGCCGCCGCACATGCTCCGGCCACACGGGCTCAGATGGCGAGGCATCGGATTGGTGTGAAGCGTTGCGGCGTTTTGCCGCGCTTGCCAGCTCAAGGGCTGGGTCATACCCCCTCGCGAATGCCAGCTCCATCTGCAGAAGGGGCCTAGTGAATGATTCATATACATGTATTGAGAGAACTTCCATACCTTATCGAGCACATTCTTCTTGTACCATGCCACATAAGCTATGCCGCCGAAGAATACTGTGCAATCCACAGTATGAGCATGTCACAGGTAGTCACATAGAAAGCGAAGAGCAAATGACGGCCGCTTCTGTGTGGCATAGTGAAGATCATTCTGAAGTACGTTCGGTGAATGGCGTTTCCTGAAATGTAACTTACCAGCGCCGAGACCGACAAGAGTCGTGATGACTGCATCACCAATCGAGGATCCTGTCGTAGGAATGCCACCGCTCACACGTCTCGTAGACTTGTCCGCTGTTTCATCATCCCGGCGGAAACGAGGTTGGCTTCCTTCTGCTGGCGATTGAGCGCTGCGCTGGCTCTGTGATGTGGACACAGTACGTAATCCCAGTTTCCGATCGTTCAGCCGCTGTGCAACAATCACATTGAGGTGTATCTGCCTGTTACTGAAGTGGAGGACAGATTTGACGCAAGTTAACATAGGCGTAGGAGTACAATGGCAATCGAGGTTGCTTGGGTATGATTACTGGCTGGCATTAATGGCCAAGCGGAGCTGTGCCACCGGCGCCCCCGACTACGCGTTTCAACGCAATGAGCTACGCAGAAGTAAAATACGTCTTTTGACAGCAGTGATCTCATACCAAAAGTAATATCAGGTGGAATGCTCCAGCTCAATAAGGGCTCGATGCTGCGCCTTCCACCTTTGTTGTAAATTTCAGGTTCGAGAAGCTATAGTTGAAAGCGCCCATCTTGGCCCAATCAAATGTAGCATTTGCACGTGGTCCGTGATAGAAGCGCTCAGGCGCCTGCGACGCACCTGTGGTTGATGCATCAAAGGCCTACATACCTTAGCAGAAATTGGAACTCGCATATGCGGCTGAATGTTGAAGAATGATTTTCATGTATGCTCCCAAGCTGCGGAATTGAGACACGCTACGCCGGCAGAGCCTACGATCTACTTATCTATAAGATTTGATAATCTTCTTATCCCCACCTTTATTTGTTCATTTACTCACGCTTGAGTTGTGTATTTTCTGTACTTTTGCAAGTTTACAGAATAAATAATCAAAAAGAGGAGCATTGATCTTGTCACAGAGTCCAAGTGTGTCAGACAAGATGTAGATTTCAATGAATAGTCGCCATCATACTTTTGAGACGGGCAGCCGGACAGTTATTTAGCGCCCACAACCCACACTGCGACTTGAGTCGTCAACTCATGCGCTGTATGAGGCTGGTATCATAAAATTGGTAAGCGACGCATATTCTTCCTTGACAGAGTACTTTCGTAGATTTAGGGGTAAATTCTGTGAGCTCGACGAAGTTATCTCGCTCATGTTGCATTGGCGGAGAGGCATCATCGACTCGGATATTCTCCGACTGCACATCTAGTACAGTTTATCCGACGCTGCCACTGCAGTTTCAAAGGCTCGTGGTATACTTCTGAGCAGCGCGTGTTTGCTCCAGATCAAGCTGTTAGTTTGTACTCTTGTCCAATTCCAGTCCTGGCGCAATCGAACTTTCTGACGTCTTTGTCTCTAAAAGAGGACATCATGACTACGCCGGCTCTGCCAAGAGACAAACGGATACCCGAAGGAGCTTTCCGAGACAGTGTCTTGGACATAGCTCAACCACTGTTCTGGTGGTGAGGCACGATTATCGAGGGTATTACAATGGCCCCCAAAGCCCCATTTCGTGGCCCGGGGCAATCTTGGGCCATGAGTCCAGCATCATTCCACGAGTCGAATGCACGACTGATCATCTTCTTGCCTCTTCACTAGTGCACGCCCTTGTTGGTCCGCCTCTTCGCTGGTAGCAAGACTATCAATGTCAAATCACGGCGCGATGAAGTTTACGCGTGCACGATGTTTTGCTACCATCTAGACTGGAAGTGTGCTTTTTCCAAGCTAAGTTTGGTTTCCACGTTGCCAATCGCGTGGTGTCTGCATTCCCCATGGCACAGCATCATCGGCGTCTGTGCGCATGACGCCCTGCTAAATCGGACGCGAGGCAGTGCCATGGAATCTAGCCCGATTAACCGCCCTAGCTGAGGGGTATCTGGCTACTGTACTTCACTGTGGTATGTGAGCTCTTCCATTTGTAGAAGACGACGGCGCACGAACAGAATTTGGTGCCACGTTCACATCGCGAAGTGCCTTTCATTGATGTTATCTGGCAGAATCCCATGGCTGAAATGGATCCCTACGAGTGGAATTTCTTGATTTAATAATGCCATGGTTGGGACACGGAAGAGCACCCTCAGACGCTTTTCGAGCGTTCCGTACACCCGCAGAGCCCAGTTATCCTGTTACGGCGTTCATGGCTTCTCCGTAGAAATGACTGATGTTCTGGACGACAGCTGCGCAGAATCCCCGCCGCGAGCGCTTTAAATATGCCTCCGCGCTCCTCTGCCGTGAGAGCTTCCTGCGGATATACTGACGGTGGGTGAGTCGTGACACGTTCCCTTCGACAAGGACGTGCCTCGTGGTGTCCCTCTTACGACCTTCGATCTGTCTTCGACGCGTCCATTGCAGACGCACGCGCGAACGCTCGCCATCCAACCGCCTCTTCCTGGGGCCAGTCCGGTCATCAACTTGATGGACGACACAGTCTGCTGCCGCAGAAGGCCTCCTTCAGTGCGAGCATTGCACTTCGCGTGATGGTCCACAGAGACGGATGGCACACGTACGGAATGACTCTTGATCATCAGGATGGCCTCTGCAGTCACTGTGTCTCGCCGTGCATCCGATAATCTGAATGGACGCGCCGATGCCTCTCGACAGGTAGAAGCAGGTGTGTATCCGCATGTATGCGGGGCTACTGCTATTGCTATTGTGGGGCCTCTCACGTTATTAGCCCATACAAAGTCCTATCTGCCACCTTGGGGGCGTGTCTGAGCAAGTACGTCAGAAATACCACAGGGCACCATTTTTGCTATGAGTAGCGCTAGCTACCTGAAGTAACTTCGCGAAGAAAAGGTGCTTCGGAAGCCATCGTATACCAAGCCATGCACATGTGGAATTGACGCCACGCTGGCAGCAGCAGCAGCGTTCTTCCTTCGGTGCCCTTCTCCGAGTCTCAGCCTCAAGGTCTCATGTCCATTACATTTAGGCAGGTCACCAGGTCGAGCTTTCTTGCAGTTCCCGTGTGTACAGATGTCTACGTCACACTTACATTCCATTATCCTGTTTGCCGTGTTTCGTGTCGGCCACTGAATGTGACTTCCAAGCCTGAGTCTCCACAGATGCTACTACACGCTACCGCGTGGTGGTTAGTGCACGCGACGCTCAGAGACTGGTGCGGATAGGTACAACTCAACTGTATCGTCGTCTGACGCCTCCAGCACACCATAAATGTATCATAGTGTTCAATGAATGCTTCTAGGCCAACCAGCGAGCCGACGCACTGGCTGGGACAACTCGTACCATGACATGGCGGGTGCCAAGAATGCCATCCGTATTCTGGAATCTCCATCTCAGGGACCACAGCACAGTCGATCTGCGCGGACAATGAACAAACAACATTGACGGGCGCTCATTTCATCGTTGTCTATTATGTGGAGACACAACCTGGCATGAGGATAACTGCAATAAATGTACATCGCAGGTGCGTTTGCGCCTACAAACCAGCAAGAACACTTTCCTGACCCTCAACACCCACAACACGCCCGCCCACCTCCACCTCCATGCACCCAATATTATCCCTCCCCTCCTCCTTCAGGTATCCATCCTCCTCGTGCAGCGGTCTCCCCGCGCGCTCGCCCAGCACCATGTCCTCCCCAACCGCGCGCAGCCACTCCACGACCGGCTCCCTGAACCAGCGCCGCACCTCGCCCGCCCGCGCGCCCGCCTCAAACCACCCGAGGTGCCCGCCGCGCCGCGTCACCGCGAACACGACGCGCGGGTTCCCGCCCCCGCCGACGGGGAGCACCTGCACGATCGGGTCGTCCTCCGCGTTCAGCGCGAGCAGCGGCACGCGCACCGCGCCCAGCTTGTCGTGGCTCGACGCCCACACGTAGTACGCCTGCGCGCTCGGGAAGGGGAACGGCGGGGACGACCCGCCTGCGAACCGGTTAAACGTGCTGTCGAACGCCTCCATCGTGGGCCCCTTGAGCGCGAGCAGCGGCGCGACGGCCTGCGCGACGGTGGTGTCGGCAAATTTGCTCAGCGACGCGGCGTGGCGCCGCACGATGTTCTGCAGGTTCGTGCCGAGCGCGCTGGAGTAGACCGTGCGGTGGAACCACCTGCCTTCCAGGCTGAAGGCGGTACTGCGTGAACAGGACACGAAGATGAAGGTTTTGAATAGCTTACGCTTCACTGTTCTTCAGTAGGTCCCACGGCTAGATCATGGACGGTAAAGCTCAAGTTGGGGATCGAGGCGATGTGGACTTACGCAGGCAAGAAGGCATGCAGCGACGATGCGACTGTTCTCGCCCTCTTCCGCCAGATATCGTGTCAGGACGTTGGCGCCGAGCGAGAATCCCAAGCCCAGGAGAGGAGCACGCGGGTATCTCTTCCTCAGATAGTAGACTGCTACACGCAGGTCGTCTGTGTGTCCTGCGGAATACAATTGCGGGCTTGTAATTGGCACGCCGGCACCTGCAACCGAACCTCAGCATGAGGGTCAATAGGTGTCATACTAAAACGACGTACATCCGCGGAAGTTGCAGACGACGGCTCGGTATCCCAGACCGCCTTCTTCCACAGGCGCGCATACGGGTGCGAGGACGGCGCGGACATACGCCTCGTGCGAACCTGGAAGACTGGTCAACGGACGATCATGTAGGGCAAGTCACGGTGAGCATGATTGATGTCGACTTCAACAGGCTCTATTAGAGCAACGGCGAATATAATCCGTTATTTCATGAAGATGAACAAAGACACGATGTATTTCCCCAGTCAGATGGTGAGCATGTCTGGGTAAAACCCACCCGTACAATGCTGCCTCATACCTGTTTTCGAGAAGCAACACTGGTGCTCTCCACCCAGCCGACGTTGATATCGAGGTAGTAAAACCCGCCACTTAGACCAACCACACCGAGTTTCACCTCGATGACCGGTGTAAATCACACATTTCAATAACGGTGTGGATGGATGTTTTCCATGTTCAGCTTCAGAGTGACCTGTATAACGTACCACCTGTCAATCCATGTTTTACCACGACGATAGGCGTGTCATCCTTCAGCTTGCGATCATGCTCGAGCGGTGCAAAGTCTAGGCCGCTGCATGTGGCTGAGACAAAGTTGTCAAGATGACTCCATGGGGACTCACATCGTGCCGCCATCCAGCGTTCGTAAGGTCGTCCTGTATACGGCGTTAACTGCAAGCTCCGATGTTTGTCTACACAAGCATACCTTTCGTAGTCTACTTTATCAACCTTGGAGAAGTCCCCTACAACTGAGTATCCTGTTTGGAGATGCCCGCTGCTCAAGGGAAGAGCTTGCAATCGTGTGGACGGACGCGAGGACAGCCGTACAGACGGACCTGAACAACCACCACGCAGGCCGGAACTCCTTGTGCAAGCTGGGACATCGCGTCTCCACAAAGTGTCGCAGGGATTCTTCACGGTCCTCCTTTGTATTGATTGGACTCTTCACGAGTACAGGAAAAGTTGAGGGCGCATAGTAAAGCTTTGCGTGGAAATATCGCGGAAAGAACACATCAGACAACTTGAGCAGCGCATATAGGGCGCATAGAGTTAGTCCAAGGGCGAGAGTGATTGTCATAGATGGAACGCAAGCTCAAGCGGGCGCATGTAGATGCCTATCACGCATTCCAGACGGACGCTGCCATATGATATAGACGACCGTCGTTGCTCGTCGTGGTCGCCGGCAAGCTCGAGCGCCCGTCGACTCTGCCTTTCAAGCCGGCTTTGTGCGCTGCGTCTTCTCCCTCACTCGCCATATAGACAATCTGGCTTGTAGACTGAAGACTCATCATGCGACGCCCACCCTCGGCTTCTATTGACCCGCGCCGGGCTATTTGAACAATTGACTCCGAGTTTCTGGATAATCGACGAAACAAACAGGCCATGACTCACTTATTCAATTATCCAGGCCTTGGTCACTGGTAGTCCTCTGTCATTGTCAGCGATGTCTGCGTACGGCGCTATCCAAAGGACTGCCAGTTTAGAGCCGCTCGCCTCCACAGTATGGCACCTCAAGGACAAAGGGCATGGCGAACACGACAATGTCACGATCCATCACCTTACCCTCTCCCGTGCACGATCTCTGTCGGGTCTCGTAGAGTACCTGCATGCAGTCTTTGCTGACGAGCTTGCGCGGGGGCTGACGTATCCGCAAGAAATCCTGCCGGGCGAGACATACACCCAGGAGACGTTCGAGGCGTACTACTTCGCCGCAGACGTCTTGGTTGCCGTTCAGGGCGAGTCGGAAAATACGCTCTCGTTCGAACATCCGGAGGGACAGGCCGTATCTTATGGGATCGACGCCGCGCGAAATGGGCGGCGATGGGAAGCTTGCATTGCAGGATGTTACTATGTGAGTGCTCTTATGCAGCCTTGAGCTCAGTTGCCGTGCCTTCGACTGCTGTGCGTGCGTGATTTGTTCGCATGATCTGACTGGTATTATCGACAGGTGAAACCCAACTATCCTGGTCGGTCGTCGCATGTGAGTACCTTGTAACGCGTATGCTGCGACTTCTGCATATAGCAGATGGACAAATGAGGCTCGTTCTTGCGTCATACTACTATCACGCTATGCTATCACCCGTGTTTGTCGGAGGCAAGATGACATGCCAACTTGAGCCGCAAATCCACCCGCTATTGACGACGGGTCGGTCGACCCATTAGGTCCCAGACATCAGGCGCCATGCCCGGTCCCTGATCGCTGCGCCTTCTCTCGATCGGTTCGACTTTTGCGAGGCATCCTGTAACTCACGCGTCCGCATTTGCTGCAGATCTGCAACGCCGGCTTCCTCGTTCCCGTCTCCCAGCGCGCAAAGGGCGTCGGCGCGGCGCTCGCGCGCTCGTTCCTGCACTACGCACCGCGGCTCGGGTACGAAGCGAGCGTGTTCAACCTCGTCTTTGTCAACAACACTGCCAGCGTCCGGTGAGTGTCGTCGCGTCTCACAACGTCCCTGCGGGCATGCATCATGCCTTCGATCTCCGCGATCCCGAGGCTTCTGTCGATTTTCTCTTAACGCGTTGTTCTGCTCCGGCACTCACCCTTGATTTCATTACGACAGTCTCTGGGAGAGCCTGAATTTCACCAAGGCAGGGCTGATCCCGCGTGCGGGGCGGCTGAAGAAAGCGGACGGGAGCCCGGATGAGGAGTATGTGGATGCGTGGGTGTTCTACCGCCGTTTCGACCAGCCGTCCTAGGAAGTCGTCGCATTAGAACCGTGCCGTATTTGGTTCGCTAGTGTATCCGCTGCGCTGATAGGCTCCACCATAATCAATGTATGCCTACGATCGGAAGTGTACGCACATTTTCGTCCGTGCTGTCTACTATGAGATTAGAAAGTTTCCGCCCCAACGACCTGTTGCATACACACCAAGGATTCCTGAAAGCCGTCGCCGTGGTGTGACGAGCAACTGGACAGAAGAACTCAGTTTCGAATCTCCATAGATCCTGTCTGATCGCTGTCTGATCGAGCATTTCGTTCTGTTTCAGGCTTCACAATGCACTGGGTAGTGCACAATTCAAGGTGCAGCAACAATATCGGTCAAAGAGGTGTCGTGTTCCGCCTTTCACTATACCACATCAACGCTCATGAGACCAGAGCAGCATACTTCCGCTCAAACGTATAAGGCTCGTGGTCACCGGTCAGATTTATATCACATAAATCCCCGGTGCGAGGCTTCCACTCGGACCAGCGCCCTGAGTCTATTTCGGCTTTCGCCTTCTCTCAGCGAATCGTTACACACCTTCGGTACCACACGAACGCTAGAAAGTGTGCGCACAACGCCCCGCAGCCAGCAATCCTGTAACTGACAGTAGCGGCAACCTCGACATGTCGAGTGCTGATAGTGTTATTGGCGCCCGTTCCTCGCACGGCAAACGACAACAATGAAAAGACAAACACCCGTGTACACTGCTCGTTTTAGGAACAAGCAGGACCAGAGAAAGGGGCAGAGCGACGGTACGAGGGGCACCACTATTGTTCCCGATCATCCTCGCCCCTGATGGCCACAGCCACACAAAGCCCACAACTGTAAACACCACGCGACTTAAACTCAACCTCCAACCTTTACCCCCTTCACCACCACCACGAGTATATCATCACTCTTGCCGCTTCCACCCTTCACGAACCTACCACCTCAATCATATCCCAACACACGTTATATTCCATGGACGCGCCCGCAGTACAGAATGTGGCGCAGGTGCGTGCACCCTCCACTCCGTCTCCTCCTGCACCTCCGTAACCTTACATGCCCCCAGATCAACGACAATGGCGACGCCGGCCACATAGATGTGCTCGCCGAAGGCCTACAACTCACACCTACTCCGAGCCCTGAACCGTACGTCCATGACGCCGACGCCACATTGCCACATCCCCACTGACCATTCGCCACAGGCGCACCCCGAGACCCAGACCCCGCTTCCTCGAGCGCAGCTACGGGCCAAGTCCAGGGGCGCTCCCGCCCGACGCAGTGTTCATGTTGAAGACGCCACGGCTGCCACCGGATGTACAGCCGGAGAGCGCGTCGGCATGTCGTCCTGCAGCCGCCGAGCGCCACGCCGCCGCTCATCGTGCGGCCACGCCCTCTCCCATCGCTCGACCGCCCGTCTTCTTCCCTCCGGCCGCCGCGCCACTTGGAGGGCAGAGCCGGCCACAAGTGGCTGTGGCTGGCCCCAGCAGGCCACTGACAGACAGGCCACCTGTCTTCACACTACCAAGCAAGCCGGATGCGCCTGCATTGGCACCGCCGCGGACACAGGGTCTTGTGGCGGCCCCCGCGGATGCAGCAGAAGCTGCTGCGAACGCGCCCGCCCCAGTCTCCCAGCCCAGCCGGTCCCACCGGCGTAATTCTGACCCCGCGGCGGAGGAGGTCCTCGAGCACGGAGTGACCACCATGGGGGAGCATGCCCAGCGGGACCTGGGCTACTTCCAGCGGTCACGTGCGCTCTGCGAGCAAGCCGGCGACCAGTTGTACACCATCCTGGATCTCCGCAAGCAGGTTTTCCAGGAGAAGGCGCTGCGTATCAGGATGCTGACGTACATCCTGCGGTGGCAGAAAATCGAGTCCCTCTGGTCGGAGGAGGCGCTCGGCGAGCACGTCGAGGACATACTCGCGGAGGACGGCAACGCGTCGGCGGCCCTTCAGGGTGAAATCGAGGCGATCCAGGAAGCGATCGCTAAGTAAGTCCTGCGTGTATTTTATAGCCTTTGCATGACTTATAGCGCGGCTTGCTCGCAGGGCGGACGGAGAAGGCGCTGAGGGCGCGAAGAATGCGTCGCGATTACGATCAGAACGCGCAAGGGATGGGCAGCATACGTGAGTGCCTATTCCTGCTCGCAAGTGGATGCGGTTTGACTCTGCGTGACTACAGGCCCGTCCTCGATCAGAGGATACTGCAGCAAATCGCCGACGCGGTCAGAGACCCAGTCGGGTTGCTAGGAAATGCCACACAAAAACGCCGCCGATCTGAAGAGGACGGCGAAGACGACGAGCCCCAGGGGAGCAAGCGGGCCCGCTCGTCTGCACCTCGCGCGGGGCCATCGCAATTCGATGTGGCCGCACCTCCGAATCTCAGCAAGGGGAAAGGCAAGGCGAGGATGATGAGCCCCCTGCAAGAGGAGCCCGAGGAGGCGAACGTGGAAGAAGAGCAGGAGTGTGCGACGGTGATCGCGATGCTGGGGATCCTGCTGTCAGACAGCGAGGAGGAGGAAGGGGAGGAGGACGGAGAGGATGACGACGACGACAATGTGCCTGCTCTAGTGGCGCCGGTCCAAGACGCGCCACCGCCACGGCAGCCTAGCCCGCCGATCGACAGACCTGTGCGCCCCGTCCCACGTCGGTCGCCGAGCATCGGGCCGGCACGACAACCGCAGTCGCAGCCAGCGTATCGCCAAAGCACACGTCTTCGCGCGAGGACGAACGGTCGGGCGTGATGCAAACATATACCTCTGTTCCGCCAGCATTGATACCCGCGTCGATGATACCCTGGCTCTCCTTCACGAACGTCTCTCTCTTTGTAGCTAGCTGTACCTTCATGTAATGTGTCCTGGCCTTCGGACATTCTCCAAATTCCCTTAGTCGTGCGCATACACTTGCTTTGTTTGTCGGCTGCATGCGTGGTAGATCTGTTCCTAACCCGCGCACGATGGGATTTGAACATTGAGCGCCGCCAGTGTCCCGATGAGTGCCATCGCGTCTCTGCAGCTTCGAGTTCTTTCCTGGTTCCCCGCCTTGTCTATACTGTCTCAGCTCGGCATTCCGCTCGGGTATTCACTTTGTGAACGCGCTAGTGGTCTACTGTTGCTTCGGCTCAAACCCCTGGGACCTGGACGACGTGTCGTAGATAGAATGTAATACATCCGCTATGCCGGTTCAGATAGCAGTGAGGTCGTTATATCTTGAAAATGAATAGGTGTGCACTGCATCATGGTGTCCGTGCTAACGACAACGAAACCGAGATACAACCTGGGGGAGCATACACGCAAGCCGTACGCATAACACGGAGGGCGATTGCGCACAGGTACTCGTCGCGATCCGCAAAATTTGGCGCATGCAGATGCCTCGCTCGAAGAGACGCCGTGTTCGCAGAGCCTTCAGATGTCTCGTTCTCGAGGAATACTCAATGACAGGGCTCACAGTAGCATACAGATACTCGGACAAGAATAGACACAACTCCGCGCAGCATACAGATTATGCAAGCAACGACAGGTCCTTTGCGTCGAGTCCTGAGGCCTGATGGCGGGCTGCATAGAAGAGATAGACGCCAGTTGCTCATAGATGACAGCCCGCTTGCAAACAAACGCTCAAGTCTGCTTGTCCTGTTCCATTTTAGGAGAAAGAAGGCCCAAAAGGGGTTATGCCCCTTGTGTCGCCACTCGATCACTCTGGCCACTGATGGCCACAGCCAAACAAAGCCCGCAGCCATAAACACCGCGCGACCTCAACTCGACTCAACCCAACTTCCTTTCCTCCACAACCACGACCACGGCCATACTATCACTCCCGCCGCGTACACCCCTCACGATCCCACCACCTCAATCTTATTCCACTCTTACACACGCGCTATATACGATGGACGCACACACAATGCAAAATGTGGCGCAGGTGCGCGCACCCTGCACTCTATCTCCTCACACACCTTTATGACCTTGCATTCTCGCAGACCGCCAACAATGGTGCCGCCGCCCATATAAACATAAACGCGCCCGCCGTCGAGGGTTCACAACTCACACCCGCACCCAGCCCTGCATTGTACGTTCCTAACGCTGACGCCACATTGCCACATCCCCACTGACTGCTTGTCGCAGGCGCAGGAACACACCCAGCCTAAGGCCCCGCTATCTAGAGCGCAGTTACGGGCCAAGTCCGAGCGCGATCCCGCCCCATGCCGTTCAAATGTTGAAGACGCCACGGCTGCCACCGGGGGTGCAGGCTGAGAGCGCGTCAACGTTCCGTCCTGCAGCCGCCGAGCGCGACGGCGCCGCTCACCGTGCGGCCACACCCTCCCCCACCCCCATCGCCCGGCCCCCCGTCTTCTTCCCTCTGCCCGCCGCGCCACTTAGGGGGCAGAGTCGGCCACAGGCCGCTGTGGCGGGTCCCAGCAACTCGTTGGCAGACAGGCGGCCTGTCTTCACATTGCCGACCAAGCCCGATGTGGCTGCAGTTGGGCCGCCGCGGGCGCAGGGTCTTGCGGCGGCCCCGAATTCCAACCCTGCGGGTGCGGCAGGAGGCGCTGCGAACGCGCTCGCACCCTTCCCCCAGCCCAGCCAGCGCGACTCGGACCCCGCGACGGAGGACGTCCTCATGCAAGCGGTAACTGCCATGGGGAAGCAGGCCGAGCGGGCGTTCGGTTACCACCAGCGATCGCAGGCGCTCTGCGAGCAAGCGAACCACCAGTTGTATGCGGTTGTGGACTTCAGGAAGCAGATCTTCCAGGAGAAGGCGGCGCGCATGCGGATGCTCGCGCATGCCCTCCGGTGGCAGGGGTGGTCGGCGGAGGCCCTCGACGGTCACCTCGGCGAGATGCTCGCGGAGGATGGCGGGCCGGCGGCGGCGCTCCAGGGCGAGATCGAGGCGATCCGCACGGTGATGGCCGAGTAAGTCCTACCGTGCACTCTCCGGGTTTCTACGCGACTGACAGGTCGGTCTGTGTGTGCTTGCAGGGTCGACGCAGAGAGCATGTCTGCAGCTGGGAAGACGGCGCGAGCGCTGCGCGCGGAAAAGAGGCAAAATGCGTGAGTAACCCTTCCTGCGTTCTTCCTCTCGCGCGAGTATGGTCTGACGACGTGTTGGCAGGCCTGCCGTGGATCCTAGGATACGACGGGAAATCGCCGACGTGGTGAAGAGCCCGTCTGGATGGCAGCGCAATGCCTCCTCACGAAAACGCCGCTGGTCAGGAGAGGCCAGCGAAGAAGGGGATGAACCCAAGGGCAGCAAGCGGGCCCGCTCCTCTCCACCCCGCGCGGAGGCGTCACCGTCTGATGCGGCCGCCCCCCAGAATCTGAGCAAGGGGAAGGGCAAGGCGAGAGAAGTGAGCCCTGTGCGGGAGGAGCCCGAGGAGGCGATGGTGGTGGAGGAGCAGGAGTGTGCGACGGTGCCCGGGATGGCGGGGAGCCTGCTGTCGGGCAGCGAGGCGGGAGAGGGGCCACGTGGAGAGGAGCAAGCAGAGAGGGAGCGTGCAGAGGAGCACGCGGAGGAGGAGCGCGGAGAGGCGGAGCACGCGGAGGAAGAACACCCAGAGGAGGACGACCAAGATGACGGCAGCCTGCCCGATCTAGTGAGTCCGAGTCAAACGCGCTGGTACCGCGACGACGACGACGACGACGACGACGACGACGAGGAAGAGGAGCTCGTGGACTCTGACGATTTGCCAGATCTGGTGACTCCAGAGCGGTTGTTCGCATACCGCCAGCAGGAGGACGAGGAGAAGCACAGAGAGGAGGACGACACTCTGCCTGCTCTAGCGGGTCCGGCCCAAGATGCGCTGCCACAGCGGTCAAGCCCGCCGGTCGAGAGGCCTATGTCCCCCGTCCCGCGTCGGTCGCCGAGCGTCGAGCCGGCACAGGAAGCAGAGGCGACGCCGGCGCGCCGGAAAAGCACACGTCGCAAGAGGAAGGGCGGTCGGTGATGCTAGAATGTGCTGCTCTTCTGCCAGCATTGATCCTAGTGTCGATGATACCCGCATCTTGTGATACCTGCGTCGATGATACCCGCCTCGTTCACGAATGTCTCTCCGTAGCTGTACTCTCCTGTAATGCTCTCTTGGTCTTCAGACGACCTCAAAATACCTCACAGTTTTGCAGAATACAAGCTCGCTATTTTCTCGCTGGAGTTTCGGGAGGGGCTGACTATATGGCGCCTCGCCCAATGCGTGAATTTGAACTTCTGCGTCACAAATTTGACTGTCTCTCACTCTCCCAGTCAAGAGGAGTGCAAACCTGGATGAGCCACACCACCGAGCGTAGGACGCGCCAGGTGATCGACACCCCTCGCTTTTCATAAGTCCAACTCACGCTGTGTGCAGCTGGCGCGTTCGTTGTCATGTGCGAGGAACAGATACATTTCTTTAACGATGCTGGTCATCCAGGTCCGAACACAACACTTGGCTCGAAGAACATTGCCGCGACGGCTGCCTTCTACTCTGGCGCTTTTTGCCCACGCATGCATGGTCGAGTTGTTCCAAATTAGGCATTCCGTTTGAGCCTGGCTTGTTAATCCCACGGCTTCATGTACTTGCCATAACGAATCAATCACTTGTGCTCACCCGATGAGCCAGGTTGCTATGCGCGAGAAGCAGGACTACATAAGGGCGGAGAGTGACCTGGTCAACACGCTCGTTGATCGACCCCGTCTCCCCTCGCCCCATCTCCTCATCCGTATCTCCTCGTCTGCACCTCCTGATACTCATTACCACCGTTTGCTACGCATCCTACGCCACGCTTAAACATATAACGCATCGCTCGTGTCTACCGCTCCTCAATCATCCTCTCGACACACCCACTCAAGATGTTCTCTCGCGCGTTCCAACTCTGCACGCTCTCTATGCTCTTGATCTCGCTCGGTATGTCTCAGTGTCGTCTACGCCTGGCACGGTCTCTCAATCATTCTCTAGTCTGCGCGTCCCCTGCGCCGGCACCCATGCCAGAGCCCATTGATGCGAATATGGCAAATGTCATCGCCATGAACCACAACGCGGGATGTACGGCGCCGCAAGGCTGCTTAGCTGTGAGTCTTTCAGGTAATGATACGATTCGAATGTCGTACTAACAACTGTGATAGGCGCAACCCAACGGCGCAGAGGATGTAGCCGCTATTCTCGCAAAATCTGCCGCACTGCCATCGGCCGTCTCGTCAAGCGGGCGAGTGCTGTTGGCGATCTCCTTGGTGTCTGGGGCTGTCACTGCGACCACACTTCTATGAACGCTGTGCACCCGATCATATGGACCTTGACGACTTCACTGGATGGATAGTCATGAATTATCTTATGTATCATGTTAGCAATCCCTCGCAATGTAGCCTATTATAAGCCTAGATGCGCATACACAAGAACGGTCTACAACAACTAGCAGCTCGGTAAGCCCATCTAACTGCCCTTCGACCCGCATAATGCAGCCAGTCCGCAGAACATGACTGTGATTTGCGAAGACAGCTGCGCGCTGCACGCGGTCGGAAGCATGTCTGTCACGTGCTCAGAGACCAGCACTAGACGCCCAACGATGTCGAGCGCTTGGAGCTTGACCATCACTGCGTACTCGAGAAGTTCAATGCAAGGTGTACCTTTCTTATCTCCGTATGTGCGTATGTACAGTGACTCTGTGCAAATATCCTACCAGAAATACTGCTTGTCTGCTTGTCTGCTTGCAAGAAGCATTGGTCAATGATATCCTATGTGATGGCTGTACGGGTATGATTGTTCCTGGTCTCTCGTTTGCAAGTTGACGATGTATGCGATTTGCATGTACTCTGGTGAGGGCATAGAGTTTTTTCATCAAGACCGTGCGCTTCTCCACGGTGCTGATGTATGCAATCGCTGACTCTTCTTACTAAAATTAGAAACATGTATTCCTCAGTTGAGTCACTTTATCTTCTTATGGCTCCTCCCTAGTCTGGATCGCCGCCCTTCCTGTTCGTGGTTGTCAAGATCACTTTGCTTTCTATTCACACCATGACCCAATAGCATAACGGTTTCAGCTCGTTGACTGAATTCGTCACGGTCGTGCCGGCAACCGGGGCTCATAACCTAATGCTTGGACCGCGCGTCCCAAGCATTAGGTTACAGCGTCGACTGCACACACGATTGATTATGGGTTTAACTTTTCAATGCGAGCGCGTGCTTCTTCCTGGCTAGCATTCTCCTCACTTCGTCATATTGCACATAATATATATATCTTCCTATTATCATCCTATTATGGTGCTTATTTCTATCACAGACGGCACTCTTATCGTACTAGTCACTAGCTGTGCTCCTCCTGCCACCAGTACGCACGATTGCGTCCAACGAGTGACCATACGATTGAATGCGCCCAGCTAACATTGTTCCGAAGAGATATTTATCGTCCCATTCGAAACGAAGACGAAAGCAGTGTGAGTGAGGTATCGGTAACAGGTAACATCGCCCACATTCCACCTAGTTCAAGACGTTGATACCATCTTAGATGCGTTCACGTCTGGATTTGATGCAATTGACTCTGTATCCCACCTGCCCTACAGACTACCAGCGATGTGGATGGCTGTGCTAAGCACAGATCGTTTGCTAAAACCTTTCGTAGGCGGGTGCACTAATGCAGCAGATATATATCTATGTGGTTCAGGCGAGTCACTTGCTTGTGTCGCGGAATGCTGAGGATCTTAACACATTCAGCGCCCGTGTCGCTTCGGAACAGAACGCGGATGCCGGACACAAATCTACCATCGGCATCTCATCCTAGACGGCGTCCCGTGTTGTCCCCCGATGGTTTGTCTCGGCTGGGCTGTTACGGAAGGAAGTGTCGATAAGGGTGCGTACTGTATCTGCGTGGTTGTACTTGGCGATCGTAATACCATTTGATATGCTTATCAGTCAATTGGAAAGATGCCGTACAAGTTAAGCTGTGATACGGGTCCATGCCTGTCCTATCTTGTTTGTGTACTTAGGCCAATGCATCGCAACGACTAGAGCCCATCAATCCTTGGTCTTTTGACGGTCTCTCCAATGAACATGGCTGACAGCCTCTCATTCCACTCAAGCACGTCCTAGTGCTATCGGAACCGAACCCGTCCTCGCGCTTTCTCGGAAAAACTGACCAGATACAACTTTGGGTTGCGCGTGCCGCCGAGGTCATGGTGCTCGAAGACCGATAAGCATATCGATCTCCCTTACATACACCCTTGTTCCTGGTGCTCGCCACTTCGTATAAAGCGCCTCGAGCTGAACACTGAAGATGGAGGAAGACACTGTCAGCGAGCTCAATGGGTCGCGTTCGGCTGCTCTTCGTGGCTGCGGCGGTCGGCTGTGCCGTCGCCGCTCAGACCGTGTTCCAGCATACAGGGACGACTCTGCTCCTCGGCGGCCTCCCCTATTTCGTCCCGCCAACGCCCGTATCTCAGATCGACGTGCTGGCGTATGACGTACTGGCGTTGGTCGATCAGAACGGCGGCTTGAGTAGTGGCTTCGTCCCGATCTCAGTGATACCCTCTGGGAATACAGAGTTCGGTGATAGTGCGCTCGCAGCGACGGTCCAGGCTTGGAAGGAGAAAGACGATGTCTGGAGTGAGGCGTTTTTGAAAGGCGAGTGTCCATGTACGCCACGTTGTTGATCAACGTGTAGATGACGTCTGCTTGCTGCAGGGATATACATTGCGTACAATGGATCACAAGACTCCCCTTCTGTCTCGCTCACAGATGAATCCAAGGAAGGCTATGGTATACAGCTAGCGCTACGAGCAGCTAGCTACTCCGGAGGTGTCGATTTGTCTAGTCCTTTACCATCTGGTCCATATTTCCTGGATCCGCTCAGTGGGAACGTCTTCGAAGGTATACATCAACAACCCAAATATGACAAGCTGCTGACGCCCCTCTTGCAGCATACCGCTTGTACGACGACGAAAACCAGGCTTTCCTGTACAGTACCATCCCTGATGACAGCGGAGGCTACGAAGTACTCTCGGCCAAGGTCCCAGGCGCTGCGACCGAGACGATCGGCGTGCCCTCCAGACTGTACTTCACGCCGACTCCCGAGCATCCGCTAGCCGGGATGCGGTTCGCGGTGAAGGACATCTACGACGTGCAGGGCCTGCGTACTGGCTGTGGCAACCGCGCGTACTGGGCGCTCTATCCTCCGCGCACCCAGACCGCGCCGGCGGTGCAGCGCCTGCTGGACAGCGGGCTCGTGCTCGTGGGCAAGACGAAGAGCTCGCAGTTCGCCAACGGCGAGGTCGCCACGGACGACTGGGTCGACCTGCACGCCCCGTACAACCCCCGCGGCGACGGCTACCAGGACGGCAGCAGCTCGTCGACGGGGTCTGGGACGGCCGTGGCGGCGTACCCCTGGCTCGACTTCGCCATCGGCAGCGATACGGGCGGGTCTATGCGGGGTCCGGCGGGCGCGAATGGCGTCTTCGGCAACCGGCCCTCGCACGGGGCCGTCTCGCTCGACGACGTCATGCCGCTTTCTCCGGCGCTGGACACCGCTGGCATCTTCGCGCGGGATGCGAGGGCGTGGACGGTCGCCGGCCATTGGTGGTACCAGAACTTCACCGCGGTGAGCGCTTTCCCAGGCCGTTGTGCACCGTGCGGCAGGTCTGAGAAGCGCGCCAGTACTCACAATTCCCTCAAAACATCCTCTTTCCGGTCGACTCCTTCGGCAGCAGCTACCTTACGCATCCGCCCGCAGATGGAACAGCCGCCGCGACTTTCAACAACTTTATCCAGAAGCTGGAAGACTTCCTGAGGACAACGCGGACAGAGATGAACCTGACGTCTCTCTGGCTGGAGACGAAGCCGAGCAACGTGTCGTCGCCGCTCAGCGAGATGCTGAACACGACCTACCCAGTGCTGATCACGACTGATCAGACCTCGCTCCTCGCGGAGCCCTTCTTCGCCGACTACGCCGCCGCTCACGAGGGTCGCAAGCCCTTCGTCGACCCGGCGCCTCTTACTCGGTGGACGTACGGGTGGTCGCTGCCTGCCAGTGCTCACGACGAGGCCATCGTGAACAAGACTACCTTCATGGACTGGTTTGCTCGTGAGGTCGTCAGAGGCGGAGATCCAAACACATGTTCCGAGGGCATCTTCCTGTATCCGCAAAGCTCGGGGAGGACGACGTATCGGAATGCTTACTCAGGGTAAAGACCCTATCGAGCCACGTACAACTGCTGCTTAGATAGACCCGTCTAGCCCGCCAGGGACACCATTTGGCTTCTCTTCCGGCAGGATAGCCGTCTTTGCAGAGACCCCCGACATGGTGGTGCCAAGTACGTATATCTCCTCCAGGCTCCTCCTACCAACGTCGCAGTGTGCTCACACGTTCACGTTAGTCGGCGAAGCTCCGTACAATTCGACTATCACCGGGAAGACAGAATACCTCCCTGTCACTCTGAGCTTCGTCGCTGCAAAAGGCTGCGTGAGCTTTTGTGGTGGATTCGACGGTGTGCAGCGTGTGACCTTTGATTCCGTAGGACCTGATGCTGTTCAGTCTTTTCGCCGCTTTGCAAGATGCGGGAGTGATAAGCCCTGTTTCCACCGGTTCAAGGGTGTTTGGCGGCTCCTAGCTCTGCTACCGTCGCTCTTCTTTTCGGGGAATGCGTGGAAAGCTAAAGTCAGCACAGTTTCGTCGAGAAGAGACATGAAATGCTTGAGTATCTGGTCTGTGATGGGTACACGTTGTATATTAAAACTGATGTGTTTGTTCGCCCCCGAAAACAAGTGAAGGCTGTGAAGGTTTATTGCGATCTAAACGATCCAGTCAATTCATATGCTAGTACCGCGCGACTTCCAAATGCACTCAGACGGACCCGGTTCTGGACTCGTGCTGCTTTCACCCACTGTGGGATGAAATTGAGATTGGTGTGCGTTATATATTTGCCTCACCGCTGCGGTACTCACTGATACGTGATGACAGAGAAGGCCGTCAGCACTGACACCCATTCAAGTCGTATTTGGCGCGTAAGGCTGGAGCCTACTCGCGAGAATGGACGTTTACGAAATATGCCTTCGTTTGACGGCGCTCTATGATTCAATTCAATCCGCCCTAAATATACTATGAGCCTATGATTGAATGGTCAGATTGTGCTTGTAGCCGTTCTCACTCACTGGGGTCGAATGTCGTGGCAAAGAGGTCCATGCTCCGCCGACAAAGACGGCCGGACTCTGTGCATGCGCGCTCACGTTTGAAAACACGCAGAAAGCACTTGGTGCTGTGAGATATTTGTATGGGTCACTAGGTGCTTTGGTGTAAAAATATCTATGGTGTGTTTTGCTGGCTGAGCCCGTGTGATGCGGTAGGGATGAGGCGCAGAGTGTATGATTGGTCCAGCCAAGCTGTGACATCGCCATTTGCAGCGCTGGACTACGGCTGGACTAGACCCAAGTGCGCGCGCAGGCCAAACGCGTCTGGTCACGAACTCGTGATTGTGACTGAATAACGACTTGCGCCTCAAGCCTTTGGCAGTAGGGTCAGTGTTACTCCGCTCGATTATATTCGCTTCACCGTTGTTCGGAATAGCTCGGTACGCGAGTAGTGATGGCCATCAAATGTCATTGTAGCATGCATGAATCTGCCTCATCCTATCGTACAACAAGGGAACACATTCGCCGTGACTGAGCTAAGGGGATCTTCTCGTGCGGAGCCCTTGGCCTGAGCGCGTCAGAGGCCCACAATTGCCACGAGTACTTCAACAGGCACAAGCCTTGCCGTCCTTCTCGCAGGTGCAGTCAGCACCACTGCCGCCACAGGCGCACTGAATAGGGATGTTAGTCGGCCGTTGATCATCGTGGTGGAAAAGCACGAACCGTCGAAGAGTGTGCCTTGTTGACGCAGCTAGAGCAGTCGCATTTCCCCTTGGGGCACGCGCAGCCTGTGCCTGAGGGGCCGCATGCGCTGTAACGGACGCAGGCGAGAGCTCATCGGTCAGTCGTGTAGTCATAAAAGCATTAAACGTTTTGAAGGGCTAACCCGCAAGAACTCTGGCAAGTACAGTCTCCGGCCATTTCAATATTGGTAGACGATATAGAGGTGGTGGATGTTGAGTAAAAAGCTGGGTTGCAGTCGGTTGTTGTGCTCTGGAGAGGAATCGACCTCGTTTATATAGGCCGAGTCACGTCGCACATGACGTATGACATGACAGCTCCAAGGACGGACTATCAATGAAGCCAATGTGAGGTCACCAGCCGCCGTGTTCACCCCGATGTCACAAATTGTAATGCTCCATCATGGGCTAGCCGCGTATTATGTCCTGTAAAGTTCAAATGTGAAGAACGAGAGAAAACGGCAGCCATGAGGGCGACAGCCCACTGTCAGAGGCGTCGGTCGAGATTGCATGGCCCTCAGCGTTACCGTTGAACGTCGTTCTTTGAATAGCTCGTGGAAGCACGCCGTGTATAATTAGGCAATTGCCAATCCCATACAGTGAAATTAGTATGAACTCTAAGATGTATATGACTGATGCAAGCTATCAGCGACAGGCTAGGCACTGCACCGACACGCAGCTCACCTTGTATATCGACTTCTAATCCTTGTTTGCATGTGGCCTGCGCTCTGTCAGGAACCGTGCAAACCGCGACCCCCGTTTCAAATCTGTACTGTCCGTCTGATCCGCGCTCACAGCCTCGTGCGCATGACCGCCACTCTTGTGCCCGTGTTTGGACTTGTCTGGTGATTTGGTCAGGAACTCTACTATGACTGACCAGAGATTGTTGCCGCTCAGCGCGTTCTCATCCACGAGGAAGGCCTGATCAGCGATTCGGGCCAATCTACGCGCTTCGTCCGTATCTCTACGCGCGACGATGCTGCTCGGCGGAGGTGCCTCGTCCTCTTCAAGTGCCCACCCCCAGGGCCAGCTGCCCGCGTTGATCAGGCCGTCCTGGATACCCTTTGGGGTGCGCTCCTTACCCTTCCCGCCGTCCGCATCCTGCTCTTCTGAATACGGATGCGCTTGGAGGTGCGCCATTTTGCGGATCGCGTCATTGTGCGCTCGGTCGATATTCCGCCGCCTCTCCTTCTCTATCGACTTGGTGACTTTCGCAAATTTCTTGTCGAACTTCGCGCGTCCGTCAAAGTACCGCCGCACTACGAGCTCGGATATTTCGCCGATGAGCTCCTCAGAAAACTGCAGTGCTACCAGTTCTTCCTCCGGCTCCAGTGGTCGAACGACCCCTTTCGTGGTGACTCTTTCGCGTATCATCTCGTCCTAGAGACAAGTCATTCAACATCACTAGTTACGAACAGAAATAGATGGATGCGCACCAAGCCGTTATCGTAAACAGATGGCTCTCCTGCTTTACGGACGCCCTCTTCGCGTCCCGTGGAGGTGTCACCAAAGCGTGGGCCGGCGACGTCACTCATGTCCGACGTCTCGCGCAGGGGAGCCCCTGGATCCTGAGTCGATTCCCCACGACCGCGGTGGAAGAGCGACCCGGCACGTATCGCGCTCACGCTCACGGCCCTTCGCATCGACCGCTTCGATCGGCTCGCGCCACGGGAACTGCCACTCGACGTATTCGGACGAGTCATCCGGGGTCTGCTATCGAGCGTGGACGACGAGTGGCTGTGTGGCATCGAGGTAGAAAAACTTCCGAGTGCATGCTCGGTGAGCGCTGACACGCCGGACGGGTTCGGCGACTCCGAGGGGGACGCGTTGATTGATATAGCGTCACCGAGCTGATACGAGGAGGATGGTGGGGGCAACACCCCAGTGGCATACTTGCAAAATGTCGCGATAGCTCGATAGCAATACTTCGCGGGCGTTGTGAACGAGAAGAGAGTAGGTAGTGTATGCGCGGCATCTTAGGACCGCATTTAGACCAATCATGACGCGCGTCGAATGATTCTGCTCACCGTCCCATACCTGTAAATGGACTTTGGTAGGACCAAAGCGGCTCTCGATCCCTTCTAGTAATGGATATAGCTTACGGGCCTCGTCCTTTACATGGTGCTTATCGGGATGCGCGGCCTTGTGAGCACTTGTGATTGCCATATGAGCGTTTTTCCTTTCCGCGTGTATCCATAAATACACTCTAACAACTCACATGTAGATGATCTCATCTCTGAGGACCTCCTTGTCGCTCGCAATTACCAAAAGCGGCGGCAGCCCACCCAGGTAGGACACCGCCGAGCTGACCAGTGGATGCGTCAACAGGTAATTCGGCGCATACATCTGGATTTGCCGATCAATCTTCATCACTTCCTCCGACGCCGTGCGTAGAGTAATAGTCTGGTCCCGTATGACATTCGAAGGCGTCGGCAATGACGCCGTCGATCCCAGGTGCAGCGTCTGGCCGGTTGGCCCCACGACGAATTGATGCTCGACCCCAGATGGCGGGGCATGTTCTTCGATTTCCTTGGCAGCATGGGCGGGCCCGCCAGCTTCGTGACTTACGGTCCGAAAGGCCTCTCGCACGCGGCTTCGGATACTGTTTTGCACCTGTGTAGTGACCTCATCCGGAGGCGGTGGCCAAAGCATGCTCGGTTTATGGAAAGAGAGACCGTAAGGAGGAAGTACATCCTACGGGCAAGAGGGGGCGTCAACATGGATCAGCCGCGAACGCCATGCTCCGCACATACCGTGGCACTATTGACATGTACGCTGGGAAACGAGTGAGTGAGATCGCACCACGGCGAAATGAGTACACCACCAGCAGGCATCGGAAGTCCAGTATCGCGAATGACCTGCAGGAGCGCAAGACAGAGTCCGCCCCCCGCCGAGTCACCTGCAACTACGATCTTCGCAGGATCAACTGGTCTGTGCAACGCACCCTCGGGTGGCCGAATAAGGAACAGGTCTGACGCGGCCTCAGTGAATGCATCCATGAAATTTGGTAGATACTCACATGCAGAGAGACAATCATGTAAGGCACAGGGGAACGGATACTGTGGTGCGAGCCGATAGTTAATGGCTACACAGACGCATGGGCATGATGATTCGAGGCGTGCATGGAATTAATAACATACCGAATACTCTTCCGTTGATCTTCCGAGCATACCGCTCGATGCTGTACCGCTCCTGATCAATGCTACCGAAGTAGTAACCGCCTACGCAAATCTCACTAAAAGCAGTCAAGTCTCGAGAACATGCCGCACCTCCATGTGCAAAGAGTATACAAGGCATCTTGTCCATCTCTGGCTCATAGATCGCTTGCGGTGCTTGTTCGAGCCCCTCTGGATGCCCTATGTTGCTATCCTTATCGCCGGACTTCTTCAGATGAGCCTTATGCCTTCGCTTTGCCTCTTGCCAATCTTTCTTGGCAGCGAGCCACTCTGCGTCAACCCTGTGGCCTCCGAAGGTTTGCGCTGTTTGCGACGAGTGTAAGAAATAAGACGCACCCTGTGATGCCACGAACCTGCCACCACTTTGTGCCTCCCACAACGCGTTTCGTTACTTCTTCACCGCCGAGAGCTTGAATGAGGTATGTTGCTGCGTCATCACAGCATGATATCGGGACGAGAAGTCGTACAATGTGGGTCCACGGTGGAGTTGGAGTACGCGTGTTGGAGAATTCTTGCAGCTCCTCGATTGTATGCCTGTCAAGCTAGGTCAGACACAGGGTCCGCACATAGCTGATGAGCAAGTCGAATATCTTTGCATGTGAGGCGACGCCCCACATAACATCAGGTAAGGACACGAGTTCCCGCACCATTTCTCCACTTAGAACTGCATGTACAGCCTCGAGCCAGATAACTCACTTAGTTGATGCTTCAAGGAATGTCTAAACCAAACTTCAGAGGACAACTGTCTTTCCACCTTGAAATCAAGGCTCACCTTGATTATGTGGAAAGCCTCGTCATAAAGTAGTTCAGTCTGGCTCAAATCCGTGACGCCATCGCCGCGCTCTTTCTGAATGCGCTCGAGGTAATGCTTGAAGAGTGTCTCCAGTACCAAAGGGCCAAGCTTAAGGCCAGCCTGGCCGACGAGGGAGTTCAAAGGCATGCCTGCTTTCTGTGCGACTTGACGAGCGGACTATCCTCGAGGTAGGAAACGAACATGTATAAGTAGAGGTCCGATGCCAAGTAGACGACCGGTATATGCGGTACGCGTTCGCTGAGATGATGTCAGAGAAAGCGAGTAAAAGGCCCGACCCCTTCCCGACGCACACTAACTCCCACGAAAACATTACGCGCTTACAAATCATTTTGCCCAGGTCTAGAAGCGAAGACATAGGCTAGAAGAAGTATAGGGTGTTCATATATTTTTGCTCACAAGGGCTACATTCATCAAGCAACGAAATTAGAGTGGAAAGGAGCATTCTACAGAAAAATAACGTTGCCACATAGGGCATGCCGTACCTGGCTGACAACGTATACTTAAGTGTATATTTAATCTCAATCATACCTACAGTTGCTGCAGGTATTTGATTGCTACATACTTCAAGTAATAATCTGCCTCATTCCGAGGCGAATTTGACAGCTGTCTTAATCCTGTTCTTTACCGTCACTAAGTGCTGCTCGAGATCTGCGAAGCCATTTCTGTCTTAAAAGATGAACAAATGTTTTATAAAGATGAATTCACTTGCTCCAAACCATCATGAAGCGACTTGTTCAATCCAATCGAAATCACATATCCGACTTAACAACGCCTTTTGTACGCATTTTCGCCGTAGCTCCCCTCGGTTGTCGTGGTACGGTACTTGCTATGTCTACCTGAAGACTCTCTTCAAGGAATACGAACTAGTATGACTTGAGAACGCACGTTTGTCTTGCAGATATGCCAAATCTGGCGGTCTCCATCAAGCTCTATGCCTTCCCCGTGAGCATACACAGACTTCCCAGAACCCAGGCGGTTCCCAGCAGCGACCTCTCTCCGTGCAACCACCACCTCCGGCTGAGACCCGCCCCTCGCAATGGCTTTCACCTACCAGTCGTTGTGTGCTATGCTGAGCAAGGCGCCGCGTCCGCTCGCAAAGCACTTCGAGATCTCTATCGCTGCCTGCGTGCTGCTATTCATCGCGTTCCTTCTTTACTTCCTCGTCGCTCTCTCTCTGCCCATCATCAAGTCCATATACCTGTTCTCCATCGACTTCACCCAGGAGGACGGCACCGCGCCCTCCGCAACTGCGACGAACATCCATTTCGGCGTTTGGGGCGTCTGTGCATACAGCGTGCTGCCCGGCTTCGAGTACTGCTACGGGCCCACGTTGGGCTACACGATCCCGCAGGAAATCCTCGACATCGTCGGTTACCAGTCGCTCATCGAGGCCGTCATTGAGGGGCTCACTGTGCTGCTCGTGCTGCATCCTGTATGCGCCGCGCTTGCACTAGTGAGCGCCTTCACGTCACTCTTCCTCGAGTCGCACGCCGCAGCGATTATCTCGCTGATCATTGCCGTGCTCACCATCATCCTCGGCTGCCTTGTCTTCGCAGCGGACCTTGCGCTGGTGATCGTCGGGCGTATCAAGGTGCCCGCACTCACGGCGTTCATGTACAAGGTCAACTGGGGCCCTGGCGTGTGGATGATCCTCGCAGCCGTGATCTGTCTCTGGTCCGGCATGGTGCTGCTGAGCGTTGTAGTGTGTCAGTGTTGCGGAGTGGGCAAGGAGTACATCGATGACGACAGTGAGGGCGAAGAGGCACATCTAACGTAAGTGATTTCGTTGGCCGTCAATTTCAGGCGTGATGACACATGTCTGCGCACAGGAACGCACCCGCAGCTCGCTGGCGAGCGCTCGGCGTGTCTTTCCCGAGCATCATCCCGCACAAGTCAGCGCAATGAGCTGTGCGCAGCGCTCTCGCTAACTTATACCCGGCTTCATTAACGACTCGAGACGACATTACGACCCATGACGACTAATGACCCTCGAGCTATATAGCTACATGACGTTCCTCGTACCGCTCGTTTGCGTTGGATATCTGAATATGATGTTGTTCTGCTTCCTGATGGGATGCGGTGGCACCGTCCATTGTATTATTATCCGCAGGACTGAACACCATTTCACATCATTTGATGACTTGAGTTATGTCTCCCCTTGTCGCACTGAAGCATATCTCTCTTCTAGAGGCCGTTTGCGGCGCCAAGTGCGAGCCGCGATATAGAGTCGGTCGTAGCAACTGGCACAAGTCCCGTTTCAACAGTCGTTTGTCATGGTGACTTATCTCCGACTCCTGTATCTCGCTGGGTCGTACTTCTGGCGGCAGCGCCAATAGTCATGTTCAGTATAACAGGACAAAATCACTGAATACAATGTGCTAAACACAGCCGGGAGTGACCCTAATCTAAGTACTCACATAACAGGCTTTCGCACGGATAGCACGACAACAACCCATAGAGATTAATCCACAACCAATCGTTCATTCTCACAGCATTGCAGCATGATCCCGCTTGGCTAGATCGCACCGTGTAACGTCCGTAGCAAGAGGTGGACGCCTCACGCCATGCTGCGCGGAGCGCGACTGGGCAAAGTAGGCGGTGATTGATTGGGCAAAGTAGGCGGTGTCTGATTGGGCAGAGTGGGCGGTGTGGGCCTAGCCCGGCTTGACGTTTGCGGCGCCGTGCAAACCTGACGACGGTAGGCCATCAATATGAAAGGGCAGGCCATGGCCACTGGCACTACTTACCCCGAACTCAGCAGTAGGCATTCCATTCGATGCCTCGCAGGTCAAGCCCTCGCAGCAGATTGAGAGATTTTGACTATTGATGCAATATTCTCCCTCTTTGAGGCAGAGCCCCGGGAGCGTTTGCGGCTCCGGCGAAGCGAGGGGAATGGCGGAGACGGACACCATGCCAACGGCGAGCATGGCGATGGCGACGAAGGGTACGGAGAAGTGCATGATGAGAGGATCTGAAGCACTCCGTGAGTTAGCATACATTACAATATGAGTGGACTAGGGAGAGTGACACCCACGTACTGGGTACAACGTTGACACGAGATGTCGCTGCAGGATCTACGCTGCAGGGGCTCTTTTATACTTTATACTCCCTGACAGGGAACATTCCTTCTATTTACTGTACTGATCCATGCAGCCATCGAGCATGTTCAGCGTCTGTCTGCGTCGCGATCGAAGGAAAACACCCACTCAACTACGTATTGGCCGAATACGCCATAACCGCTGGAATGCTCGGAAGAGCATAATGCGAGTGGGGATCAGGAATCCTCCATTAGAGAGGGAACGGGAACACCATAGTTGGATACAATGGGGCGGTCATTCCCCATCGCGATGGCGGCGCGGTTCGCTCGCGGCATAGGCTTCAATATCCGAGTAGGTTTCGATGGGCGGGTGTGCAACCGATGTGCAGCAGCCTGCAGATCTTGCATCGGTCAGTTTTACAGCAAGCGAAAGAACAATAGGCGCGACGACCCAAAGTACCTGTTCTCTCCGACCGATGATCCTCGGAGATGCCATAGCCACAGCAGCCACAAATCTGCAGGCCCGCAGCCACAGACGGGAAGCAGGTTGGTTCGGGAAACATGGTGGATACAACAGAACATGTGAATTTGTATGTACTTTGCTGTTCGCTGTACCGCACTTCCAATTGTATGGCTGCTTGTCTGTCCCAGAACTAGGATGCCCATATACACAGTGCGGGGATCATTGCGGACAGTCTTGTAGGACCACCCATATTGTTCGAGCGTGAGAGTGTTTACAAATGTTCTGTCCAATACTTCTACACCGCAGTCAGCAGCCGGTGCGTCACGCACCTTGTACAAGATGTGCTTGTTTTCTTCAATGAGGAATTCCATGGGTCAGTCATGTGCCAACCTTGCATGAGCCTCAGGTGGAGGACTCCGGCTTGCGTGGAAGCTCCGAGAAGGTGAGGGCGCGTGACCACGGGCGCACATTAGCACAACATCTATCTTCTGTATTGAGGGAATATGGCGGTGGCAACATTAAGAGAACCATAAGGTCTACAGTACAAATAAGCTGGATCAAGAATGAGCAGTATGCCAGATGGGATAAGCCGGTGGGTCATGCTATGGCTACGGCGTCTCAGTGGGTCGTCGCGGCTATCTTTTTTCGCCCGCTGTAATCACTTTCTATACTGTGTTCCTCACCGGGCAGTCGGCAGACCCTCTCGGTCGGCACCCCTGCTGATTGGTCCACTCAGTAACATATTGCTGCAGTCTCCGTTCGTTGCTGACAAAATTAAATCCCGAATTGAAGAGCAGTACAAGGAAGTATGTAAGCTCCATTCCGATCGATCAGTAGCGTTCGTCAGTGATTGGCCCACGGAGGAGACGACGGAGCGCGAAGAGATTCACTCACTAAGATGTGCCGGCGGCAGCTTTGTGTAATTGCAACCATGACCCACCAGCTATGACCCCACAAGCACTCCGCAGTGTGACCATCCACAGCCGAACGACCACGGGTTCCACCTCTGGTGGCACACTATTACATCGATGGAATGTCGTTCACATGGCCTACCACATATGATGACCGAGAAGCCGAACAGCGAAAAGTAAAGCCAGATAGCATGTATATATACCCCAGCGCGAGACCTCGAGACCTAAACACAGCGCTGCCCAGTCAGGATGGCAGACATCCCATTCACGCCCCTGTACATCGACGGCCGGCATCGCCCGGCGAATCCACCAGCCACTTTCGACGTGCGGAACGCCTACTCTGGGGATGTCGTGACCAGAGCAGCCAGTGCCTCCGCGCAGGACTGTAACGACGCAGTCGAGGCTGCCGTGCGCGCCTTCCCCGCCTGGGAGCGCTCCTCGTACGCGGAGAGACGCGATTACTTTCTCAAAGCGTCCGAGCTTTTGAAGGCCGAGAAGTACCGGAAGAAGTTCAAGGAGGCGTTTCAGCAAGAGACGTGCGGCGTTGACTACCTGGTTGACCTAAATCTGCATATCACGGATTCCATGCTGCGATGGACTGCTAGCCTGGTGACGGAGCTCAAGGGGGAGACTTTCCCGTCTGTTATTCCTGGAGGACAAGTCGTGATACATCGAAGAGCGCAGGGCGTCATGTAAGGACATGCTCTTGTGTACGCATTCCTCAAGAATGACGCTGACGAATTCTTGTATCATAGCCTGGGGATCGCACCGTGGAACTCGCCGTTGATATTGACCCTTCGTGCTATGGCTATCCCGATGATTTGTGGAAACACTGTGGTCCTCAAGTCTTCCGAAGTAAGCCCGCGGACGCAATATGTCATCGCTGAGCTTTTCCACGAGGTATGCCGGATATGATTATGGTGACAGGTTTGCTGTTTGACAGCCGTCGATAGGCGGGATTGCCGGCAGGTGTCCTGAACTTTGTCCACGCGTCTAAGGATGATGTGGCAGCAAGAACCTTCCAGTTAATTGCACATCCTGCAGTGAAGAAGATCAACGTCAGTGAATGTCTGGCTCCAGGAATAGAACAGCAACTGACATGCTTAGAACAGTTCACTGGTAGTGATCGCGTTGGAAGAATACTGGCTCAGGAAGCTGCCAAATACCTCAAACCCTGCGTTTTCGAACTCGGTGGAAAGTCCCCTGCGGTGGTAGGCTATGGCGCTTCTCTGCAGCTGTTCGTTGAGGGTCCATGCATGAGCAGGTCCTGGAAGATGCCGATATAGAACGCGCTGCACGAGCAATCACCTCCTCGACGCTTGTCCACTCAGGCCAGATTTGTATGTCGACCGAGCGCGTCATTGTCCAGCGGAAGGTCGCGCCACAGCTCAGAGAGGCCCTTGTCAAGAGATTCAGCCAGTATAGATCCGGCGGTCCTGGAGAGGACCTTTCTGCGCAATTTGCCGAGGGATCGGCTGAGAACATTGTCTCCATGCTTCAAGAAGCGAAGGATAATGGAGCAACGTTCCTCGTGGGCGATGGGACACGTGCGGGGGCCAATGTACACCCTCATCTCGTCTCAGGCGTGAAGCCGGGGATGAGATTATGGGAGTGCGAAAGCTTCGGCCCAAGTAAGCCTGTCGCGCCAATCACGGCAGAATGGTGCTGACTAGCAGCATTATTAGTCGCAATCCTTACAGAAGTCGATACTGTAGACGAGGCGGTCGAACTAGCGAACGCCACCAATTATTCCCTGGCAGGGGCAGTCTGGACGAAGGACGTGAACAGCGCAATGGACGTTTCCATGCGCATCCGAGCAGGTCTGTCCTCGATATGCGTGCGCAAGCGATATACTGAGTGTTTGCTGTGCCAGGTTGCGTGAACGTCAACGGACCCACGTTCCATGTGGAGGACGCCAGAGAGCATGGCGGTCTCAGGTGCGTTCGCAAGATATCATGCGCTGGGTAGGTGCGCTGCTGACTATATGCGTCAAACTGTTTAGCGGAGCGTCGGGCTATGGGCTATTCAGTATGACCGATTTCACTGACCAGAGGATCGTGGTTATCCATCCGGCGAATCCACCTCCGTATATGCTGGTCGGCTGACGTGCGGGTGCGACGTGTAGAGATACGTTCAGTAGCTTTGGGCTGTTTGTGACGTGCTGTGAGAGTGTATTCCTGCTAGACATTGCGATGGAATGTCAATTGTATCAAGTTATCAATATTGGGCACGTTATGGTCAGACACAAAACTGTTATATGAAATCCCATTCGACGCGCTTGACAGCCTCATTTGACTTTATGCAGAGGATCGCTTCATTGCGTATAAAATCGGTGTCTGAAAGACAATGTATATCATTCCCGATGAAGCTTCAAAGGTCAGAAGAGCAGATATTAGTCGCAGTCAAGAATGAGTGCTTTGCCGACCAGTGCGGCCCTTAATGCTTGTGAATGTGACTTCGGGCATTCAACACTGTTACTGCTTGTGACAACAAGCGCTTACTGTGTCGAGGTCGCCACGAACGCTTGAACAGAAAACTTAACACTACTCTAGAGTCCCCCATGTCTAGACTGCAAGCTCAGGCTTCCGAGGATGGCTTGCTAAGATCTCGTATTGCTACTTATATCGCTTTGAGGCCGCATGCTGTCTTTGATGTCAAGTCAATCGCAACCGAACTCAAGCAAGATGCCCTAAAAGGACGTCTCCTAGGTTCCCCTTGCTCGCTTATCGGAGCCCTCTCTGTCTCTGGTTAACTCGAGCGGACTGTTTCCGCGTGTCGACGAGCTCCAGCTCATATGTTCTTCAGCAATTTTGCGCAGAGATCGTCGGATTACGGAATCAGAGGGACCCGGTCCGTGCGTCAACGTGAGCTTCATTTACCACCTCTGGATACCAGTATCGGCTCTGACGCCTGTTCCAGTCGATGCAAGCGTGCAGGCCAGCAGCAGCGAAGATGGCGCACTGAGAGAGGCGATCCTCCAGGTTGTTTCAATCTGGCTCAACAGACTCTCGCTCGTCAGCGGCATTGTGAGTGTTCTCAGTCGTATGGTTATCCGCTTCAAGTTCTCAATTGGACGTTTCCACTCCATTGCCTAGGCATCCTTCTTCGCCTCCATTGACTCGCTCCTATTTTCCCTCGCCAGCACCTCGACGCACCTCGGTGACCCGGAGACTCCATGGAGTGCCACGGACAAGCTGACGACCGCCAGCTTCGCGGGCGCCCTCATATTCCATGTCTGCTCCGCCATACTCGCATTCATCGCGTCATTCGTGCTCGTCAGGCTGCAGCTGCTTGACGCAGACGACCAAGAGGCTGACGCAGAGACTACGAGCGCGACCGAGCGCAAGGCTATGCAGGATCCTGAACGCCTCCAACCGGAATCTGGCTCTACGAACGGACATCGAACCTCTACGTCCGCCGGAGAGCAAGGCACGGCCAAGGTAGCAGAAGCTCGTATCAAGGACACGCCTGACCCAACCGCCGCTGTTCTCTGCCGTGTCACCGTCAAGCGCATGCATCCTCTATCCTACCTCGCGCTTCCGGTTCGGCAGCGATTGGTGGTCACTCCGAAACCTGCCACGCCAGACGCGATCCTCAATCCGCCTATCGAGCTCCTGGAACGTTGTCACACTCTCGCGGTGTGGATGTCCGTGGCCGGCTTCGTGCTCGGCGTGATCGGCATATTGGCATATGCATGGGTCGCCACGCCGTTGGCGGTCAGCGTGTTCTCGACGGCATGTCTAGGAGTGTGCTTCTTGGCTGGTGTCGTCGCTGTCTGGTAGTATTCTGGTCCGCGAACGCCGCAGTTCTTGCTCCCCCCTTAACGATTTCAAAGATCTCACGAGCGCCACTGTCATTTCTCATCTTGTACTGTTGGTTGTCAATACGGAAGACTGGCTTGCGCCTGTTCATCGTGTATACACCCTTAATCGGAGTCACATCGTACTTTTTTGCAAGCAGAATCCGTGCAGCACTGGGCCTCCCTAATCGTGATGACCCCTCCTCTGCATAGCACTTTCAAGCCTTCCTAGGGACGTCGCCTTGGTACTCATCGCAACAGATCTGTACAATCTACGAATACTCAATGGTGGCAGTTATCGGTGAGTGACCTTGATTCCTTCTCTTCCCTAGCGCTATTATGGTGATGAGCATCTGATGTATCATTCATCTCCTGCGACGGGAGGTTGCTTGTCTTTTATGACGAGCAGCGCCCCCGCATGACCACGTCCTCTGTCCGAAGGCGGACGTTATCTTCTCTCTGAATATTCACTTTTGCGTCCTCCATCAGTTAGAATCATTAATTGATGTCCTTTTATGTTCAGGTATGATTTTAATTGTGATTACGACCTCGACACTTGATGCATATTATCTGTGTCTTCACCACCGGCCGTGAGCGGTGCAGCATTAGATCCGACCTGTCATTCATCTATAAGGCCTACTGAGGCAAAGCAAACCTTCGTCGACAGGGCTGGAGATGTGATCAACAGTCATCGGAAAAATCACTAGTTACTAATCAAACAAAGGTCTAAGGTTGACTCGAGGCTTCGTTGTCAAAGTGATTCCAGATTGTACCGCCTAGGCATCACAGGCCGATCAAACTTACACGACACGTGTACATGGCATGCCAGGTTTGAGGTATATATATATAGCTGAGATGCCTCTATCTCAGAGAGCAGCCTCGTCAAGGATTCCAAGTCATGTATGAATATGAGACTTCAGTTCTCAGAAGTTTGTGCGCCTCACTGAGTCTGATGTCGTATGCAGCATCGATAATCCTGGTTTTGCAGGTTCATGTCACAGGTCATTCTACCGGTATCATGAAAGCTGGCTGCCTTTGATATGCTTCCAGTTCTATGGTTTAGTTTTGAACTGGGGATTCCAAGGTGTCTTGACAACACAAGTCTGTAAGTGGATTTGTATGATGCAGGGTGGCTTGCCTTTTTGATCCCGCCTGACCCCAGATATTTATCATCTTAACTCTTCACATGATTCTCGAATACTGCGAGCCACTAGTAGGTGTTTCTCAAGTTTTTTTTATTCCTGTTGTTTCAAAAAATCGTCTTGCGCAGTATACCTCGTCTGCGTGTACGAATGGGTCCAAACGGGCCTTCTCACCGCAAATTTGGCGGTTTTCTCCCAGGCCCTCTTCAAAGCGGAATCCTTGTTTGATCTCATCGGCTCTTTCGATAACAGTCTATTGTGGCTGTGTATTTTTCTCATGAGCGCAATCATCTCAGCAGCCGTCCAGATCTTCTATGCGTGGCGTCTTTACAAATTGATTGGTTCTCCTTGGGTACCCGGTATCATCATAATGGTGAGTGAATGATTCTCCCACGCACACACCTCCTAGATTCGGGTCACGTATGCTTACAATGTTTGTCCAGATATGCCTTGCTCAGCTGTCTGCTGGCCTTGCAAGCTCAGCCAACCTCAAGGTATTTCTGCCGTACTTCTTGATCATATCTTTATGTATATCATACCCCCCTTGTAGCTTTTGTCGAGATCACTCATTGAGACAGAATACAACGACTTGATATATGATGCGGCTACAATAGTATGTGCACCTCAACGATGAGCTTCTTCTAATGTATCTCTCGGACAACCAGGCATGGCTTGCAGGGAGTGCTCTAGCTGACGTCGTGATTGCTGTCTCTATGATTATATGTGTCAGTATGGTGGCCATGTCATATTACACACAGCCTCGTTGACACCATTACATCTTCCCAGCTCCAGAGGTTGAAAAGGGGTTTCGGCACTGTCAACGTCATCTTGAATCGTCTTATTACCCTAGTAGTCGAAACAGGAGGTTTGACTGGTATGTACTTCTTTATCCAAGTGGTGATGCATATTTAGATGATTAATATCTAACAGCGGGGGTTGCTGTACTCAGCTTGGGATTATTCCTCTCACCGGTAGTCAAACTACCTGTTCTTACTCGCGCAGGCTGACCATTTGTGCATACAGTACCCGTATGCATTCTGCCCGTACGCTTAATCTTGTCTCTCTCCACTGTAGATGCTGAAATGTCTGCAGACTGTCCGTAATCTCAAAATTGTAAGTGAGGTTGCTACCGGTTTGACGGCCATTCCAACAAGAATGGAAATAGGTATGGGAATAGTCTCTTGATGAGTCTCAACAACCGAGTCATCGTCAGACGCAAGATGGATGCGGCCGATGTCGCAGTCCCTCTTCGGGAGCATGTTACGAGCTGCTCACAGTCGGGAAGCCTATCGATCAACGTATCTCCTCTACGAACACCCGTCGTTGTGGCGGTCTTGCAGGACGTTACAACTAGCGCAGATTCCGATACTCAGCCGGTATAGTAACCTTTACTTGTGTGTCTCAAAGCGTTAGTTCACGCCAAGTACAGGAACACGGTCACAACAAGACAAGCCTAACCAACTGATGTGATATTCGCCGCCAAAATGTCTGATCCTTCGATACTCCTTCTGGGTCAATCTGTATTAGTAGGTAGAGCTAAATTACCCCAGATTCTCCGATTCAGAGGCTTGAAGTGTATTGAGTCCGCTAGATATATAAGCATAGTCTTTCCATTAGTTATAACGGCTGCAATCTTGACCATTAATTTATGACAGTGAAACATAATGAGCACAGTGGTTCCACAGCGATACAAAACCATACCAGCTATTTGTCTCGTACCCATCCCCCCGTATCCGCACCCCACCACCGCGAAAAGGGGGTCTGGGGCAGTTAGATAGACGCACCCCCCCCTGGCTTGAGCGCCCTTCAAGCGCCGGAATGTAACGGTCACAGTAGGCTTCTGGTACCTAGAAATGATGCGATCTTTGATCGCTTTCCAAATCCGGTACTCACACCTAGCAGGTCGTGCTCGAGACTGGTGGACGCTACATTGTGGTCTGCCACAGAATTTCAAGTTTACTTGTTTCAAGCGTCTTATATAAGCCTCATATACTATATCCACCAGCAACCTAAGTATTTCATGAGATATACCCCTCCAGTAATATCATGAGGATGCCACAGATACTGAAAGGAGAAGTTGCAGCTTTCATCATGATGCTTTCCACATGATACTTTATTTGGTCATGAACTTACAGGCTGATTTTGGCATAGATATTTTTTGTGTGGCCTTTCAAGTATTTTACAAGCTCAGGTATGCCTTTGTTGACACTTCCTCGAGCACGACCTGCTAGGTGTGAGTACCGGATTTGGAAAGCGATCAAAGATCGCATCATTTCTAGGTACCAGAAGCCTACTGTGACCGTTACATTCCGGCGCTTGAAGGGCGCTCAAGCCAGGGGGGGGTGCGTCTATCTAACTGCCCCAGACCCCCTTTTCGCGGTGGTGGGGTGCGGATACGGGGGGATGGGTACGAGACAACCAGCTATACACTTAGTCTCGTAACCAGACGTGAAGGGAGGGAGAAGGGATCACGTGGAGTGTTACTATATCTGGATTCGGAGTTCCAAAAAACCCTGCACGCCTTAACATCTGGTGAGTTTTGCAGGGAGGGAGGGGGTATCCGTCACACCCCGGCGCTTGACGTACCTGCGGCGCGTCTTGCCTGCGACGCATAGTATGGCTCCCGCTATATCCACTCTTGCCGAGTTCTCGTCGTATGGTCTTTCGACGCTCTCGGCATCCATCCTCAAGAAAGCCTGTGAGGAAGCAGCAAAAACACACCAGTACTCGTCTGCAGAGACAGAAGCCCTGAGTGGTCGTCAAAGATATTGCTGCCCAAGTCCGAAGCTGGCGGGGAGTCCAGGTCGGAGTCAGAATCGTCAACGACACTGCATAGCGAGCTCAGCCAAGGGCTCAGATGAGTAGTTGGAATAGACGACATTATGATTATGTAGGTTGGCTAGCATACATGCGCATACATTATCTAACAACTGAGTTTTGAGGTGCGCGGTGCGAGACGCGAGGCGCGTCGGACGCAGTCACGTACGCGAGCAGACGCGAGAATTACACGGGCGGCGCAGGGATTGAGTTCAACCCGGGTTGAGGAAACGCCCAGTTAAACCCGCGATGCTGGGGGTTTTTCTACAAATTGGCGCCACCAGCTTTTATCTCATCTAACCCGGCATTGGGTCAAACCTGGGACAATCTGACGCGAGCTGTGCCAGGTTCAGTCCACGGTTCCTCCAGATCATGATATCGACACGCATCCTCCCAGATACCCGGATATTATTGCTCCAGATTCTGATATGCCAGATAACTTGTGATATTGTAAATAATTGATATATTATCTTTTGCGCACAGTACTACAGACATTGTACGAAAAAGCGCATAGTCAGACCACATACCTTGAACATCGCACTCCTATTCTCATCACCTGCACTGTCCCCTGACTCCATTGCCTGGATAGCCTGTTCGCATCGCTCTCGAAGATTGTGGAATCCTGGAACACAATCAAGGCAGTCAGTAGTGTCAGTAGTGTCAGTGGCATGAGTAGTATCAGTTGTGTCAGTAGTATCAGTTGCGTCAGTAGTATCAGTTGCATCAGTAGTATCAGTTGCGTCAGTAGCATCAGTAGTGTCAGTCCGTCAGTGGCATTAGTAGTGTTAGGTTAATCAGTACGTCAGTAGGTTAGTACGGTTAGCACATCAGCGTGATCAGTACATCAGTGTCAGCACCAACCCCCCAGCGACGAGAAATCCAATATTCACCTTGCCGCCATGATCTATGCTGCACGTCACTCGCACTTGGTCCACAACCCAGGAGTCTGCGTGAAGCTGCCATGATCAGCATGGATGACTCTGACATAAACCATAGGTATGCACCTGCCAGAGACCTCCGCCCCGAATCACCGAGGTACAAGCAAACAAATGGGACGCACAATGTTCGCAGACACTTGCGAGTCAAGCGAAGGTCATGGGCAAGAAGAAAAGATGATGTGGCTGCCCTGTGTGAGTCAGTCATCATTTGATCACAAGTGTTATGCTGCAGTCATGGTCATGTGTCCCACCGGACTTAGTGTTGGCCCCATCCTGGCTGGCATTGGGTTCATCCCGACTCCCGTCTCAGGTCGGTGCTGGGCGGCGGGCGAATGGGGGTGGAGCCAAGGTCAATTTGGGTTAAACCCGATCCGCAGTTTGCGGTTTTGCCCGGAGCGTGTGAACTCAGGTTTATCTCAATATAGTCTCTGGCCGTGTAACGGCGTCGTCACTGACGACTTTGGTGATGCATGATGGATACCCCCTGAAACATTTGTCTTTCCGTTCTATTCCTTGTACTACTAGCGCCCATACTGGCGCCTGTCTTAGCGCTCACCCGCAGGTTGAACATTATGTAGCTTACATAATGGGGTCTGTGCGCACTTCGTGCCGGGTATCGTACCACTACGTTTCTTTCTTCACTAACATGGCCATATAGACACGATGGTCCGTGCGCAGTCGGTACTTGTATAAGTAGTTGTACCATTAGTCGGTCGAACCCTAAGTTCGACCTGGTTATTCATTCAAGTCTCTGCTCCTCTTTGCTTGGGGTAGTGGTCATTCTCGACTTCCTCGCTCGATCTTCAGGACAACGCACTGTCCATAAGCCCTCGCTCGTTGTCTACGAGTCAGGCATCGATATAGGAGTATAGACCGTTGTATCAAAAGGTCAAACTTTCTAAGCTACGTTCCTAGTTTCACCTAGTCGAACAACTCATCCACCATCACGTCGAACAACGCAGTAAACCCGGTTCCCTTGGGACTACCAGCCCTCGCAGGATCTCCCCTTCTCCAGTACGACCGAGCAGACCGTTGCTTCGTCACCACCACAAGAAGGACTCCCATCTATCCTCGAGGCGGCTCCTGGGTTCGCGCAGAAGGCTCTAACCCGCAGATCGTCGCCCATCAACAGCTTGTCAGCTATTACCAGAGACACCCTCCCGCTCACCCAGAAGATGTATTCGCCACCCTACGAATCAACGTCGAACCAGCACAAACAACAGAGAACCTACAGTCACCTGTTAACGAACAACCGTTCGAGCTCCTGGACGTTCAGTACGTTCCCATCAAGGCTCCAGAACTACCACCAGCTCCATCTGCACCAACCAACGCACCGGTTGAAGTCCCTATGGCAACGTTCACTCAAGCAGACATCGATCAGCGCATCGCTGTTGCCCTTTCAGCATACCAATCCCAACAGTCAACTGCCAACCGACCCCTTCGCCTTGACATCCCCGCTCCCGAACCTTTCAGCGGAAAGGCGGAGGACCTCAGACACTTCATCCAATGCGTCCTCTCCTACTTCGTCGCCACCAACAACACCAGACTTAGCGATGAAGCAAAGATCGCCTTCACTGTAGCGTTGAGGAAGGACCTAGGGAAGACATGGGCAGACACATACTACGAGAAGTCGGCAGGGGGAGTCCAGGTCTATCCCGATTGGGCAGCCTTCGCCACCGCCCTCGAGGAAGCGTTTCCTGAGCACGGAACGCGAATCAAGGCACACCAAATCCTGATGAAACTGCCTGAACGACAGAAGAACAAGAAGACAGCACTCTCCCTTGAAAACTACGTCACCCGCTTCGAGCAGCTAGCGTCGAAAGCCCAGCTCAAGGACGCCGAAGTCAATGGCGTCAACCGCACCGAGAACGACTACCACACTCTTCATGCCAACTTCGTCAAAGGACTTCCAAAGGAGCTCTACATCTCTCTCACAACCAGGGTCGCTAGGGACCGACCCAGCACCATGAAAGCCTGGTACGATGAAGTCCGAAACACTGACGCCGCCAAACAAGGGGCCCTCACTGTCACAGACACCAGGGACTATGGCGAGCCAATGGATATCGACGCCGCCGCAGTCGCGGCAACCTTTGCCCCCACGTCGGGAGGAAGGAAGTGGGAACTAGGAGCAGTTCTCAATGAGGCCGACCGGAAGCTCCACAGGGACGGGAACCTGTGCTTCTACTGCCACATCAAGGGCCACAGCGCCAAGGATTGCCGCAAGAAAGCGGCTGCACGACAAGGGGGTGGGAAGCCGAACCAGGGAGGATCTGGAAAGGACGACTTCCGCGCCAGAATCAAGGCACTCTCCGTGTCATGAGTTGGCATATGATCAGCATATATACCTCCGGTCAGATGTCAAGCCAAGCTTGACATTGCACCCTTTTGGTGTAGAGGTTATGATGTGAGACCGGCACATGCATGTAAATCCTTACAAAATGTCAAGCTTCAAGTGGTCGAGGGTTCAACTCCCCATGTGAGCAGACATTTCGAGCAAATTCACTAGAGGTCACATGTGATATGTGATTGCTTGGCAGTGAAAGGGAGCTGGTGTCTGAGGTCCAGATGGTCAGGTGACCGGACTACATGGGGTCCTCCTGAACTCTCAGAAGATCATCAAGGTTAAGCCAGAGTTGGTAACCCTTGGGGTCAGGGTATTATATGGATCCACATGAGGTCATGTGCCCTGGGAGGGGGATAATGTCATGAGTTGGCATATGATCAGCATATATACCTCCGGTCAGATGTCAAGCCAAGCTTGACATTGCACCCTTTTGGTGTAGAGGTTATGATGTGAGACCGGCACATGCATGTAAATCCTTACACTCCGCTGACAAGAAGCGGGAGCTGTATGAAGAACTTACGATGGAGGATTTTTGAGGGGGCAGAGTGAGCCGACGCAACCACTGCCCGTATCCGTTTCACTGTCCCGTGTAATTCTAGTAGTCCAAAATGAACGCGCTCTGCACATTCCGATTACTGTGGGACGAAAAGACGTCGAGGTGCGCGCTTTCATTGATAGCGGCGCAACTGGAATCTTCATCAGCCCGAGATTTGTCCGAGAACATCGACTTCGGACAGAACCTCTTCCCTGACCCATCCCCGTCTTCAACGTGGATGGAACACCGAACAAAGAAGCACTCATCACGCGAAGAGCTCTCTTATCCTACAAAATAAGCGAAGAACCCCGATTCGTCAAAGCCTACGTCGCCAGCATCGGCAAGGAAGACATCATCTTCGGCCATACCTGGCTCAAGCTCGAAAACCCCAAGATAGACTGGAAAACCGGACGAGTGGAGCTGAACCACCGGTGGACAAGAGACAAGACCAGGGCCTGGAAGATGGACCTGTACCAAAGGCGAGTGGCCCGGCTAGAATTAAAGAAGGCCGTAACTACCCCACTCCCAGAACCAACGAAGGACGAATTTGTCGTCATCCCCACCTCAGAGCATGCAACCCTTCCCGAACGAAAGACTAGCGGCGCAGCCGGATATGACATCTCTGCTGCGCATCAACTCATCATCCCTGCCCGACGACGAGGCCTGGTCGGCACTGACCTTATCATGGCTATCCCCGAAGGACACTACGGAAGAATCGCACCTCGGTCCGGTCTAGCGCTAAAAGAAATTGACGTTGCTGCAGGAGTAATCAACTCCGATTACCAAGGCAAGGTCTCAGTCCTGCTGGTCAATAACTCTAATCTCCCATTCACCATCAAAGCCGGCGACCGAGTTGCCCAGCTCATCCTTGAAAAGATAAGCACTCCACCAGTAACGCTAACCGACTGCGTCGACGAGACCGAACACGGGGAGGATGGGTTTGGGTCAACGGGTATTGCGTCCATCGAGGAACAAGCGGAGGACATCAACGATGATGAGTTCATCATTTCCTACTTATCTGGAGCACCGATGATCACCAAGTACGAGAAACAGGAACCCCTGGTAGTGAGGGATGTTCCGCTCAAGGAGCGACTCCCTGAACCCTCATCTGGCTACAAACGACTTCACAACGGCATGATCTGGAAGGTCCACCACGACATTAGGCGTGTCACCACTTCCACTGAACTTGCAGCCTCGAACGCCCAAGGCAAGACAGAAAGAACGCTACCACAGATGGTACCATCCTACCTACACGATCTACTCCCCGTTTTCGACAAAGCCACGGCTGCGCGACTTCCAGACCACACCGAATACGACCACAAAATCAACCTCAAGGAGGGCTTTGTGGACATGAAGCAACAGGTCTATCCGCTCAACCCGCAGCAACGAAAGGAACTCAACAAGTTCCTCGAGGAGAACCTGAGTAAAGGGTACATTCGCCCTTCAAAATCCCCGTTGGCGAGTCCATTCTTCTTTGTTGGTAAAAAGGACGGCTCACTACGTCCCTGTCAAGACTACCGGCTGCTCAACGAGAACACGGTCAAGGATCGATACCCGCTCCCGCTTATATCCGACCTCCTGGACAAGTTGAAGCACGCCAAAATGTTCACGAAGATGGACCTCCGCGCCGGATACAACAATGTTCGAATCAAGAAAGGGGACGAATGGAAGGCAGCGTTCATCGTACCTGGAACTGATGGCAAACCGCCGCAGCTATACGGACCAACGGTGATGTTCTTTGGGCTGTGTAATTCTCCCGCTACGTTCCAGCGGATGATGAACACAATATTCGCAGACATGCTTCAAGAAGGCTGGCTCTGCATTTACATGGACGACATCCTGATCTTTTACCAGGACAAGGCAGAACACGAAGAACGAACACGATGTGTTATCGAACGACTTCGACAACACGACCTCTACCTCAAACCGGAGAAATGCGCCTTCGACGTCATGGAAGTCGAATTCCTCGGCATGATCATCCGTCCAGGAGAAATCGCAATGGACCCTGTCAAACTAGCCGGCATTGCGGATTGGCCGGTGCCGTCCAACCTCAGGCAAGTACGCGCCTTCGTTGGATTTGGAAACTTTTACCGCCGGTTTATCAAAGGCTTCTCGGACAAAGCGCAACCGCTGGTTGCTCTCACCCGGAAGGATGTCACCTGGACCTGGGGATCTGACCAACAGAAAGCCTTTGAGACCCTCAAAAAGGCATTCCTAGAGGAACCGGTACTACGTATGCCGGATCCTGACCGACCCTTCGCCATCGAAACCGACGCCTCAAAGTTTGCCACCGGAGCGGTGCTACGCCAATGCGATGACAACGGCGACTGGCATCCTTGCAGATACCTCTCCCAGAGCTTCAATGCGGCAGAGAGAAACTACGACATCTATGACAGAGAGTTATATGCGGTTATCCACGCACTAGATGAGTGGAGACACTACCTCATCGGCAGCCCATACCCAGTGACGATTCTCAGCGACCACAAGAACCTCACGTATTGGAAACAAGCCAAAGACATGAACCGACGACAAGCACGCTGGGCGAGTAAACTGACCGAGTTTGACTTCCGCCTGGTGCACGTTCCTGGTACCCAAATGGTGCAGAGCGACACTCTCTCCCGCCGACCCGACCATGATGATGGCTCAAATGACAACACTGACGTCGTTATGCTCCCACCGGAAGTATGGGTCGCTGCCATCGACATCGACACCCGTGACACCATCCTTTCCTTCAAAAATGACCCAATAATGAAGGAAGGACTCACTGCAGCACGCACCGGAGGAACACCACGCACTGGAACAGACTGGTCCATCGATGATGACCTCCTCTTATACCAGGATCGGGTCTACGTACCCCCAGATGAGTCTCTTCGCAAGCGCCTTGTCTCCCACTATCACGACCTCCCCTCCGCAGGACACCCCGGAGTTCAGAAAACCCTCCTCGGTTTACGCCGTGACTACTGGTGGCCGAGCATGGCCCAGTTTGTCGCTCGCTATGTTAACGGCTGTGGCATCTGCCAACAAATGAAGGTTAACACGCATCCAGCCCGACCGCCCATCACCCCCATTTGACCCCGTGCAAATGCCAAGCCTTTCAGCACATTCTCGTGCGATTACATCACCGACTTGCCACTGTCCAATGGCTTTGATTCCATTTTGGTCGTAGTGGACCACGACCTTACGAAGGGGGTAATTTTCATCCCATGCAACAAAACAATTGACGCTCTTGGGACAGCAGATGCAATGTACCGAGAGGTCTACAAGTGGTTTGGACTTCCAGACAAGATCATCAGTGACCGAGGACCGCAATTTGCGTCCAAAGTCTTCCAAGAACTGTGCAAAATGACCGGAGTTCAATCAGCCATGAGTACGGCATTCCATCCGCAAACCGACGGCGAGACAGAACGAGTGAACCAAGAGCTGGAGATCTACCTCTGCTGCTTCACTGCCAATGACCCGGATAAGTGGGCTGACCATCTTCACACCGCGCAATTTGCTCACAACTCCCGCGAGCACTCCACGACGAAGGTGTTCCCGTTCAAACTCATGATGGGATACGAACCTCGTGGAATACCCACCGCGCATCCTGGATCAAACACGCCCCAAGCAGCTTATCGCCTCAAGGACTTGCAAAACATCCGCGAAGAAGCACATGCGGCAATGGAGATGGCCCAGAACGTCCTGGACAAGAGAGTAAAAAGGAAGGGGGGTTCCTTCCGTAAAGGTCAGCTGGTATGGCTAGACTCCCGGAACTTGAAGCTGCCGTACCCATCCAGGAAACTAGCCCCGAGGCGAGAAGGGCCGTTCAAAGTCCTAGATAAGATTGGAACAGTCGCGTACAAGCTAGACTTGCCTAGCACCTGGCGAGTCCACCCCGTTTTCCACGAATGGCTTCTATCTCCCTACTCAGAAACGGAGATCCATGGTCCGAACTACACGAGGCCACCCCCTGACCTCATCGAAGGCGAAGATAACTACGAAGTCGAAGCCATCATCGGACACTGAGAGAACAAGAGGATGTGACGCCGCAAATATCGCGTCAGGTGGAAGGGTTACTCAACAGCCGATGACTCATGGGAGCCCGAGGCGAACCTGACTGGGACGGCTGACAAAGTGTTGGCAGAGTATAAGAACAGGAAGGACTTGAGCTGAATCGATAGCAGCTCTACCCAGTCGCTACATCCCCACTCGCACCAACATGTCTTCCACCCTCTCGTTCCTCGACCAGTTCAACGCCCCCTCGACCGAAGGCGGGAAAAGGCTCTCAATCTACACCCCTAAGCACACCCACGTCGGCGACAGCACCTTGCTGACGCTCCTTCTCAGTAATCCCACCGACGTTTTCAACAAGCTTAAAGCCCACAACCCTGAGGCAACCAATGCCACCGACCGCGCTGCACTAGAGGCGTACCTCTCTGCCCGCCGCGAATACGACAAGGCTGTCAAGGCAGCCGACGAGGCCATCGACCACCACAAGCGGCTCCTACGCCAACAGGACGACCGCGTCCTCACCGAGCTCATCCGGCTCGACAATCTGAAAGTCGCCCATCGCTTTCAACCGCTCTTACCATGCAGCATCCGAGCACGACACAACAAATTCATCCCGAGCGCCATCCCCAACGCGTACTTACCCCTACCCGCACCCCTACCGACGTCTGCCTTCAGACGCCCCCCGATCCCATCCCCTTTCCTCCAAGCAACGCCGCGGAGCACTACCATCCCGGCTGACTGGCAACCCAACCCTGGTTGGACCCCGAAGGGAAGCTGCAGGCGATGCGGATCGTCTTGACACTGGGTACGGGACTGTCCGGACGTACGATGCGCAGGATGCGGAAAAGAAGCCCCTGGACACCTGGAGCGAGAGTGCGGAACCAGGCCGATGAAGCGACACGTATCTGCACCACCTGAAGAACCTGCACGACGCATGGGGGTGGTCGTCGACAACGTGTTCCTCGAAGGAATCATCAACGAGGCAAAGGAGAGGAAGGAGAAAGAAAGGCAGACGAAAGCAATACCCATCCCTCCACCGCGTAGCACTAACCCCGAACCCCCGCCAGTCCCGTTGCGGGACCTTCGTGCCCCCACCCCGATACACCCGTCGTCTTTCGCAAAGTCGATCCCGACTGGACACCGGACACCACTCAATGGACGTGGGACAGCTCCTGGCCGAATCAGAAGCACCTCTCTGGCGAGGATTGGATGAACGTAGGAAGGAACGCGCGCAAGGAGTGGTTCGACGAAGAGGAGGACGACGGCGTAGATTGGGAGTTGTATGGAGATGGTGAGCAGTAAGTAGTCGAATGAGACTTCGACTCTGGTAGGGGGGTAATGAAACATTTGTCTTTCCGTTCTATTCCTTGTACTACTAGCGCCCATACTGGCGCCTGTCTTAGCGCTCACCCGCAGGTTGAACATTATGTAGCTTACATAATGGGGTCTGTGCGCACTTCGTGCCGGGTATCGTACCACTACGTTTCTTTCTTCACTAACATGGCCATATAGACACGATGGTCCGTGCGCAGTCGGTACTTGTATAAGTAGTTGTACCATTAGTCGGTCGAACCCTAAGTTCGATCTGGTTATTCATTCAAGTCTCTGCTCCTCTTTGCTTGGGGTAGTGGTCATTCTCGACTTCCTCGCTCGATCTTCAGGACGACGCACTGTCCATAAGCCCTCGCTCGTTGTCTACGAGTCAGGCATTGATATAGGAGTATAGACCGTTGTATCACCCCCCTCCCTCCCTGCAAATTTCACCAGACCTTATAGGCGAGAGTGTGCAGGGGTTTTTAGATCTCCACCACCCAATTGGGTAATAGCACACGTGATCCGCCTATAAGGTCTGGAAACGAGACTACTATACTTACCTTGGATCATCTTTGGCTTGGTCGTCACCCAACTGCGTTGGGCCTAGCGGAACGCCGGCTGCACCCTAAATATGGCAATTCCCGCGAATACCAATGCGATTGCGAAAATGGATAAGCGTGACTGAATAATGTCATCCGCGATCGCAAATGTGTCAAATCAGATAAGGTTTCTGTCCGGCTTGTCCCGCCGCCTTGCCCCGGCCACTCCGCCTTCTGGTCCAGCTGCCTCCGGATTGCCGTCTCGGCCAGGCACACCTTTTGCCCTCCGTCAAGGGCAAATCCGCCCAGCCCATAGTGCTATTCAGTCCACACTTTTACAAACATGTTCGCCCCTGGCTGGATTACCTTGAAACCTGAACCATTCGCCTCCCTATGCCTTTCTCTTGCCATATAAAATATCAGTCTACACAAATCTCATTGAGCATGGACTTGAGTTTCGACTTTTTCTCAGGTCCAAGCACATGCCACTGGCCAACCCGGCCATCGGGGTACCATTCCCTGCCTAAATAGGCAGGATATGTTGGAACAAGGGAGCGAACGGCGCAGGGCGCGTTTGTCCACGGGCGTAGCGATGCCCGTAAGGGACAATCGCGTGCGGTACATACATCGCGCGGGGTCGTTATATACTACGATAGGGGCCTCCGGCCCCCGGCTACTCGCGCGCCTGAGCTTTCGAGCTCGTTCCTGACCACGTGGGGCTGCGTGTTTCAACAGGATATGCTACATATGGATGCACACCCGAGACTGCCTGTGAATGATGAATACTAGCAACATGCTTGTGATATATAAATTGACTGCAGTGTGACTATAAAGAGTTCATTTCAATACAATACATGTGTGCTGAAAGAAGCGATCAGGAACTAGCTCGCAAGCTCGGGTGTGGTGTATATTGACCGCTTGCGATGTACATACCGCGCGCGATTGTGCCTTACGGGCATCGCTATGCCTGTAGACAGACACACTCGCCAAACAAATTCCCAATGGTGTGTTCTCTTCCAGAGTACAATCTCACCAACGAGTCGTGATCAGCCGGGGTGGGAGCTACGTACCAAAAAAGGCAGGCATTCCGCAGACAAACGAGAGTTGAGCAGCCCTATTGCCTATTATGGCCTATATAACATACATCACAATATGAAGTTGCACGGCTAACATAAAACTGCAGTCAATTTTTTCAGGATGTACTCAGGCCCATAATGGCACCTGAGGATGTTCGAGAGGATCTGTGAAGCGCGAGAGCTATTTCTAAATGTCGGGACATCCATGCGATCCGGCGTGACATGTGCGCATTTTATTTGACCGATTTGCGATCGGCGATGACATTATCCATTTTCGCAATGGATAATGTCATCCGATTACCGGTCTACACAATTAGAAACAGCCCTCCCTCGCTATGGATTGTTTCGAACATCCAACCACTGACTTTGGGGCCTAAACAGAGCCTATGAAAAATGCATTCAGCAAGTTATATCATGTTTCCTTAGCTAGCCAGCCTCAGTGCACTTTCAGCTTAATGCGCGCTCGAAATGGGCTCGAATCACTGACCGGGGCGGACCAAAACGAGTGCCGGGGCGGGCATCAAGGCGATTCGGCGCGGGCAGGAAGCTTATCTGATTTGACCGATTTGCGATCCCAAATGACATTATCTACTCACGCAATGCGATCAACCTACCGTGCTCATCCCGGTCATTCTTCGTTGCGTGAATCAAGCCAATGTTCGCTTTCCTGCGACATCTGCCTAGCAAATAACATACCTTTGATTATTGGTAGCAAGACCCTTGTTTCTAGTGCGAACCAGTTATCAGGCACACCTCGTACCGTAGCGGCAAGCGTCTCCTTCCCTCCAGACAACCCGCATACCGCTTCTCGTATCTTTGAGCAATGATCAAGTAAGCTATCGCCCGCCCAAAACTGTTGTGCGCCCGTTATGAACAATCCTGTCAGTTTCGTATGGTGCCTTCTACAACGCTTTCGTGGAAGAGTATATACAGCCATATGGAATATCTTGCGGCGGCTCGGTCGCGGGGAACCTTTTGCGCGTGTCATGCCATTGCCATTTGGCCTATATCTCTAGAGGGCTTATCCACAAGAAGCCCTAGCCACAGAATATGTTCGTCAGCATACGTCGATCCCTGTCCCTAGAGTCCTTGACGTCGTTCCTTTCTGGTGCGATGAGGTCTACATACTGATGACAAAATTACCTGGCGAGCAACTGGGACTGCGCGCGGGTGACATCAAGGACCTCTCGCCTCGTCGTCTTCAGATTCTTGAAGATGCACTTCGCGGATGGTTCGAGCAGCTCAGAGCTCTGGAACCTCCGGATCCGGACGCGGTCTGTGGCTTTGGCGGCAGTGGCATCAAATGCTACCGCATCAGTCATGATAACTACGTTGGACCTTTCGCCTCGCAGAATGATTTCCACCAGTTGTTGTTGGGGGCCTGCGCGGCAACGTATGGCCCCATGACCGCCGCAAGCCACTCGAAAACTCACAGGATCTGGTTCACGCACGGCGACATTACCCCACATAACATTCTCCTTGACGAAGACATGAAACCTGTCGGACTCGTTGACTGGGAATGTGCGGGCTGGATGCCAGAATATTGGGACTATACATATGCCCTCTATATCAGATATCCACGCTACATGGCATGGTGCGATTTGTTCACTCGCATCTTCCCGCAATATGGCGTCGAACTCGAGGCTGAGTACAAATTATGGGAGATCGCGAACCCATGGTGATCATGGTTCTCTGCTGGTACGTCGCTATGCATTTCCACGCACGTGTTCGTGCTCAAGGTCCTTCAACCAGGAGCGAACTCGTATGATCGAATATTTGTCGTGTGGAATGTTGGCTCATTTTCTGGGGAGTTCGCTTCCTGCTACTCCATAATCCATGTCTGCGTATATTCAACTCATGACATTCGCAGCGCACTTAGTAGGTCATCCCCAGCTTTGGTTTGATTTAGCGTTGGGAGCTCAGTTGTTGCGCGTCCATTGGTTGTTGCTCTATACATGTATGTATCTGCTTCTACATGTCTTCAAGGGGCCTGTTTCCTGCTACCCCGTGATTTTCATTCTGCTCTCATTCGAGGTTTGCACTGCCAGGACTTCTTCCTTTGGGTACTATATGCCAACCGCGACGTCTACCATGTCCTGGCAACTAGGCACATAATCGGCATCCGTTCTTGAGGTCTCCCTTGTGTGCATATGCAATAGAAACGATGCACAGTGAAACCTCGATATTCGCAGTCTTGCGAAATTGGATCGCACGGTACAACCGGCCCAGCCGGTAGGCGCCGTGGGCGCTCCCGAGGATCCGATCAACGCATGCTTCAGCTTCAGGCCTTCCTCCGGTCCTACATGCCAAATATGACTTGAGTGGATGATCTCCGCTGCAGTTATTAAGTGACCTTCCGCTGCGGCTGACCCATGCAACTCATGCAGCCCTGAGAACATTGCTGCCTCGTGGCCTCCTGTCTGACATCGCCTCGAAGTCTGTTCATACTTCCCACATCTTGAGGCTATGATGAAGTAGGTCTCGACAAACTCAGGGTTTGATCCCTGTTATTGACTCGTTTTCTAAACCCCAGCTACGTGCGGTCCCTACCACGGCTACCCCTTCTACAACGTCTGCGTTGTAGGATATATACATTTATATGGGGCTTCTTGCGCAGGCGAGGTCACGGACATCCCTTTTCGCGCGTCATGCCTCTGCCATTCGGCCTCTATCTGAAGAAGACTACAGTACAAGAAGCCCTAGCCACCGAATATGTACGCCTGAACACGACAATCCCTGTCCCTAGAATCCTCGATGTCGTCCCTTACCACAAACGGTCCCTCGTACTGATGACGAAGGTACCTGGCGAGGAATTAGAGAAGCGCGTAGACCACATCAGTGATCTCTCGCCCCGTCAACTCCAAGTTCTCCAGGACACGCTACGCGGCTGGTTCGACCAGCTCAGAGCTCTCCAGCCACCGGACCCGCACGCGGTGTGCGGCTTCGGCGGTAATGGCGTTAGAAGCTTCCGCATCACCAGTGATGACTACGTGGGGCCCTTCGCCTCAGAGACGGAATTCAACAAGAGGCTGCTGAAATATAACGAGGCGACTCACACCGAGATTTCCTCCCCCAGTCACTCGAAGTTGCATAAGATTTGCTTCACACACGGCGACATCACCCCTACGAACATACTACTCGATGAAGACATGCGACCGGTCGCTCTCATCGATTGGGAGTGTGCAGGGTGGATGCCCGAGTACTGGGAGTACACGACGGCTCTCTTTATGAGGTATCCCCGGTATAAGGAGTGGTGCGAACTGTTTACTGGCATCTTTCCTGACTATCGCGTTGAGCTTGAAGTGGAGTATGAGATATGGATGGTCACGGATCCGTGGCGTGGTTGATGCACTCTAGTGGTAAGTCTTCCCATTCATTCAATCATGGATCGGTGTTGACAATCCATTCAGAACGTGGGAAGCTCTAAACATGTCGATTCATCTCCTATCCGAGATACTTGATGATAGCCCTCATTTTGCGTTCATGTAGAGTCACTGCTGCTGGTATTCGTCCTACGAATAGGAAGCTCTTATCCACCTTGTGTATGAACTTGCCGTATGATCGTTGGCGCATACACTATACTGCATGACGCACATCGGCCACAAAACATACTGGTACCTTTCACAGAATGAACACGGTGACGTCATAGTCGTAAGATGGACAATAATATATGCGATGTTAGGTCGAGACCAATTATTATGCTCATACAATTACGAAGATGCTAACCAAGAAGCAGCTACCAACGCACGCCGACGCGAACACGCTCACGCTTCTCGGCAACGCCACCCATGCATACGAGAGGATGCCCAGTATCCCGAGTATGAAGCCTGCGCCTGTCATCATCAGCGACAACCGCAAGCAGCGCTCCAAGAAGTCCACAGGTAGATGCAGCATCTCCTGGATTGCAGCATCGGACCCGGTCGTCAGGCACTTCGACAGGGAAAGGGCTTCGCGCGGAGGGGAGGACGTGCAGAATCGCAGTGGATGCACAACGCGAACCACTATGCGTCTGAGCACAGCACGAGCGGCGTGCCTCGGCGACGGCTCGGACCCATAAGATTCGAGCTGTCGGGTCGTAGGACGGCCGTGCTTGGAAGTAGATGAGTCGGAGCCTGCTGGGCGATGCCATGAGTGCAGACCGCTTTCACTGCTCTCTGCGCCAGCAGCGTCGTCATCTGCTGCATGTTCTGCCGTGACCAGCTCGTATCTGCAAAGCACGAATGCGCCGCTGAATGCGACCACGGCTGAATACTCGTACTTGAGTCCATATACCATTCAGAAGGGGTGATGACTGACGTACCCGCGCAGGTATGGAATATGAGTGCGCCGGAGAGGCTTGCACTAATGAAATCATTTGCTGTATGCCTCGTGGGAATAATTGTATTGTCACGCCCACCATTGATGGCGGTAGATGCGAGCGTGAACAAGAGCGCATCCATTGACGCGAAGAATGTGGTCTGGATGTTGATTAGGATGCGTACAAGGTCGATAATGCAATGACTCGGAGAGCTCACGATTGTTGTAACCAGCTGCAGTCGTTTCAGCCAGAAGTCGATCACATTGAAAATCGCTTTCTGAAGCGACTCTTCACGCGATTCATGCATCAAGTGTGGAGGAGCATCGATATCGCTCATATCCTGCCTCTTGTTGTGTGAAAGAACTAGATGAGAGGGATTGATCGCACGTACGTATTATTCCGGTAGCACTTGCCAAGCGTATCCAGTGCTTCCCCTCGGCTCGAGACAGCGTATTAAGCAAACAGCTGCGCAATATCCTTAGGCCACCAAGCACAGCCTACAAACCTTATAACCCGCACCTAAATCACCGCATCATTTGTCAAGGCTCCCGCCGGCGCGTTCATCGGTGTCAAGTGGCGCATAAGCCGAAAGTAGCAAGAATGTAGACGCTCCTCGGCAACGTGCTCGCTTTCCGGGTCTTGACAGCGACGACAGCGACGAGCCGACGGCGGGGCGCATCGCAGTAATATCTCTTTGGGGTCTACGGACTCCGAAGCACCCCACACGTGCCGCTAAACCACATTGATGTTCTTTTGTCACTTAGTGTTCGGTGGCTCCATTGCTAACGCTCACGGGACATGGGTTTACTGACTCTGTCAACCGGAGGCGCTTCCTTGGCCCTAGCAGCAGTCAAATTTCCGAGAAAGGCTGCTCCGCTAGACGCGTTATTCGGGCAGTTCTGACTGATACGTATAGCAGGCATCGGATGCTCACTCACTTCGGATCGGGAGAATGCATTGTTTGACGAGAATGTGGACGTCCCGTCAGCATCAAATCGTCCTCTCCGCAGAGTTACACAGCCACATGTGCACTCACAGGCCAGTTCGAGCACAATAGGTCTGTAGTTCGATCTTCTGAAAATAATTGCGATGGGATGCGATTAGCGTAACCGGAAGTTATAGCACAAACGATAATTCTGGATCAGCTCGTCAACGGGAAAGGTTGTATGATATCATTGTTATGCGGACATACCAAAATGGGCTGTCCGGAAGTATGCGATGGTGAGCGCCGGATGAACATCGGCAGATGATCGTAAAAGCGCCCTATACCGCGTACTTCTCTTGAGTATATGAACCTTGCATAGCTGCTAGCAAATCACATAATGTGCTAACAAGTACAGCCCTGGGCATACCCAGCATGCATGACCCAGGGCCACCTGCACGATGAAAGAGCAGCACGAAGGTAGAAGCGAGCGAAGAGCTCGGGCGCTCGTCCCAAAATGGGCGACTTTGCGAAGCAGGCGAGTAACGATGCTTCTACTGCCTCGAGGCAGCCATCCGATAGTCAATATGACTCCCCTGATGCGACTTGCAGCTGCAACGAGGCCTCCGCGAAGTTGCAGCATGTTACGACATGGAGAGGGTACATCAGGCGCGGAGAGAGCCTGACCAGGTTGTCAACCACCTCGCTACACCTCGCTTGTCTCTAACGCTACACGCCATACTAAACAATCCTACGATACCCATAACGTCAACATGAACAGTGATAACTCGGTACGTTGGACTGGCGGTCGCGTAGGCGATGCAACTGATGGCGAGGACAGATGATGGAGATCGATAGGCACCTTACACAACTCCTGAGTAGCATGACACTCAATGGACCGTGGAGGCCAGACATCGTAAGTGATGCGTAATCGTACTCTGTACCACCACAGCTAACAGCTGCTATGCGATCTGGAGAAAGGAAAGCACAGGGTCGTTGCCGACCTTTCCAGCAGTAAGCAGTCACGACGAGGGCATGTCCGACTCGTCAGACACAGAAGACTCGACTTACCAGGTGATTCCGCCCATCACGCATGCACTACCCACACTGACGTAATGTCCCAGGCAAGCCCGTCGGGATCCTCAAACTACACCGCGACCGTCGACGTGCAGCCGCCCTGCGGCTGCGCGCTGCTGCAGGGGATCCGCGACCAGCTACTCTTGGAGCGCTATCCCACCACCGGCGGCGAGTACCTGGAAGCCATCTTCACCCATCGCGAAGTGTTCTTCGCGTTCCCAGAGGGCCACCAGATGTGTGCCATCGGGTTCACCGACCTCGCGAAGAACCTAGAAACGCGCAATGCGAGGGCAGACAGAGATGGTGATGGGGAGGCTGCAGCAGCTTTCAGGCATGAGGCATGGGTGATCGCGAGCAATCGAGGGAGGTGGTAGACTCTCCTCGCATGCCACTATGGACGGATGTATTTGTCATAGTCATTCAGATTATTCGGGCGCTGGACGCCATGTTCTTTGCGTCTTATGTTCCGAAACCAGTAGGGCGATGTGTTCAGCGCGATCCGCCTTGAAAGTCTTATCAACTGGGCAAATGAAAGAAAAGAAAACTTAGATTATGAAGTTGCCGCACGAAGCGGTGGAATTTGGCTAGACATGCACATATTATTGAGATGAAAAATCATGCATAGCATGTATACACACTTGCCTTGCTTACCAAGATTACTTGCGCTCGCGGAACTGTGCTGTCCCGACATGAGAGAGCGGAAGCAAACTGAGAAACGCCCAAGTGCCGTGGAAGTCAACCACGTGATGTGCTCTGTATGGGTGCTTGTGGGTGCTGTGCTCTTGTCCCGTACTGTCACTCATTTATCTTTGGGCCACCTTGAGTCTTGAGAGGTCTCGGCTATCTCTATCGAATATGATACAAGATATGCTCTGCACTGCGCCAGAAGTAGCGTTATGCAGCGAACAGCGAATGTTCACAGCTTCCAATTTACAATGGATTCGGTTTCACATTGTGCCAGTGCATGCTGCGAGGTGCTCGGAATCGGACTCACTGCTGCGGGGTCTTCATTTTGATCCGTCCGAGCGTTTCCGGGAATTTTGGATGTGACGCTTCTGCACCGCCCATGATCACTGTTGCCCGTTTCGGGTCGTGATGGCAGCCTGGCTTGGCGTTGACATATTCGGATCTGTGTGGTCACTCGCCTGTTCTCCGGCTCCGTTCTACCGTCACAACGTACTGCATGGCTCCGCTACACGAGCGAGATAGTGACTTGCGCTCCGAATATCACAGTGCGGCTGTACGGCACAATTTCTTGTGGGGTTTGCTGGGCCTCGCAAGATGTATGTGGAGTGTAGTCACTCGCCTCGGGCGCTGAGTCAGAGAAGACCTTACCCCGGCTTCTAATGATGGCTGGGCGGCTGTGGCGCGCATTATATACATGGGCGCAGTGCGCCCACATACCGACCATCTCGCTGAGCCTGTCACTTCACTATGGCCGGTCAGTTCACAAGTGCGTATGCATGCACGTCCATGGCATTGCCAGTCACTGATTTTTTACTATCATCTGCAGCGCCAGGGAAGCCTTTTCTACGAGAGACACGTGCTATGACAGAGGAACCTGGTCCATTCCTGCGTTCGGGTTCACGGCTATTGCTATTCGACTCAGACTACATGCCGAGAGCAGCAACAACCGGTCATATGAACAACAATGAGAAGGAATCAGCTCAAGGGAGACGATGTATGTTGTGCTTTCCGCCTTGTTGTCTCGAACAAACCTTTCTCAACGTGATATTCCCTTTCCGTATCGACAGGGACGCAGACTGATCAAGATGAAACCGATGCAGAGATACGGAGAAGAGTCATGAAGGAGCTTTGCCATTCATGGATGGACAGGCTGCAGCTGATCAGCGTTGTTGTGCGTTTCTAACCGTTGTCGCTCGCGAACCGAACACTCACGATGATCCGTCAGACTACATTCTTTGCGGCAACCGAGGCTCAACTTCTGGGGTTCATTGCGCCAGACGACCACGACGAGGGACCATTGGTACAGCAGGCCGCAAATGCCATTCTCGCTGGCGCTCTCATCATTCATTTGTGTGCAGGTAGGCTGAATTGATCGTAGCCTGGATCGAGCGAAGCTCACAGAGAATTGCGTAGCTATCATTTCGTTCCTCGCTGCCTTCTTCTTAGTGCGCTATCGTCTGCGTGAAGCCAAGCGCGAAGAGCTCAAGGTCGAGCTTGGCGTATCGCCGCTGGATGGGTCTCGATCCTCCGATCCGCCCGTATGGTCGGCGAATCCGCACCTCGAACAGGTTGGTCCCTTCCGCAGAGGAACCCCGCCAACCCACCTGCTGGAGCATTGCCACGGGCTGTGCATGTGGCTCGCTGCGATTGGCTTCGCCCTTGCGTTGACAGGCGTGCTGTGCTACTCATGGGCGCGCCTCCCACGGAGCGCAAGTATCTTTGCCTCAGTATGCATGGCTGTTTGCTGGGTTCTGGGAATCGGTTCCGTCCTTGTCGTTAAATTGTGATGAAGTGATGATCCGGACGTGTTACGACTTGTACGACTTTATGGCCCTTGATGACTGTGGACGTTTGTTATACCTTACGACAGCGCTAATGTGGACTGGTATATGAAATGTTTTGCGCGAAGGCAAATCTAATACAATTGACGCGTGGTATTACATATGCTAAACGTACAGAGAGCAGCATGCGGCGGATATGGTAACAAAGGTCCAGCTCCGAAACCTGTCATCACAGATATCTACAACTTGCTCTCGTTGAACTTGATGCCGCTGAGAGGTTGGTCTGGACGGACATCAGGTGCTGCCATACTCGAAGTCAGAGTGAACACTCACAGGTGTTGTGGAACAAGTTGTCCTGCGGAGTCAAGACTGTGTGCGACGTGAGGGCACTAGCATCGACCATCTCCGGCACAAGCTCGTCGATCGTGCGAGCACCCAGGAGACGCATGGTCATCTCGAACTCGTCCTGTGCATGAATCCGTTCTTAGTCTCATATCCTCATCAGGAACTCCGCAACACGTACACGGAAGATCTGGATAGCTTTCTCGACACCTTCCGTGCCGTACGCGCAGAATGCGTAGAGGAAGGGCCGGCCGACGCCGACTGCCTTCGCGCCCAGCGCAAGAGCCTTCAGCACGTCACTTGCGCGGCGGACACCACCGTCCACGAAGATCTCGAAGTTCGGATTCGGCCAGTAACCGCGGGCACGGAGGGCCGCGGTGACCTCGACGAGGACCTCAATACCAGAGCGAGCAGTGTCAAGCTGGCGACCACCGTGGTTGGACAACACAATGCCTTGCACGCCAGCCTCGTACGCAAGGATAGCATCCTCCGCAGTGGAGATACCCTTCAGAATGATCGGCACTGTGGATATGACGTCAGCGTCATGGTGCCACTCAATATGACAATGGAGTTACTTTTAGTGATGCTCAAGAACCACGGGATGTCCTTCCACGACAGACTGGGGTCGATGAACGACTGTTATGGAAGACATGTCAGCAGGCTGTACGTCGAGGGTGCAAAATAATTGGCGTACGCTGATAGCACGAGCCACACCCTGATCCTTCTTGATGTCGCTCTGGCCATCCTGGACCTTGGCAACGCCCTCATCGCCCACAAACTTCATGCGCATATCCTTTTCGCGGCGGCCAAGCTGTGGGGCGTCCACCGTGATGAAGAGCGCCTTGACGCCCCGCGCTTCCGCGTGCTGCACGTACTTGCGCGTGATCTCGCGGTCGCGGTTCACGTAGCTGCATCGCATCGAACATGAGCGTCCATCTACGCCACGCCAAGGATGGAGTGGCACCGGATCCGACTTACAGTTGCAAGAAGAGGGTCTGGTCGGGCTTGGCAGCGTCAACGATCTCGTCGAAGGAGCACGAAGCCAGGGTCGCAATCTGCGAAGAGAAGACCGGTCAGTGAGTTCCGCCCGGTGCCCGCCTCGTGGCGTGCGAAATGCCCACCATCTGAATGACACCATGATTCTGAGCCGCGCGAGTGAGGCAAAGCTCGCCATCTGGGTGGCCGAGCTTGCCAAGGGCAGTCGCAGACTGTAAGTAACAGGCATTCAGTATTACTCCGGTGAGATTCCCGGTGTCAAACGCACAATATAGACCGGAAGCGAAGACTTGTGCCCGAGGATCGTCGTCGACCAGTCGACTTGGGAGACATCCCGAAGGATTCGCGGGCGGAACCAAACGCTGTGGAGTACCCAAAACTTAGTCCCCGAGCGGTGCACCACTGGGGGATTGGCTCACCGCTGATATGCCAAGCGGTTCTCACGCAGAGTGATTTCGTCGTCAGATGCGGAAGAGTAATATGCCTATCCAGCGAAGTTGGCCGAGATGTATTGTCCAAGCGCAAGACGATTACATACCCATGCCTTCTCCGGGATGACGTGGCGGGCCACGTTCTACGTGGGTTGTGAGCACGAGACATGGTGCAAGAGAGCAAATTGCGTACCTCAAAGTCGTGCAAGTTGACGATTGTATCGATTGAGGGACGGGCCTCGATGTATTTTTGGCGTCTCTTGTCTTCCTCGGATACCTCCTTGATTACTTTGGCTACTGTGCTTGCGTCGACCGGGCCAAGACTAAACACACAGTTATCATCGTGGATCCTACAAGTCGCAACTCCACACTTACTGCTTCTCAGGAGGGAGGTTCGTAGTAATCGCATCAGGCGGGTGGATTGGCTCGTAGGCGGCACTATAGAGGCTTGACAACCGCTACATCCTACAGATTTGATCGACTTACGTTGCGTCTTTGCCAGCGTATTTCAGGATGATCGCCTGACCTCCAGGATGCTCTGTGGAAGGTGAGCGGCTATATGCAACGAACGGAATTTAACTGACCGGGCAGGAAATCTGTCACGTCATAGACCTTGCCTATAACGTCATCCAGTTAAGCCACAATGTGGTATCTGGGGAATAACCACCTGGGGCACTTACCGTGGACAATAATCCAGCAATCGTTGCGGGTGGCGTGATTGGCGACCTCTGGCCCAGTAAGTACATGGATATCAGACATGATCGGCGAGAGAAGGGGGAAGATAACCGCTAGGCCGGCGTCGGGTGGGGGGAATGGGTTGGCTGGCTGAGGGCGGCCGCCGGGTCTTTTCAATCCAAAAAGACGGAATTTGCGGGATCCGCATGCCCCATCACATAACAACGCACCCGAAAGTACGTGAAGCGGCCTGGAAATGCGGCGGGGGAGCTGCACGCCTCGCGGAGAACGGTGGAACAGCGCGTAGACAGAATCAGGACGGTGTTAGATCGGAAAGGCGCTGGCGCGACTTCAGGGCCTCCGTCGATGGATGTCCGTGGCGTCTGCGAGGAATAAGTGCACCGTCGACTAATCTGCGGTGCCTTGGATCTCCCATGTGGTATCTGAGGTACACGTATAAATTTTGAGAATGTGGATATCATCTGCGGCCGTCTCTTTGCCTTGGTTCCCGGGGGACCCGTGGATATGCACTGGCGCAGACAGGACGCTGCGCTTCCGCGCTCCCCCGATGGTGCGTTCATCTCCTCTTTAACGCCGTCGGGCAGTCTTCTGGTCTCCGAATGGTCCTTCGGCTTCGATGAATAGGACGTATTAGATCAATCCAACGCTCGGGGAGTTGCAACCCATCGATGACCCTGATGACCTATGAACGTCGTAAATGAGTCAGCGTCTGCGAAAATTTGTCGATTGTACCCACTATTACACATGTGCCTGTCGCCTTTGGCCTCGGCACCAGGGAGTGCTGTAATCATTCCGCGTTGTCTAACGAAAATGAGACCCCTGATAATTCCCCTGATAGCCGTGACTGTGCGAGTCCCATTACCTCAGTTGACACAAACCTGCTGTCGACCATGTATAGGTCAGATTGAGAACCCTACACTCGGCCCGATTTCAATTAAATGAATCGTCGCGGAATCAATACGAGAGTGGTGATAAGACCCAAGAGATCAACGCGTTATGATTGGCGCCTAAGTGTGCCACTTCAAGTTTCTTACTCTCACCCACAACGACCATGAAATGAATTGTATCCGCATCTTTGACCAACCTATTCCTTCTTGTTGTCACATAGAGTCTGCGAGGTGACCACGCCTACAAATCGATATGTCCTGCTTCGCCTTCGAATCGGAGCGCGATTGGACAACGAGCGTCATGTGTAGCACCTCCCTAACGCCGCGTTGCACAAAACGCCTTGTAGGACATCTTCTATGATTGACAAGAGTAGTTATTCGCTCCCCAGGGGGATTCGCCTGACTAAAGCTGCATAGGATTCCTCGAAGCGAAGTAGGCGTTTGCCAAGACTGCTCGGTTTGGTCATCGAGGATGTCCAACTGCACTTCCCCGCCGCCAAGGCTACACTCCTATGCTCGGCGTTCTATCCTCTCCGGCGAATGAGGATATGCGAACGACATTCTACATGATGTGAATATGAGCCAAGGAGCCTGCAAGTCCGGCCGAGTGACAGTCCATTCCAGTATGGCTCAAACACCACTCTAACTCCCTAAGTCCGCGGCTTGTTTCTCGGCGCGACGCCCCACGGGAAGGGAGACAGGCTACTCCCGTCCGCCGATACGGTGAGCATGCCTTCTAGTCCCACAGCCACGCGCTGCGCCGTTAGGCGTATCTGCGCCAGATGGGGCGCCACGATGTTCTGGGCGCAGTCTCCGTGATGTAGACGGAGAACTCAATCCAATCCATCCAATGCAATTTGCAGACTAGCATATAAGCCGTCGCAAATGGCGGACAGTCCCCATCCTCCCAGCTCTCATCCGCTTGACCAAGCGTCCACCACAACCATTCCTCCTCTATCCCGTTACATATCTTCTTTCTTCTCAAAAATGCCGGGCTTTGAATGGAACCGCGAGACTGAGACCACCCCCGCCCCCGTCGCGGCTGAGCCTACTGTCGTGCCTGCGCCGACTCTGAACGGCCACGGCGACGCCCCCAGCATTGTCGATGGCGTCTACTACAACGCCCGCCTCGACCCCAAGAACTTCCTTGAGGGCCCCATTTCCACGAACCCTGCCACCCGCCTTCGTCAAATGCTCGCCCGGCCAGGTATTGTTGTACGTGATACCCCTTCCGTGATCTAAGCTTGCTGGTAACGAAAGTACCTACAGGTTGCCCCCGGTATCTGTGACGGTATCAGCGCCCGCTGCGCTCTCGAGGCCGGCTTCGATTGTCTCTACCAGAGGTAGCTCCCATTTACCCAATCAATGTTCTAGAGCTGACTTTACTTCACAGCGGTGCCGCCACCACTGCGTCGCGCCTCGGCATGCCCGATGTTGCGATCGCCACCTTGAACGACTTCGTCCAGGTAAATTACCGTCTTTCACCCCTTTGAACTGTTATTTATGAGATATACAGAGCGCGCAGATGGTCTGCAGCATGGACCCCACAGTGCCCGTCATCGCCGACGCGGACACCGGGTAAGCGGACTCATACTTTTCTAGAATACGGCTTATTGACTGGCATACTCAGGTTCGGTGGTCCCGCCATGGTCGCTCGTACTGTAACCCAATATGCTCGCGCAGGAGTAGCAGGCATGCACATCGAGGATCAGGTGCAGACCAAGCGCTGCGGCCACTTGATGGGCAAGCAGGTCGTCTCCCGCGAGGAGTTCCTCCAGCGCATCCGAGCCGCTGTCATCGCCCGCGATTCTATCCCCGGTGGCTCCGACTTCGTGAGTATAATCTTCGATCTTGGACAATGCGCGCATGCTGACAACGTTGCTCTTTCTAGGTCATCATTGGCCGCACGGACTCTGCCCAGGTCCTCGGCATGGACGAGGCCATCACTCGTCTCAAGCTCGCCGCCGATGCCGGCGCAGATGTCTGCTTCATCGAGGGTGTGAAGACCGCTGAGTTGCTCACATCTACGATCGCGGCGCTCGCGCCCAAGCCCGTGAGTAGCGACGATACCAACGGATCGACCGCACCCTGACAATTGCGCACAGGTTCTCGTCAACGTCATCTCGGGTGGCCTGACGCCCTCCTTCACGTGCCAGGAGGCGGAGGCCCTCGGTGCGAAGATCATCAGTGAGTACCCTGGTCCGCGGTCATACTTCTCGGCCTTCTTACACGGAGATCCACAGTCTTCTCGCTCGTATCTTGCGTCGCAGCTGTCCACGGCATCCGAGAAGCGATGCGCTCGCTCAAGAAGACGGGCACGGACTTCACCTCTGCGCGCGGCATGGACCCGAAGGCGTTCTTCGAGGTCATGGGCCTGAACGAGGTGATCACGCTCGACGCGATGGCAGGCGGCAAGGCCTTCGAGCTCGTGTAGGCGTGCCTGCTTCGCCTGGCTTCTCGGGTTGCTGCTTTCGGCGTGTGTTCCGGAGGGTGGGCCTCTTGCATTACTACTAGACTTGAAGAGGACTTCATCACATACAAAATGGGTCCTGCATGCATCATATGTACTATCCCATGTCTATCATCATCATATGCCCTGTAGAGCAATTCAGCATTTTCTGTCACCAATACACGCTGTTTGTACCATGCACGCTGCCAGCCGGCCCCGTCAACTTGAAGGCCGATTGATTAGATAAGTATCGCTTGCAACCTTCGGCGCCTTCTCTTGTTTCAAGTGCTAATTAGTATTCACCATCTCTTATGCTTACAAGTCACCGCTAATACGCCCTTCCGTCCTCCGCCCCCCCTTGCGCAGGCAAACTCATGATGCGGATCGAGCAACGTCGAGCAACGGATCCTCCGTAATTGTCGGCGCTGAGCACCCTTTCGGACGTCCGCCGTGCCTCCGTCTCCGCCGGCACCCACGGTCCGCGTCATGGAGAAAAGGAGTTTCCCCGCATTCGTTCCTTGGCCGTGCTCGTTCTCCTAGCTTCGGTTCTTCGACGTGCTGTACGACCATTACGACCAGACTTCGTGTTTCAACATGTCTAGAACGTATACAGGGAAAGAGATTGCGGAGCACAGCTCCAGGGAGAGCTGCTGGATCATTGTGCATGGTGAGTGCTTGTGCTACCAGTTCAAATGTCCGAAACAGCCCGCGCCTCGGGAAATGTTTTGGGCCTGGCTTCAACATGGTTTCCTGACGTGTCACCTTACGAACAGGCAAAGTGTACGACGTGACAGAGTTTCTGCCAGGTATGCGTGCATCTGCGGTCAAATAGCTGAATGCACTAAGTCGTGGATTGTGATTGGCTGTTAGAGCATCCCGGTATGCACTTCCAGTAGTGTTAGTTGCAATGCGTTCTGAGACTCGCGCAGGCGGAAGCAAGATCATTTTGAAGTACGCCGGGAAGGATGCAACGTGAGTTGTCTCGACAAGTGATTGATATTATATGCATTGACACGGCGGTGGTAGTGCAGAATATGACCCCATTCATCCACCAAATGCGATCACGGACAACCTCCCGCCCGAGAAGCAGTGAGTAGGGCCCTGGTGGTCAATTCTTGATTCTGAAGCTCTGTATGCAGCCTCGGGTCCGTGGACTTGACTACTGTCGAGAAGGTCGAGGTCGTGATCACGGACGAGGAGAAAGCCCGTCAGCAACGAATTGCTCAACGGCCTCCGCTCACGGAGGTCCTGAACCTGCACGACTTCGAGGTGCGTCTTCACTACCTCCGCCCACAGAGTGGAGTCATCATCAGGCTTTCAGGCCATCGCGCGGCAAGTCATGCCGGAGAAGGCGTGGGCATACTACAGCTCGGCGGCCGACGATGAGATCACTATCAGGGAGAACCACGCTGCTTACCACAGGTAGGTGGCGGTAGATACGCTCTCCCGAGTGTCGTTACTCATAGGGACGTATGTCAGAGTATGGTTCCGTCCGCGGATCCTGCGAAATGTGACGCATGTCGATTGGTCGACGAAGATCCTTGGCCTCCCTTCCAAGATGCCAGTGTATATCGTAAATCAAGAGCTCCGTGTGCAGATGTGCTTGAATCTAACTCGCGAGTCCAGACTGCGACTGCTCTCGGCAAGCTGGGTCACCCCGACGGTGAATTGAACCTGACGAGGGCGGCTGCAAAGCACGGAGTCATTCAGATGGTATATTAGACATTAGACTCGAGTTCCATGAGACTGATGCTCCTGTAGATACCTACTCTGGCGTCATGTTCGTTCGACGAGCTCGTCGACGCAGCAGTCCCGGGGCAAGCACAGTTCCTTCAATTGTGAGCTGACCGTGCTCTCGCATAGCTATGATTGTATTCTAAAAGGCAGAAATATGTCAGGTATGTCAACTCGGACCGTGAAATCACGAAGAAGTTCGTGCAACATGCAGAGAAGCGCGGCATCAAGGGCCTGTTCATCACTGTCGATGCCCCGCAACTTGGACGGCGCGAGAAGGTTTGTGGTACCCTCTCCGCGAAGCTACCGTGTACTTAGCGTTCGGTGTAGGACATGCGCATGAAGTTCGAGGCAGAAGACCCTGCCGAGGTGACTGACAACAAGCAGCAAGATCGCGTAGATCGTTCGCAAGGAGCTGCACGTGCTATCAGCGTATGTCTCTGAAAGTAATTAGGTGCATCGGTCCTAATGTACGCGTTACAGTCCTTCATCGATACTGGTCTTGACTGGAAAGACATCCCATGGTTCCAGTCGATTACCACAAGTGAGTCCTCGCCATCCAATAAGTATTAGTACAAGCTAACCGAGAGATCATTAGTGCCCATTATTCTTAAGGGTGTTCAGTGCTGGGAGGTATGTCATGGCCTTGAGTACGTGCCCTTTTGCATGTCTAATGGTTGCCAAACAGGACGCGTTGCTCGCATACGACGCTGGTCTAGCAGGTGTTGTCCTCTCAAACCACGGTGGCCGGCAGCTGGAGTTCTCCCGCTCTGGGATTGAGACGCTCGTCGAAGTTGTCACAAAGCTGAAGGAGAAGCGAGGCCTGGCCTTCCCAAACGAGAAGTTCCAGCTGTTCGTGGACGGCGGTGTCCGCCGCGCGTCGGACGTGCTGAAGGCCATCGCTTTGGGCGCCACTGCTGGTGTGTTGCCTCTCCTGTCAATAGTGGGAATGTTTCTCATCCCCGTGGTCATCGACAGTTGGTGTCGGGCGACCGTTCTTGTACGCATTCTCGTCTTACGGCCAGGACGGTGTCGAACACGCTCTCCAGATTCTACATGTAAGTTTCTGAGCGACAGCATGCGATGCGAGATGCTGACGCAAGGAGCAATAGGACGAATTCGAGATGAATATGCGTTTGCTGGGTGCTCGTACGATCAGCGAGATCGTCCCCGAGATGGTCGATGCCTCGTCCATTCACCAGCACATTGTCTCCGTTCCGACTGACAATCTGTACTTCTCGAACTGTGAGTGCCGTCGCTACCCTATACTGTCTCCTGTCTCCTGACGTGCGATTGTAGACGAGAGCATGCAATCCGCACGGTTGCGGGAGATCAAGCCGAAGATGTGAGGAGAGAGGATTGCCCGTATCTAGAATTGTTATTACTTGCTTGATTACCGCCGCTGCTCATATACAGCTTTACCGGCGTGCTTGCTCTTATTGCTTACTTGGATAAGTGTTGGTATGGCTAAGGGTAAGGGTAAATGTTATGACGTCATCGTGATCGAAGGCTCGATCAAATCCCAGATTGCATCTTGAGCATGGGAGGTCACGGCTACGAATATTAGATGCACGATTGGGAACCGGTCCCATTCTTTTCTTTTGTAGACTACTATAGCCTCTTTGACAAATGTGCCCATCCGGTAAGATTAAAGCGACATGAAGGATATATTGTACGGACTGCGATATGAAACAGAAGACTGAGATTTAGATATCAATGTCAATTCATGTCCCCAAGGTCCTGGCCAACATACCGACTCAGCTCTGGAGTCATCAGGGAATGCTTGCGCTCCTATTTGGCTCAGTGGGTCTTCAGGCGATCGTCCACACAAACAATGTCGAACCATGTGCTCATCGACCTGTGAGCTGCTTTCCGCCATGCGCGTGCGCTTGAGTGGTATGCGATCCTAAATGCGTATATGTGGGATATCTTGCTCGAGACACTAGAATTGTATTGGTGCAGGCCCACGCTGTCTAGAGATACCGCATATATGCGTGTCACACGCCCTATACGCATGTGCCAGCGATATCTCCGTATGGGTCACGGCCCGTAGGCGAGCTGCCGTTATGGGTTTTGTAAAATCGTCTATTGTCTCCTGGGATTCGTTGAGATACTTTATCAAGTGTTGCGAATTCGTGATTGTGTGCGTTTGGAAGCATGTCGTGAATGACCACAAGTAAAGATCAGACTCTTGCGCAATCTTCACTAGACGAAACCATCCGATTAATAACAAAATCACTGAAAGCAAGAGCACTGACACTCGCCAGGAGAAGTCTCGCTGATATGGAATTGTCGCCCTCTAGAGTCATGCTGACTGAAGCCAATTGCGCTCTAGGGCGTTCCGCGTAGTCGCCGCAGATATCAAAGATGCCTCCAATGAAGAGCTGGCGATATAACGATAGGAACGAGCGAAAGCTCTAGTCTGAGCCTATGGACCACATCCGGTATGTCATCAATTAATAATTGCGGTGGATACCGGTCCAGGGTGAGTACTCGTGCGGAGTGTCCACGAGGTGCTCGGGGTCTGCCGGCAGCTGGGGTGATTTTTGGTTCGGAGTCCTGTCCTCGGTTGCCTCAGTCTTCCACCAGGACAGACACTCCGGATTGCTGCACGACCAGCATCCGATTCCTGCGTGCTTTCTTCGATTCCTCATCGCGACCATTCGTTCGCCTGCAGGCAGGTCATCTTTTACGACCGACCTTCACGCGAAGAAAACCAAAAAGATCATATCACATCGCCGCGCAATCGTAGCCATTCGTGCGTTTGTTTCACCTGACGACATTGCTGTGCATTTCGCTCACTAAGCACAGAATGAGCAAATCCTCCACGGCTTCTGCACCAAAGATTCAGACGCAGCTCCCTCAAAAGTCAGCTTGGCTAAGGGGCCCGCCGCAGAGCTCTTCTTCAGCACCCTCACCACGTTCCCAGTCACCAGCACCCAATCAGGGCGCCCCTCAACCGACCCACTCTAGGCGGCCGAGCACGCTAGGCCAAGGTGTCTCGTTCAAGGATGGTGTCGCAGGTGCGCGGAGCCCGACGAGCGGGATAAAATCAGGTACGTGTGGTCGTGCGGTGACAGCGTGGTGTCCCGTCGTTGATAACGTTCCCCGCCAGGGTCGTCGGTGACCTTCGGTTCGATAGACGACGTGACTGCACCGATCTCATCCTCGCCTGCAGCGGTACCGCCTATCAAGTCGGAAGGTGTCAAGACGTTCGGTTCTGTTCCAGCGACGTCGACTTCAGCTCCTGCAAATATCAAACCTTCCACCTCGTCGTCGTCGCAAACACCGTCTACGCAGTCAAAATTTGATGTCAAAAAGCTCTTCCAGGCACCCAGCGCACCAGAGCCTTCGTCTGAGCCGCCAGCGATCTCTTCGCCCTCGACGCGGTCATCACAACTGCCGCAGTCTTCACCCCAGACTTCGCACGCCCAGCCGTCGCCGATGGGACACGCATACCAGACATTTGTTCCGGGTGGTCTCCGACCATCACAGAATGGTGCTCAGCCCGGCGGCCCGCCTCGTTCACCGGTGTACCCACGCCAGATACCGAATGGACAGGTGAATGGTGCGAATGGGCGACCGAATGGTGCGCAAATGCCGCAGACGTCTGGTCCTGGGCCTATGCCCACGGCGATGCCGAGCCCACGGATGGGTCACCCGCACGGCGGTCAGCCCGCTGGACTGCCTCATGTACCCCCTCCTGTTCCGGTGCCAGGATGGCCCGGCTACTATGTACGTATATCCCATCATTGCGGCAAACTCATTAATGACGAGTCTTCTTTCAGTACCCTCCTCAGTATCCTGGCATGCCCGAGTACATGCCCTATTCACCGGGTTGGCACGTCGCTCCTCAAGCGCATCAACCACCCCAGGGACCTGGTGGGCCTCATCCTGGCATGCCCATGTCCCCTCGTAACGTCCCTCCACCCCTCCACACGCCTGGTACCCCCACGCTTGCTCCCGCTATGCCGAACACGTCGCATCCTCCACATACGACCCCCTCACCACATGCGCATACTATGAGCCTCAGCAGCGTATCATCACCTCCTCCGACGCCCTCAGCGAGTACTTCTGGCTTAGGCATGAATCGAAATGCGAGTGCATTTGTCCCGCGCAAGTCTGTCAAGATCACGACGATGAGCGGGCAGGAGGTCAAGCTGGAGAACCTGAAGCAGGGTGCCGCTGTGCCCTCGCCAGTCGTGCCTGGGTCGCCGGCGCGCAAGGTCATTCCAGTGCGGATGGAGACCCCCGAGCAGAAGGAGAAGCGTATAGCTGAGGAGCATGAGAGGGAGCGGCTGAAGAAAGAGGCAGAGGAGAAGGTCAAACAGGAAGCGGAGAAGGCGAGGAAGGCGCGCGAAGAGGAGGAGAGGAAAAAGGCCGAGGAAGAGGAGCGTGTACGCAAAGAGAAGGAGGAGGAGGAGCGTGTACGCAAGGAGGCGGAGGCGGAGGCGGAAGAGCGGAAGAAGAAGGAGGAGGAGGAGCGGTTACGCAAAGAAGAGGAGGAGAAGGAGCGGGTGCGCAAGGAAGAGGAGGACAGACAGAAGGCCAAGGAAGAAGAGGAGGAACGATTGCGTAGAGAGGAAGAAGAGCGAGCAGCAAAGGAAGCTGAAGAAGCGAAGGTGGAAGCAGCAGAGCCACCAGAGCTTGAGCCGGAGGAGGGCGAGGTTCAAGAGACGGAAGAGCCCGAGTCTGTCGAAACCGAGGAGGCCAAAGACGCGCCACAGGACAAAGCATCTACCGACAAAGCGTCTTTACGCATCGACACGGCCCTGACCAGCCCTGAAGGCGCGCGGCGACGCCCGGGCCACCTTGACCTATCCCTTGCCAAATCTCAAACTATCCCTCAACCCCTTCCCTCCGCTCTGGCCACTGCGCGCATTATTGAGGATCTGGGTAGCGTCTCGTACCCCGACGGTATTCAGAGCCCCAAGGTCGAACTCAACGTCAACGCGAAGCAGGGCAAGTTCCGGTGAGTTGGTTTTGATACTCAGTGGCCACGATGTTGGTTGATGTATTTTTCTTCTCATCTTTCACAGCTACGACCGCGATTTCCTACTCCAGTTCATGGCTATCTGCAAAGAGAAGCCAGATTCCCTCCCTCCACTAGACGCCATTGGCCTTGAACCCGCTGATCAATCCTTCCCGATGAGCCGTGGCGGCTCTGGTCGTCGTTCATCCACTGCCGCTATGCCCCCTCCTGCCTCCACCATCTCTCGCCAGGCATCCGTTGGTCTCGGCATCTCCGGCTACAACAAGGGCTCCGGCCCTTTCAACATGGGTCAATTCGCCACGCCCAACAACAGCAGGATGACGACGAGCGACGATCGATTCGCGGCTTCGCAAGGAGGTCGGTCGACGTCAATGTCTGGTGGCGGTCCACCAGCCATGGCATTCGGACGTCCAACCACTATGGTCCGTTCGTCAAGTCAAGGTGGCCCTGGTGGACCCCAACTGAACAATAAGCGTACCCGGAGCAAGCGTGGCGTTGACCGTGCCGAGCACAGCAAGGCCAATGCTGGCGGTTCATCCGCGTTTGGCTCCAATTCAATGCAACAAGGTCTGATGTCCCTCGAGCCCGTTGCACCCCTGGAGCAGTCCGCCAACCGCTGGACGCCGCAGAGCATTGCCAAGAAGCCTCAGCAAGGCGAATCAGAGTCGGATATTGTGGACCGTAAAGTCCGCTCGCTGCTCAACAAGCTTACTATGGAGCGCTTCGACTCTATCTCCGATCAGATCATCTCATGGGCGAACAAGTCCGAGAAGGAAAAGGACGGACGTACCCTCATCCAGGTCATCCGGCTCGTCTTCGAGAAGGCGACGGACGAGGCCGCGTGGTCAGAGATGTACGCGCGCCTATGCCGCAAGATGATGGAGCAGATCAGCGCCAACGTTCAGGACGAGGGTATCAAGAACAACGAGGGCAAACCTATCGCAGGCGGCCAACTCTTCCGGAAGTATCTTCTCAACCGCTGTCAAGAAGACTTCGAGCGTGGGTGGGTCGCAAAGGAGGCCACGGCGGTTGCAGCCGCGACAAAGGCAACTGAGGACCGCGCTGCCAAGGCGGCTGCTGATACAAACCCCAACGCCGACGAGAGTGCCCTCTACTCTGAAGAGTACTACGCTGCGCAGAAGGCAAAGCGTCAGGGTCTTGGTCTCATCAAGTTCATTGGCGAGCTATTTAAGCTGCAGATGCTTACGGAGCGTATCATGCATGAGTGTATCAAGAAATTGCTCGGCAACGTCGAGAACCCTGAGGAGGAGGAGATCGAGAGCTTGTGCAAGCTCTTGACTACCGTTGGCCAGTCGCTCGATACTCCCAAGGCGCGCGCCCACATGGATGTGTATTTCTCACGCATGAAGGAGTTGTGCAAGAACCCCAACGTCAATTCGCGTATGCAGTTCATGTTACAGGTATGTTCAGTTCTTTGGCTGTATTCTGCAAGAGTCTTAGTGTTTTCACAGGATATCATTGAGCTGCGGGCCCGCAACTGGGTGCCACGAAACCAGGTTGCTGCCCCGACGACGATCGCTGCTATCCACGAGCAGGTAAGTTGGCTTCTCGGCCTTGATTACATACGGAGTAAGTGACGATGATGCGTTACAGGCTGCTAAGGAGAAGGCTGTCCATGAGAAGGAGGCTTACCAGCGCACGCTCAGCATGTCCCGGGGTGGATCCAGACGCGGAGGCGAACGTGGTGATCACTCCCAGATCGGTCCCGACGGTTGGGCGGTTGCCGGCGGCAACGTGCCGCGAGCACAGCCCAAGGCCGGCGACCTCTCGAACTTCGGCAAGATACAAAAGGCTGCTCCCATGACTTTCGGACCAACGAGCGTCTTCGCGGGCAAGAAGGAGAACAAGAGCCGCGAATCTACGATGACTCGCGCTGGTTCACAGAACATGTTCTCCAAGCTCATGGAGAATCCCGAACTCGCGACGGAGGCAGCGTCATCCAAATCGAGTCGACCACCAAGTCGCAAGCCCAGCGTCGACTTTGGTGCGGCTGGTGCACCCGAAGTGCCGCTTCAGCGCAGAAAGCTCCAGCTCCTGCCGCGGACGCTTCCGAAGTCGGACGAGACCAAGGCAGACTCTACGCCAGCAACGTCAGAGGCTGGCCACTCGGAGGACGAAGGTGGGGACGCGCCGAGTGCGCTGTCAATGACCGAGGCGGAAGCCAACGTCAGGACCAAAGAAGACTCGAAGGAGTTCTTCAGCATCCGAGACCTGGACGAAGCGGAGGTCTATTTCACGAAGCTGCCTACGGAACACAGGTTCCGATTGGTCGATAAGCTTGTCACGTCTGCCATCGAGTCCAAGGAAGCCGACGCCCAACTCGTTGCCAGCTTGTTCAGCCGTGCGCTCTCGAGGAATTCATGCTCACCGCACTCGTTCGAGGAGGGATTCATGCCGACGGCGGAGATTCTCGATGATATTGCCATCGACGCGCCGAAGGCCTTCGACCTGATGGCGATTATGATGAAGGGCGCTGGTTTGGACAAGGACGAGGAGCGTCGCGCACGGCTTGCCAGCAAGTCGATGGACAGTGATAAACTACTCGCGCTTCTTTCATAGACGATCCTTTTTGGTGTGTGTTTTCGTTGCTCTGAGTTCCTCGTTCTGTCGCTGGCATCATTACTGTATCCTCACTGTTCCCATTGCATTCTTGTTATTATTTCCTCAGCATCTGTGATGTCTACCCTGCATTAGTGTGTAACATTTACATAGCACAATACTGCACGATAATCATGAGCTGTCATTCCCTTTCATGCCATATTTATGTCTTCACTCGTCTGCTTGACGATACGACAGCCAGTCTTTACCGTCAATACAAGAATCAGAGAATTCCCATATCTGCGTTCGATCTGACCGCACAAGAAGTGATTGTCCTCGTGAGTGTCAAAGTCAAATGAGATCACAGCGTTATCTCAGGCTGATGTTCCGGTTTTCCCGCTGCCGTAGTTGTGAGTGCAGTGCTTAACACCTTATCCTCAAGTGACTGAATCCTCGATGGCTTACAGTTCACAACTTTGATTCGCGAAGGGTCAAGATTTCTGCGAAATTGCGACGAACATCCCATTAAGCAAGTGCTGTCTGGATTGCCTACACTTGTAACATGAATTCTGACCACGCCTGCAAGCAGATCTCATTCAAAGTCCGCCGCCAACCAACGGAGAATCTCTACCGCCTTCCCGCATCTGTTCATGGCGCTTCCTTCAGGCGATCTGTCGGTCCAGCTAGCCCCACGGGCGTGCCTTCAGCGCGCTCCTCATGCCAGGCCTGGATCTTCCCAAAGTCTCGACATTGATGCCAAACGTTGAAGTCGGGATACGGCGCAGAGTGACCCTCAACCCAGTCGAACGTTATGAGCCCAACGTCGCCGGCACACATGATCTGCTGTCGCAGCATCTCGATGCAGTGATCTGACAGTATTCATTATAGGCAAATCGTCCGCGCTCTGATGGTACGGCAGGACTAACCAATGTGATGCCTGTACAAGTCAGGATCGTCCTCGCCACGTGGATAGTACTCGGGATAGGTGAACTTGCGCAACATGTTCTGCAAGAGTTCAGACGTCAGGTGAGGGCACCAGCGTAGGAGGCGGGTACAATACCAGGCAATGCAATTGATGTACGACCTCCAGCTCGGCTGCATATCCCTTGCCATCCACGAATTTGGCGAGCGATGGCCTTGCTGGTTTGCCTGTGTTCGAAAGTTCATCCTCCGTGATAGGAAACGCAACTGCGTTTCGGGGCGTGTTTGTGAGTCTTGCCTGCAGCGTGGCGTTCGGGTGGTACTCACCTACCGTGGAAATCCTATCCCAGGCAGCGTCGATCTCTGAAGTCGGGACCCCACGATATTCCGAAGGATATGTCAACGAGCCGTTGAAAAGGGTTGAATGATACTCGACGGCCTCGAGCGCAGGTGCTGTGGCATGTCAATATACGTTTTCCAACAGGATTTCCTGGCTACTGACATGGTGTCGACAGGCGTCTGGCACATTGTTGGTTAGAATGCTCCCGAGTCAACGTGATCAACCAGAGGGACAGAACGAGCAAGAAACCAAGGATGAACCACGGTAGAATGCTGGCTGGTGTCAGTCGACGCCTGGGGAGCCGCGCGGGCGGCTCCTTGGCCTCGGGGGATGCTGCGAGTAAGTCTTCATGGGAGCCGTCGCGCTCGAAGAACGAGGACATGGTGCACACGGACACGGTGCAGGTCGCAGCGTCGGCTCTAGCTAGGGGAAAAGGTAGTCTTGAAGCGCACGCATTCCCCAACCAGACCTGCCGAGAAGCCCGAGAAGACTTGTCACGATAGGCCCGCAATGGTGGACATCTTCAATTCACCTTTACTAATCGTTCCAAACGTAGTGGGATGCTGAGCCCACCCCAAGATAGATTCTCGAGAACGGATCGAAGCGCATGATGTTGTTCTGGATCTACAGCTTCCGTACCAATAGCGGCGTACGCTTGCCTTTCGGGACGACGTATTCGCTTGCGCGAGTGGCGGCATCTAGGACGGCGCGTAAGCCTCTGTATTCTACGAATACAAGAAGTGCTCAAACCGAAGCGTCGGAACCGGGACTTTGTAGATGCGGCAATCGTTGCTGAATAAAGTTCGCTGATTGGCTTCCATAGATCGTCGTGGGGACCCCAGTGGCGTGAGGAGCCATGGATCTGTCGCTGATGTCAGTAGCTTCGCTGCATGGAAGAACACAACATCGCAGTGTTCTGAGAGATCGGAGCGCTTCTTGGAAGTTTGATTCATCCATCACGGTTCACAGGACGTCAGCTTCCATACAGCTCGACGCATTCAACAAAGATACGTAAGCAGAGCTACTATCAGCATAACATAGTAACTAACGACTGGTCATTGATCTCATCGATAAACGAAAGGCATCTAGAGAGAGTTGAGCGACAGACTGATCCAATGGAGTCAAGCTCACGTACCTCGAGTGCACCACGATCACCACGGCGCCGCGACCTCCCATAATTTGCACTCAGCCTCAAACTCGACACGGTATTGAGGGAAGATGCGAGTGAACAAATCGACCCATTCCATGTACACCGGATTTTTGAGATAGAGCGCGTACGTGTAGTCCCAATACTCAGGCATCCAGCCCGCGCATTCCCAGTCGACGAGCCCAACAGGTTTCATGTCTTCGTCAAGGAGAATGTTGTAGGGGGAGATGTCCCCATGCGTGAAACAGATGCGATGAGGTTTCGAGTGGCTAGGAGCAACCAATTCGCCATGCGTCGCCTCGTAACCGCTCACTAGCTCCTGGTGGAACTCTTGCTGTGAGGCGAAGGGCCCGACGTAGTGGTCATGCCTGATGCGATAGCTTTTGATCCCATTACCACCAAATCCACACACCGCATCCGCATCTGGAGGTTCAAGCGCTCTGAGCTGCTCGAACCATCCGCGCAGCGTGTCTTCAAGAACCTGAAGCTGACGAGGCGAGATATCCTTGATATCCCCTGCACGTCTGCTCATCTGCTCACCAGGGACTCTGGTCATCAGCATGAAGACCTTCGAGCCACTCGCGCAAGGGACAACGTCGAGAACTCTAGGAACAGGGATTGTCGTGTGCTGGTGAACATACTGAGTGGCGAGGGCCTCTTGCAGGTCAGCCTTCTTGAGATATAGGCCGAATGGTAAAGCCACGGAGCGCGGGCGCATGATAGGGTGATCCTGACTTCGTCGGCGCAAGAAATCCCATATGGCTGCATAGATCCGTTCACGCAGACGTTGTAGAACGGGAAGTTGCATGAGGGACCGCACGTAGCTGAGCATCATAGTCAGTAGTGTACATGCAAAGCCCAGCGAGCAGTATTTGATAGCTTACTTGGACATTGCACGAGGACAGAACACAGTGTGGAGGTGATCCTCTGGAAAGGCGTGAGTCGACTGGTCTCCTCAGGCGTCCGAATGCGCCAGCCACGGCTGGAGATCACTTGACAGACTGCATCCACGCCATTGGCACGCAGCAACCCGCAGGGTGCCGCGAAGAAAGCGGGGCCCGATCAGTTCCACGAGCTGCATAATGAGGCCGCCCGCAGGCTGCAGTCGGTACCAATAGGTTAGTATTTCTGATAGAACGCGAGTAAGTACTGAATATATCGATCTCTCACTGCGAGTCACTTCGACCCCATAGGGTCATGTAGCGCATTCGGGGCGAACAGCTAGGTGCGCATGGAGAGTGCCGGAAGCAGTGGCATGAGAAGCTCAACTAGTGCCAAGGCACAAGTCAGAATGAAGTCTCGTGTAGCTTGAAGAACATAGGAAATGCACGCGCGAAAAGGTTTGATCCAGTGCAGAATGGATCCATGATTGCCTCACGCTGACATATGACGGCATTTGAGGTATTATAATCAATTATTAAATGCTCACCTGTGTGGCAGGGACCTGAACCGCCGCCTGCTCCCGCAATTATGGTACTATGGCCGGAGATGTGAGGGTGCAAAGTAGAATCAGTTGAAGCAGACGAGATATGTTGGTTAAAGCTTGTGCCAGCCCCCAGGGTCCAGTACTCTACTGTGTACCTTATAGTGCTAAATCTGTCACCGAAAGTTGGAATACCGAGATCTCCGTACTCCGGTATGTCTGAGACCATTGATCCGGAGCAAGCTGTAAGCAATCGAATTGCGACCTTGCATAGTGCTCACAAGTGTGGCGCAACCCATGGGTTTCGCACCATTTGGTGCGCAACAAATTGAAAGCCCCACGAAAGTCTCATTCTCCAAATTTCATGTCGACTAACCAGCTTCCACCAAGAGTACCGTGTACTCATTTGGTCCGCAAATCTGCAGCAACCCCGCCTCCTGGAATTAAAAGATGTGGTTTTGCCTTCTATCTGCCACACCGCTGCGGTGCCTGTTCCACGATGCTAGACCATGCTTGAGAGAAGTGAAGCCGAGAGGCATCAGGGGCCGAAAATATGGTCATGACAGGCGTAACGAGCGTCTTCCGCCTACGAAAGCTTTTGGGTGCTTCGATCCGGTTTACGAAACATCCGTTGATCTGTGCACACGATGCACTTCTGATATGATACGAGTGTTCACGACCATTAAGGTGTTGTAGTGGTCAGTTAGGCTGCGTGGCAATCACTTGACTCGTTTGCGACCATCGGTATTCTTTTGAACGTGCTGACAATAGCTTCTCTGATGTTGATGGAGTCCAGCGGCACACGCAGATAATACGGAAATGTTGTTTACCTTCCGCCGCCCATCGTTTTGTCGATATCGCCCCAGACGCATTCATCGCCATTATCGCCATTAGAGTACAACGATAAGATCAGTGTGTAACCCCTGTTGGCTTCCGTGATGTCCATATAAATGCGGGCCTTTTAGAAGCCATGTCGGCGCCATCCTTTATGAACAGCCTCGCCTGGATTTGTCAAACGCAGATCCGGCCAGAAGAAATTCAACCGGTGCAGAAAACAAACAGCCAAGCCTAGTATCCTGCTATTCGTACGCACCTTGAGGATCGGGACCTGCCGACTATGCCGTGATACCATTGCAAGGGCATGCTGCAACCCCATCCCTTGAGATTCCTTATTGAGGAACAGAAGGATGATGGCGGAGTCAAGTTGCTGTAGAAAAACCACGTGTAGCAGCTTCTCCCGCGTGCGCTGGATAGGATGACGTATCGGATTCTGGGTGATTTTTGAGGCGAACTTGAGCTGCGGAAGAATTTCGCCTGAACCTATCGCTTTGAAGTCGTTAGCTGAAGTCCACAGAAGCGAGGAATCTAGGCATCTGGGTACAACACAGTTGAGTGACAGAGCTGAAGACATTTTCCCAAAAAGGTGCGAGTAGTCACGCCGCTTTCGCCATCCTTGAGCGAGTGCATGCTATCACCTAGGAGACGGTTAGCTTGTTCCCGGAGGAAAGCATAAAGAGCGAATTGCATTCGTACATATACGATGAGATTCCCATCCGGATGAAGTGAGAGGACAGGAGCGCGCGCAAACAAGCACCCAGGACATTCGATAAGCAGAACTTGAAATGACGCAGTGAAAGTATGTGAGAGTAACACAAAAGATAGGCGTGCGCGGACAGAGCTGATATTGACAGACGCTTTCATACTCAAGTGCAGATACATGATCGTACCGAGCCCTAGACAGAATACAAATATACTATATGCATAGAGACAGAAGGCCACATACCGCAAGGTTGCTTGAAGGACTGACTCCGCTTGTGCCTGTCGCTAGGGATGACGAGTGCAGGCCTGATACTCAGACTGCTGGGCATCCTATGGCTATGGCATGGATGGGTGACCTTGCCGCGACGCGTGAGCGTGTTTGTGTCGTCGTCTGCTTCATGAGCGTCACCGTAATGATACAAGCATACGGGCGGCCTCGTTCCAACATCGCACGCATCATCGTCCATCTACCGATCGTGATCGCTCCATCTTCATACCGCACGCCAGCCCTCAATCCGCCAGACAGATCGTTGAAAACCAAGGAATCTGACGTCAACAATCATAGGAGCCACACTTACCAGCATTGTCGAGGGACAAGGCGCACCATACAGTAAAGTGCGCGCGCCGATCATATACGGCAAGTTCCTATACTGTATGGATAAGAGCTTCTTAGATATAGGACGAATACCAGCAGCAGTGAAACACACACCGAGGATACCGTGAAGCAGTACCAATAGGAGAAGCATCGACATGTCCTGAATACACCGTCAACGCCGATCCATGCTTAGACATTCAATAACACATACCGCCAAGGCGCAGCAATCACCACATGCTCACGGCCAGCCATATAGCCATGTTCCACTTCGAGCTCAACACCGTCAGTAGTCCGGGAAGATGTCAGTAAACAATTCCCACCTTCCTTATATGTAGCATCTCCGAAGTCCGGTTTAGCTCGGTTCAGGGCCATTATTACAACAGCAGACAATACACAACACCGCGGAATATCTAGCTCGATGCATTACATATATTCCCCTTCGTCCATATCGTCCCAGGGCCAGTGCGCCATGATCTCCGCACGTTCCTCCTCCGACGTGGCCTCCGTCAACGCCTCTTCCTTCGCCTGCTTGCAGAGTGCCACGGCCTCCTCGTAATGCTGGGTGGGCACCCAGCCATCCGGCCCGAGGCCGAATATGTTCTGCCACACCTCGAAAGCCCTGTCTGTTTTTTCCTGTAGTTCATTCAGCTTCCTCGTCTCGCGTACGTCGTCGGCGTCGAATGTGACCGGACACGGCGCGCCTTCCCCCGTAAGCGTCTCCCACCTCTCCGTTGCTCGTATGAGCGCGACCTTCAGATCAAGGGTGTCGCCCTCCCACGGGCTGCCGGCGTGGTCGAAGAGGCGGCTGCGGAGCGCACACATGGAGTCCATCAAGACATCGTAATGGGGCTTGTTGTACTCCTCCGTGTTCTTGATGTAATGGTAATGGTCGAGGCGACAACGGTAGACTCCCTCCGCTTCGGTTCGCTCGGTTTCGTCCAACTCGTCGAAGTTCTCCGGTAGCGAAGGCGGCGTTATCGATTGCGAGACAGGATCATCATAGTTCTGGAGGCGCTCGGGTACGCCGGCAAGGAGAAACAGGGGCAGGATGGAAGCATGTTGCCAGTCGAGCAGGCCGACGACTTGCCAGCCAGAGTCGGACGACCTCCGAACGACGATATTGCTCTGCTGAAGGTCTGGATGGCGGATGCAGAAACGACCGAGAACGGGGTCCTTAAGGACGAGTGATGATGCGATGAGAAGATAGCGCTTCAAGTTCTCGACGTGGGCCGACGGCGACTGCTCCTGATACTGGTAACCATCCCTCCTCTCGCGGCGGAACGGCAGGAGCGGTCGACCGAACTGCTCGAGATAAGCCAATTCCTTGCGGGCTCCTGCTACGAGCGCTGCTTCGACGCTTTCGTCTGTAGTAATCGGCTGGTTCAAGGGCGTAATAAAAAAAGGCAGAAAGCGGCGTACACGGTCCCCGGTCTACGTTGAGCTATGATCTCCTGCCACGCCACATAGGCAGTCTCGTATCTGGACCAACGCAAAACCGCTCGTCCTTGAGCGGAATGGCCGCCCTCCCGGCCAACTTCTCCAGGTCGTGGGTGTAGTAGAGGCTTCCACCAGCGGGGAAAGAAATTGACATCAGTTGAGACTCGAGCTGAACAAGTTGGCGCAAGATTGAAACGATATCCGATTCCCCCAGCTCCAGCCATACATCACTGAGTTTCGTACCTCTCACAAATTCCATGAAAATATATTCAGTCTTCGCCGTGTTGTCCGACACAGGCGAGTAACCGTACACTTGTGGAACAGGCAGCCCAGAGGAACGGAGGAACTCCATTGTGGCCACTTCACTGGCCACAGCGTAGTACTTGGGGAGCGTGGTCGGGTACGGGATACGAGCGACCATCTGGAAGTCGTCGCACAAGGTGATGAGGAAGGTACGGTTGAACCCACCCTCGGCCAGCTTTGATAAGTGGACGACATCAGCAGGACTTCGACCAACGGACTGCGCTGGAAGTCGATATAGCTCCTCGACGTCGAAAATGAGTCTCCGCTGTGCGTGGCGAAGAGCATCGTTAAATCTGAACGAGTAAGATCACGGGTCAGAAACATACGCTATAGAACAATATGTATTGGATTTACACCCAGCGCCCTGACGTGTAGTTGAAAAGGTCGTCATGAGGATTTGCCATGGTGGAGAATGCGCGACGTGGCACCAAACGTGTCGTGGTGGAGATGGAGCTCGTAAAGGAAGAGTGTAACGAGGGCAGTGAGACCGGAGCTTTCAGCGAGTTGGAAGACGAGCCTCGCGCTCGCAAGGCAGGGCATGCCAATGTAAGTGGGGGTGAGGGGAGAAGGTAAACGCTGTGTTCGGCAAACCTTACCCCCAGCCTACGCTTGCGGAGGCGTAAGTAGTACGCTTCTACTTCGCGCTTCGGGGAAAGCCAGGCCCAAATAGCCTTCCGACAGTCTCACGCTTAGTCATGATCGTCGCCACGGCGCTGTCACTCATCGGCGTCTTGGCTTCATTTCGAATGTACAGTCAAGAAATATGTTCACTATAACAAACAAAGGGTCATGTTTTGAAGTATATACAATTACTGAATGGCTTCGGCTTGATGCAGTACGATCATCTATATAACTCACAACATGAAATCAGTGCAAAAGATCGATGTCTCTCAACACTGCAGCAGATGAATCAAAAGATGTTCAAAGAACTGAACAGCTGCCTGCTCCCGCGATCATGGTGCCGTAAATGCGAGGGTGAAAAGTGGAATCAATTGAAGCAGATGAATTTAGTCTGGGAACAGCTTGCTGCAGTATTTCAATTGTCTGTGAGCTGGATCTCACCGAGAGTCGGACTTCCGGAGACCTCCGTCAGGAACCATTGATCCGTAGCAAACGATCAAATCGCGATCCTGCGTAGCGCTCGCCATTGTGGCGTAACCTAATAATTACGCGCCATTTAGTGTGCAATGAACTGGAGGCCGAACATCACAGTCCACTAAACTCTCGCATTCTGAGTCTCATGTAGACTACTAGCCTTATCTCACAGCATCGCCGACTTATTTGGTCCGAATATTTACAGCAACTCCGCCTCATGAAATTCGAAGATGTGGTTCTCGCTTGTGTCTGCGCTGCTGCGGTGTCTATTCCATAATACTAGACGGAAGTTGATAGAAGTGTCTCCGAGAGGCACAAGGTACTTGAAATATGGTTTTGACAGGCATGTCGAGTGTGTTCTGCCAACGGATGTCTGCTAAATGCTTCGGGACCTACAATGATCCGATCCACGAAAGATTTGTTGGTCTGTGCAAAGTTGAAAACAAATCTTATATTTTGTGTGCTTCTGATATGACACGGTGTTCCAGACATCTGAAGTGCATCAGTACTCAATCAAGTAGCGTGGTAATCACTTGACTCATCTGCGACCATCGGGGCCCTTTTGAGCGTGCTCACGGCAGCCTCTTTGATGATCCTCGAGCTTGGCGGCACACGCATACAATATCGGACAATCTGATAAGTACCCCCCGCCGCCGATCCATTACACCACAACGCAGCTGCTATTCTTCTAGCCGCATGTGTTACCACTCGAATGCGAGATACAGTCAGAAGATCCAGAGCGATAGAATCAGTGTGTAATCCCTGTTGGCTTCCGCGATTTCCATGCCGCTGCGGGATCTTTAGAAGCCACGTCGGCGCTGTCCTGTATGGACAGCCTCGCTTGTATTGGCAAGCGCACATCCGGCCAGAAGAAAACCAGCCGGTGCAGAAGACACACAGCCAAGCCTAGTATCCTGTTATGAGCACATACCCTGAGGATTGGATCGGCAGACTATGCCGTGGATGCCTTCGCCTGGGCACGCTGCAGCCCCTCCCTTGAGACTCCTTTTTGAGGAATAGAAGGATGATGGCGGAGTCGAGTTGCTGTAGCAAAATACACGTGTAGCAGCTTCTTCCAAGTGTTTCATCATGTCCTACTGGTGGATAGATGACGACGTGTGCTCGTCGCCCATCGGACCTCGGGTGAACCTGAAGGCGAACCCGAGATTAATTTCGGCGAACTCGAATATCTGGCGTGCGTGGCCGAGATCCGGGCGTCTTTGGCTTTAGTTGCAAAAGGTGCTGCGTACATTCAGCGAAGTCGCTAGCTGAATATCAGGGAGAGGCGACAAATCTGAACACAGCTGCGCAGCTAGATAGCCGAGCGCAAGATGATCTGACAGATAGGAGCGTGAATAGTTACGCCACTTGTGTCGTCTGAAGACGAGCATATGTGATCGCCCAGGAGGCGATTGACTTGGTCACGACGCAGCGCATACGTTGCGAGTTGCGTTGAAACGTATATTATAAGGTCTCTCCGCGGCTGTAGTGAGAGACCAAGTACGAGCGCAAACAAGCATCTAGGACACCCAATAAGCAGAAATCGAAATGGTATAGTGGAAGCATGATAGCAATCGCAAAAGTTGGGCATGCACAGACGGCGGATGAGGGTTAACGTTGACCGAAATCTTTCAGCTCCTGAATAGACAACGATGCACACACCGCAAGATTGCTCTAAAGTCCTATACTTCCATCCAGCAGATGCGACATCGCTTGCGGCTGATGCTGGTGAAGGTGACGCAGGCTCCATGCTCACGATGCTGGGTATCCTATGGTGTAGATTGGGCGGCCTAGCCGAGACGCGTGAGCACAACATGCGTGGTATATCATAAAGCATTTGAGACAGGAGATGAATCGTCATGACAATTCATTCAGGACGGGGGAAGCTCTGGACAAGACCAATCCATAATTGAATGAATAAGAACACTTACCACTAGGGTGCATCAACCACGCCATGGATCCGTGACCATCCATATCTCATGCTCCACTTCAAGCTCAACGCGATAGTCAGGGAAGATGCCAGTAAACAAATCACACCACTCTTTATACCGGGGATACCTCATAAAGAGAGCCGTCGTGTACTCCCAGTAGTCGGGCATCCACCCTGCACACTCCCAATCGATGAGAGCGACCGGTCGCATGTCTTCATCGAGCAGTATGTTCGTGGGCGTGATGTCGCCGTGTGTGAAGCAAATCTTATGCGACTTCGAGTGACTCGGGGCGGCGATCTCGGTGTGAGTCGCCTCGTTATACTTCAGCAGCCTCTTGTTAAATTCCTTCTCTGAGGCGAAAGGCCCCACGTAGTCATCACTGCTGATGCGGAAGCTTCTAACGCCATTACCGCCGAAGCCGCACACCGCGTGCGGGTCCGGAGGCTCGAGAGCTCTGAGCTGGTCGAACCAGCCGCGTAGCGTGTCCTGGAGAACTTGGAGCTGACGGGGCGAGAGGCCACTGATGTGGCCTGCGCGCTTCTCTAGCTCCTCGCCAGGTACCTTCGTCATCAGTACGAGGGACCGGTCGTAGTAAGGGACAATGTCGAGGATTCTAGGGACAGGGATCGTCGTGTGCAGGCGTACATATTCGGTGGCCAGGGCTTCTTGTGCTTCAGTGTTCTTCAGATAGAGGCCGAATGGCAGAGGCATGACGCGCGAAAAGGGATGGCCGTGACCTCGCCAGCGCAAGTAGTCCCATATGAATGAATATATCCTACAACGCAGGCGTTGTAGAAGTGGAAGTTGCAGTAGGGACCACACGTAGCTGGGATATGTAGAATGAATTATCAGTAATAGATCAAAAGACCGAGGTCGTTGAGACCAACTTCATCGCTCGATATGTGGAACTTAAGCTTGAACTTCAAGGCGGTCTCGGGCGGGCAAGCAAGAGGGCGATGATCCTCGATATTCCGCAGTTAGTATCATTAGCCGCAGCGAGAGACGACAACGTGACCGTGGTGGAGATCATCCACTCATGTCGTTGGTATTTGGAAGTAAAGACTACTGTGAGATGGGCTTCCAAGCACACGGCGATTGCCGGAAGCGCCCGGAGGCGCGGTTGGACTTGTCAGTCCATTGCCTGGCCTATGGCCAGGCATTGCTTCGTACGTTTATTTTGACTGCGATTCACCCTTGTCTCAAATACACATGATCGCTAAAAGGGTTTGGAACAATAATGTATTTCGGGCCGGGCTGAAGATGTTCGCCATTAGATCAGGATCCTTGCATAAGGGCGGCGTGTCGCTAGCTGAGAAGCAGGCTAGCGTCATGAGCTGCAATAACATGAGAACCGAAACTGCAAGTGTGATTGGTCGCGCAGACACCTGCGGTGGAGTCAAGAAGGACCACTACACGCATCGGACCACGCTTTGCGGTCTGTCGGCATGATAGCCTTTGGGGCGGCGAGTTTCTGCTGACTGGTGGTTCACAGCTACAACAGTGTAGTCGGACCTGAATCTCCCCCGATGAGCAGGATATCCCACGATGCCAAAGATCTCGGCCGCCAGTCATATGTGTGGCGCTGTCTATAAGTCCGGTCATTTGGCGACAAGGCTGCTGTTGCGAAGACCTTCTGGTGAAAAATTGTGCTTCGTTTCACCGCTCATTTCAATGCAATAGATGCTGTAATGTCAGAGCTTATGGCCGCCCTAGATTGATAAAACACTACTCATCAGGAGTATGACTCGTGTATATATGGAAGATATGCACGCACGCGTGCTGGAAGTTCTGTGACGAACAGGACCAACGGTATGATCTAAAGTTATCATTGCCCATACCGGAGTCATAGCCAATCTCCTCGCATCTGCTATGCGCAACTATCGACAATCACTAAGGTGCGCACGAACTCAGCGTTCAGCACTTCGGCGGCTTAACTTACGACTTTGCTTTGTATAGCTTCCATGGCCGAACCAGTTCTTGACGACTACGCCATAGTGGCCGCTTCATCGATCGTCCTGAAGGCATGACCTTCCTCTAAATGATAGCGCTACCTGGCGCCGGTATTGGCGGTGAGCAGAGTCGGTGAGGAGAAGGCTCTGCGCCTGCATACCGTCTATAATAACAGAGACGGCAGGCGTTTCGAGGTCACCGCTCAGAATCTCGTGTATTCTCGTACTTTAAACACGGTTGTAAAGACTGGTCAGTACTCTTTATCCACGCACTGCCAGGATCTCTGATAGACTCGAGATGATGCTCAGGTTCTCGTCGGACGCCTTCCTGGACCTTTACCACTGAAGAGGTCCGCGACCTCCAGGAGATTCGCATGGAAACCCCTGGGTCAGAGCTAGCCATAGAGATTCAGTTTAACTGTCGCGTATGGTTGAGACAGGCCATACGCGTTCTCATGCAGCAGCGCATGGTCTGCTGCGAGCGCATCAAATATTTAGAGGATGAGCTCGAAAGAGTTGCGACCGTAACACACAGAACGTCATCGACAACGTTGCTAGATGCATGCACCACATTTATAAAGCTACTTCCTGGTGCAACAAGCAATTTCCTCCCCGGTAATTCTCCTTTCACAATCCCAGCTTCATCTTCATTGTCCCGGCGTACTATGTACAAATAGTTGAAACAATCTGCTCCTCCTGAGTGCCTATTCTGTCTGGCGATGTCGGACTACAGATATTGCGGCACAGTACTCCTGACGTTTTACGATGTCCACTCAAAAAATAACTTGAACTGTGACAACACCCACGATTTCTGCGCATCCAAAATCTTTAGCGACGACAGCACTGATGAGGGATCCTAAGAAGCCACCGAACGATTCTTGAGCTAATCTTAAGTTTGTGTCAGATGCCGATTCGCGTGCGGGCGGTTACGTATCCGGTGGCTCCAGTGTTGTGTGAGTCGTCAAATGATCGTGCGTCAGAACGAGGACTGTAGATACGGAAATCGTTGCCGAATGAAGCTCGCAGATTGACTTCCATACATCGTCGCGGGGATCCAAGAACATAACGTCCTAGTGTTCTGAGAAATCGGAGCGCGCCTTGAAAGTTCGATTCATCCATCACCATTCATGGTTTCCATGTAGCTCGAGGTATTCAACACAGATAGCAAAGCAGAACTACTAACAGCATGATGTCATAACTAACGACTGGCCGTTGATCTCGTCGATAAACGCAAGACACCTAGAGAGAGTTGAGCAACAGACTGATCCGATGGGGTCAAGATCACGTACCTCGAGTGCACCACGATCACCAAGGAGCCGCTACCTCCCATAATTTGCACTCAGCCTCAAACTCGACACGGTATTGAGGGAAGATGCGAGTGAACAAATCGACCCATTCCATGTACACCGGGTATCTCATATAGAGCGCGTACGTGTAATCCCAATATTCAGGCATCCACCCGGCGCATTCCCAGTCGACGAGCCCAACAGGTTTCATGTCTTCGTCAAGGAGAATGTTGTGCGGGGAGATGTCGCCATGAGTGAAACAGATGCGATGAGGCTTCGAGTGGCTAGGAGCGACCAGTTTGCCATATGTCGCCTCGTAGCCCTTCACTAGCATCTCGTGAAACTCCTGCTGCGAAGCGAAGGGCCCGACGTAGCGGTCGTGCCTGATGCGGTAGCTTTTGATCCCATTACCGCCAAATCCACACACCGCGTCCGCATCTGGAGGCTCAAGCGCTCTGAGCTGCTCGAACCAGTCGCGAAGGGTGTCCTCAAGAACCTGGAGTTGATCAGGCGATAGACTGTCAATACTGCCCGCGCGCATGCCCAGTTCCACGCCAGGTATTTTGGTCATAAGCATGTAGACCTTGTTACCCTTACGATGGACGACATCGAGGACTCTTGGAACGGGGATCGTCGTGTGCTGGTGAACGTACTGTGTGGCGAGGGCCTCTTGCAAGTCAGTCATCTTGAGATACAGGCCAAAAGGCAACTGCAAGACGCGCGAAAAAACGGGGTCCACATGGCCTCGTCGGCGCATGAATTCCCATACCGCTGAATAGAGTCGTTCACGCAGGCGATGTAGAACGGGAATTCGCATGAGGAACCGCAAGTAGCTTAGAATTAGAGTCAGTAGTGTATATGCAAAGCCCAGCCGGTAGCTTACTTGGACATTGCTCGAGGACAGGGCAAAGTAGAGGTAATCCGCTGGAAAGGCGTGAGTCGACTGGTCTCCTCAGGCGTTCGAACACGCTAGCCACGGCGGCTGGAGATCACTTGAGAGACTGCGTCCACGCCATTGGCACGCAGCAACCCGCAGGGTGCCGCGGAGATCCAATCAGTGCGAGCCGCGCAGTAAGGCCGCCGCCAGACTCCTACCCGCATGCTGCCGGTACCAATAAGCTCTTGTTTCCGATAGAACACAAGTACGTGTTGTATCTCACTGGGAGTCATTTCGACTCCATAGGGTCATGATATCGGGAACCCCAGGGTAATTCTGTATAACATCGCGGGTTGTGCACCCGATGTCATGGACAGAAGCCCTTCCGGGACCGATCTCAGGTTGGATAGTCATATTGAGATCCCATGCTATTGCGGCGCATTCGAGGTGAGTCCTAGGTGCGCACACGGGGTGCCAGAGGCGGCGTGACCTGAGGCGCAACTGATGGCAAGACACGAGTTCATCATAATGTCTCATGACAACATGCTAGCTGAAAGGACTTCATAGGGCCTGTATATAAAAACAAAAAGAGTGCTCCGTCGCGGAATGTATTCCTGATGCGTCACGCTGACGTTGATGGTAGACTACGACTAAAGCTATGCTCAGTGCTAATGTGTTTAGCAGCAACTTGGGACTCCGCTGGTTTGAACGTATAACTGCCCGCAAAGAGGTATGTATGATACCGGATGCGAAGATCTTTGCCAAAAGTATACTTTGAGAAATCTCGTCTGACTTCACGGCTCGTTAATCCGATAGACGCTTTGGAGTCAGCCAGAACTTCTGGCCGCGCCGCCAGCGCACGAGAAAACATTCCACATCGGGGACATGCGGCCAGTGGCCGCACAGATACGTATCTGCGAGTACTTGCCTAAGCGGAGAGCTTATGACAAACAAGGCCAACGAAGACATTCAGTATAAAAAGCCTGTAAGTCTGCAGAGAGCCGCAGCCCACCTTGTCGCGGTATTTTCTAATCCCGATACTTCTCGTCCCGAAGGTGCGCATAAGCTCTATTGCTACTCTTCGCAGGCCTTGTGAATGACGACCCCGTCCGTCGCAGCATTCATGGCCAACATACTCAACGATAACGACATTGTCGCCGCGCTCTTCGCCCGGTTTACCGGTGGATACCATTACATGATCGCCCTGTATGGTGTCGGAGAGGGCAACACGGCCATCAAACTCCATGTCAATAATCTTACCGGAGACTTCGCATTTGATACTGGAAGCTACAACCTCTTGGGGTCTCTTACGCTGTGTACGCTTATAAAGATAGGTCAGTCGGCATAATTTAAATTTGAAGGACTTCCTGACTGAATGGATGCTACGTCTAGGGACTCGGGGACAGGTTTCTCCTGCGGAAATCCGCGCGATAGTAGAGGCGATTCCTCTGGAAGTCCCTCCCGCAGACCAAGCAACGGAGAAGACGTTCGATTGTCGCGTTTGGTTCAGAGAAGCGGTACGGCGTCTGGACGCTAACGGCATACTTACGTGTCCGGACATCGATGCCTTAGAGATTGAGCTCGAGAGGCTTGCTGATCCTAACGCCCGAAGCATCCTCCAGGGCATAGGAAGATTCACCTACTTTGTAGCCACAACCTGTACATGACCTTCGGTCCTTTCTCCCTGCCTTTCCTCCTTGTTCCCGTTCACAACTCCACAGATGCGGTGTACTTGTATACGTAGTTGAATCAATGTGTAACCATCTGTGCATTTCATCAGCGCCTTACAGACTGGAGTACCATCCGCCGACTTTGATCGCTCGGTTCAAGGCCCACTCTCATGACTGATTTGGTGCCGACTGTGAGCGTAGGGATCACATTCTCAGCGTGAAGTAAGACCATGGATCCAATGAATACTATGTCATAATGCCTTCAATAATACCAATGAACGTCGTTCATAACTGATAACAGCAGTTCGTTTGCGAACAACCATGTATACCTGTCCAAAGTGCTTCCCACACAAAAATCAGTCAGAAGAAGATCCACACGAAAAGAAGAGGAAGACATACAACGCCAAGCCTAGTATCTTGCTTCGTGCCCGGCATATAGACCCCATGTCATGAGAGGTTGTCAATAACCCTGGATAAGCTTGACATTCACGCCGGATATAGATTAATGTGTAAACAGTCGCGCATACCTAGCCCAAATTTGTTTAGTGCGGAGCTGGTCAGAAGATCTACGCCAGACCGATGAAGACAAACACATAGCCAAACCGGTGACTTGCTACGTACCCTGATGACGGGCCACGCGGCGAGTTTACGTGTGAACATGAGGCATGTAGCCCTCGTTCCGCGAGGGCCGAGAATCCATGAAAGGGATGGGAGAACGGTCGGCGGTGATGGAGGGTGAAATTCCGACAGAAACTTGTGACAAGTTTCCGTTTTCGCTCCTGACGGAGGTCGGACCCATTCGTTGGACTGTACCCGTAGTTCACGAGTTCGATGAATCTCGAGAAGACATCGCGACATCGCGCCGACAGATGGCAGACAATTCGGATTTTGGGACGATTACGATGCCTATGCGTCAGGCTACTCTGTTGTTCTCGTATCACTATCGATGTTGTTTCTGTGCCACGTAACGGTCTCTATCCAATGACGACTGCTGCCCGCTCGCGCTCGAATATGTTCAAGAATTCAGCGTCAATTACTCTGAAGATCCCTGTCTTATTTACCTAGCTGACAGGTACCGCTTGTTTTTCCTGAGTACAAACGAGCGCTAGGAACTCTCATCATCAGGATGAAGATACGCCATGTGAGCTATCATATCACTGCAGCCGTATATGTCATTTTGGGCGGTCGTAGCAACTGCAGCAACAAGCACACATATCTGTAAGGATAGCTCCGAATCAAAACGGGCATGAATCGCAATAGTCTGAGAGACATGTCATCGAAGACTGACTTTATCATTGGTATGACTCTAGAAGTGATGCAAGTTCAAACGTTCATGGAAAGATATTTTCAATCGCCTTGTACTACATGCCGGGAATGCGAGGATGGAAAGGTGGAATCAATTGAAGCAGATGAATCCAATCTGGGCTTGCGCCAGGGTCCAGTCGTCGCCTCATGTATCTTGTGTGCTGGATCTCACCGAGAGTCGGACTTCCGGAGACCTCCGTCCGGAGCCATTGATCCGAAGCAAGCGATCAAATCGCGATCCTGCGTAGCGCTCGCAATTGTGGCGTAAATCATGGATTACGCACCATTTGGTGTGCGATTAACTGGGCGCCGAACATCACAGCCCACCAAACTCTCACATTCTGGCTCTCATGTCGACTACCAGCTCTCCCTCACAGCATCATCGATTTATTTGGTCGTAATACCTGCAGCGACTCCGCTCCATGAACAACAAAGAGTGTGGTTCCGAGTCGCTTGTGTCTGCGCTGCTGCGGTGTCTATTCCACGGTGCTAGACTGCGGTTGGCAGAAGTGTCGCTGCGAGACACGAGGCACCATAGATATGGCTACGAAAGGCGCGTCGAGTGTCTTCTGCCAACGGACATCTGCTATTAGTAAATGCTTTGGGGCATACAGTGATCCAATCCACGAGGCGTCCGTCCATCGGTGCGGAGCTGCCAGGCACACGATCCTATATTTCGTGCACTTCGAATATGACACGGGTGCTCTGAGCGCCTGAAGTACCTCAGTACTCAGGGAGGCTGCGTGGTAATTATGTGATTCATTTGTGACCATCGAGCACGGCGGCACACGCAAACCATATCGGACAATCTTGCAAATACCCTCCGCCGCCGATCCATTACGCCGCGACGCAGCTGCTAGTGTTCTAGCCGCATTTGTTACCGCTCGGATGAGAGATACAGCCAAAAGATCGAGAGCGATAGAACCAGTGTGTGGTTCCTGTCAGATTCCACGATGCCCATGCCGCTGCGGGCCCTTTGGAAGCCACGTCGGCGCTGTCCTGTATGGACAGCCTCGCCTGTATTGGCAAACGCAGATCCGGCCAGAAGAAAACCAGCCGGTGCAGAAGACACACAGCCAAGCCTAGTATCCTGTTATGAGCGCATACTCTGAGGATTGGATCGGCAGACTATGCCGTGGATGCCTTCGCCTGGGCACGCTGCAGCCCCTCCCTTGAGATTCCTTTTTGAGGAATAGAAGGATGATGGCGGAGTCAAGTTGCTGTAGAACAAAACACGTGTAGCGGCTTCTCCCGCGTGCATTGTCATGTCCTGCTGGTGGATAGGATGATGATGTCTGCTCGTCGCCCATCGGACCTCGGGTGAATCTGAAGGCGAACCCGAGATTAATTTCGGCGAGCTCGAATCCCTTGCGTGCGTGGCCGAGGCTCGGGCGTCTTTGGCTTCAGCTGCATAAGGTGCTGCGTACATTCAGCGAAGTCGCTAGCTGAAGTTCAGGGGGAAGACAAATCTGGAACAGCTGCGTAGTTGGATGGCCGAACGCAAGATATTCTGGCAGATAGGAGCGAATAGTTACGCCGCTTGCGCCGCCTTGAAATGAACATGTGTGATCGCACAGCAGATGCCGGACAGTTGCTTGTTCGTGAAGCAAAGCATGAAGCGCGAATTGAAGTCATACGCATATGATGAGACGTCTATATGAATGAGATGAGGGCACAGATACGTGCGAAATCAGAAAATCGAAAAAGCAGACCTTGAAGTGACATAAGGTGCATAGATGCTGTACGAGGGTTAACCAGAAGCAGGCTCACCGAGAGCCGAAAATACAATTGACAGGTGGGACGCACCGCGAATCGCATGCATTATCGCCCATATTACGACTACTATGTCTTCGTCTTCGTGTCGTAGAGCTTACCATGTGGTCTGTGGCCGGCGTGAACCATGCAGTTGAGTGCACAAGCGAACAATTATACACCAAGTCCATATACAGGGTGGAAGAAAGTTTCCTATACATATGAAGGACGCCAGCAGTAGCAATGCACGAACACAACGCGCGCGATACTATTAAGCAGTTCGAATAAGAGATGAATCGACATGTCCAGGGCTTCCCAAGTTCTGAATGAACTATCAACACCGATCCGGACTTGAATGTGTGAGAACACGCACGGTCAGGATGCATCAATCACCACAGGTTGGCGACCTTAGCTATCTCATATTCCACTTCAAGCTCAACGCGGTAGTCCGGAAAGACGCCAGTGAACACGTCGCACCACTCCGTGTAATTGGAGTGCACGAAGTACAGAGAGGCGGTGTATTCCCAGTATTCCTGCATGTAACCTGCATACTCCCGATCGACAAGAGCGACGGGTGGCATGTCTTCATCGATCAGTATGTTCGTAGGGTTGATATCGCCTTGTGTGAAGTATATGCGATGTGACTTCGAGTGACTTGCAGCAGCTAGCTCCGTATGCGTCGCCTCGCTATACTGCAGCAGCCTCTTGTTAAATTCCTTCTCTGAGGCGAAGGGCCCCGCGTAGCCATCATTGCTGATGCGGAAGCTTCTGACGCCATTACTGTCGAAGCTACACACCGCGTGCAGGTCCGGAGGTTCGAGATCTCTGAGCTGGTCGAACCAGTCGCGAAGCGTGTCCTGGAGAACTTGGAACTGGCGGGGCGAGAAGTTACTAATGTGGCCTGCGCGCTTCCCCAGCTGCTCACCAGGTACCTTCGTCATCAGTACGTAGAACCGGTTGTGGAAAGGGACACATATCCGGTGGCTAGGGCTTCTTGTCGAGTGGTTCTCTTCAAATATATGCCGAATGGCAAGGGCATGACGCGCATCATAGGGTGCCCATGGCCTCGTCGGAGCAAGAAGCCCTATACGATTGCATACATCTTTGAACGCAGATGTTGCAAAAGAGGAAGTTGCATTAGGGACCACACGCAGCTGAAGTTGAGGAAACGAGTCAATAACAGATATTCAACGCTGAATCCGTCAAGACCTACTTCAGTATTCAAGATATCGAACTTAGGTACGAACTTCACCTCGAAAACGATATCGGACAGGCAAACAAGATGTAAGTAAATCTGTCGTGCGATGAGAACGGGTCAGCGGCAGAAAGCGGTCACTTGATGACTGCAGCGCAGATCATCCACAAGTCGTTGGTATTTGGTATAAAGGTTCCTACGAGAAAGGCAAATGTCGGCAGTGCGTCGGCTTGAAGCACGCCATGAATGCCGAGAGTGCCCACAAGCGTACTATGGTTTACCAGTGGATGTCCCCGCCCCCCTCTGTCTATCATGTTCTAATGCAAGAGATTTGTCCTGACTCTCGAATCACCTGGATCCAAAAGACGCATTTGGTGTCAGAACCTCAGAATATACATGCGTGAAGGGGCATCAAGTGCTAGAAACAAGGCTGCGCAAGGAGGAGGAACTAGATTCCAGAAGTAAGGCTGCGATAGACGTGCATCAGCATCTTCTGCTTGCGGAATAATTTGAGCGATGGTCCGACAGGTCGAGTACAACGATGTTATCCACGGATAATCTCCGTTGGCTGCCGTAACGTCTACATAGAGCGGACTCTCTAGAAGCCACGATCTCATGCGCTCAATTTGAATCTGCGCCGGATGACATATCCTGTATGGATAGCCTCACCCAGAATTCGCCGGCGTCAAAAAGAAGATCGGCGGATGCAGAAGACAAACAGCCAAGTCTTGTATCCTGTTATTAGGACACACCTGAGAACAAGGCCGGAAGACCACGCCGTGATCTCTTCGCATGAGCACACTGCAACCCCTTTCCTGAGATCCGTCCTTGAGGAATAGAAGGGTGATGACCGATTCAGCGCCGCTGTGGAGAAAAATACATGCGATAGCTTCTCCGGCATATGCTTTCATGTCCTGCTGACGGAAGTATTCCGCATTTGAGTACGCGTGGTCGTCATCCATCAGCCTCTAGCCGGATTCAAAGGCGAGTCCGAGAATGCTACCGACCAGATCGGACTTTTTATGCAAGGAATAGAAGTTGAGACGTGCATCGCTTGAGCTGTAGAAGAGCCACGTATCGCCTAGGCCCATCAATTTGAGTCTGCTGTTGAAACATCTGGGCATACCAGTCGAAAGGATGATTTCAGAGACAGAAACAAGTAGTTGCGCTGCTTATCCCACCTTTGATGGGACATTAGCGGCCGCTTGGGAGGAAATTGGCCTCTCCGTGAAGGAAAGAATAAAACGTGAATCACGATCATACATACGGACGAAGAAGAGTATGCGCGCAAGTAAGTATCCAGATTATTCCAAAAGCAGAACGCGGCATGGTGTACCGAAGGGATGACAGATATCACAAAAGGATAGGTATGCATAGATGGTGGGTGTGGATGAACTGGAAGCAGGCTCATTGGGAACTAACTGTACATTTAACTGACGAAACGTACCACGATGGACACATGGATACGCGACGTGTGGGACCTCGAACGAAGTATCATGCCACACCTCGCTCTCTCTGAAACCTCGTTGAATATACTAGATCGCAGGGACATCAACAAACATTGCTGCACTTAGATGCTGAAATATGGCTGCGCTGAATGAGATGTCGGAGCTCCTAAACGGATCATGAGTACAGATTTGTTGTTGGGTTTGAAAGCCACACACCGCATGATTGCCACAGTTACCATGGCGCAGCAATTTCCCACAACTCGTACTCGACCTCAAGCTCGACACCATATTGCGGGAATATTCGAGTAAACAGATCTGACCATTCCTTGTAGCGCGGATATCTGATGTAGAGAGCGTACGTATACTCCCAATATTCTGGAAGCCAGCCTGCGCATTCCCAGTCGATCAGCCCAACGGGTCGCATGTCCTCGTTGAGCAGTATATTGTGCGGGGTGATGTCGCCATGAGTGAAACAGATCCGGTGTGGTCTCGAGTGGCTTGCGGCGGCCATCACGCCGTGCGTCGCCTCGTAACCACTCACCAGCTCCTCATGAAATTCTTTCTGCGAGGCGAAAGGCCCAACATACTCGTCATGTCTGATGCGATAGCTTTTGATCCCATTGCCACCAAACCCGCAAACCGCATCCGGATCTGGAGGCTCGAGAGCTCTGAGCTGGCCGAACCAGTCGCGAAGCGTGTCCTCGAGAACCTGTAGCTGACGAGGCGAGAGATTCCTTATGTGGCCTGCGCTCTTGCCTAGCTCCTCGCCGGGTACTCGCGTCATCAGTATGTAGACCTGATCGCGCCAGAAAGGGACGACGTCGAGAATTCTAGGAACAGGGATTGTTGTGTGCTCGCGAACGTACTGAGTGGCCAAGACCTCTTGTGGGTAGGCTTTCTTGAGATACAGGCCAAATGGCAGGGGCATCACACGCGCAGCATGTTCGCCGCGACCTAAACGCCGCGAAAGCTTCCATATAGTGGTATATACTCTCCCGCGCAGGCGTTGTAGAGAGGGATGTTGCAGTAAAGACCATACAAAACTGTGCATTCGTGATGAACGATGTCTGTAGCATTGAGCCGATAGTAACTTACTTCAAGTTCAAGTTGGTCATTGTTTAGGACACGAGGAATTTTGCAGCAACGAAGCCTGACGCCGGACGGGGGAGAATGGGAGAGGGTCTGTGGGCTGGTGCTCGCTCCGGGAACGCCCGGCCGTAAGAGGCCGCTTGCCAGTGAGGTCGGTCTTTTGAGGCGGCGCTCTAAATGTCAATGTGAGGAAGCAGCGGAGGCCCACGCACTGGCACTTGGTGCTTGAGATGCGCCTGCTAGTCGAGCATCTCACCTCGCTGCGGCGCTATTGTTCGTATAATGGTGATCCTTCCTTCGGGGACCTTCGACCCTTGGCATCTACCTGGACAGCGTAGTGTAAGGTTCGGCGAGTCTTCGCAGCCCTTCTCACAGAGCTTGCTTCCGATTCAACCTCAAGTATAATTGATACCAATGACTAGACTAACTATGGGCCATCCAGTTCTTCAAAAGTGGACGACGCGTGTATCTGTTTCTCACTGTGAGTCACTTCCGAGCCACCACAGGATCATGTTGCGTTCCCAGGAAGGATTCATATGATGTGCGATCTGTCGTCCACGATGCGAAAACCGGACCTTGGAGCCTGAGAAGACCAAGCGGATCGAGATCTAGTACCCCAAGGCGTAGCCTGCTGTTGGGAAAATAATAAAGTGCGTCTTAGGTTTTCCAACAGGATATGAGGCAGAATCAAGGCACACTAATGCACATAACATCGTGCCAAGCCTGTTTGCGTTTTCTTGTCGATGGTATTTCCTACTGCAATCTCGAAGTCGAGACGCGATCGCAGACAAGAGCGATCGCCTGCGAACATAATCCGTACGGCCGGTTGCGAAAGCAGCAGTACTACGCAGTACCATTTAGAATCGCTAACCTTCAAACACCTCAACATATATGACGATATGGTGACAAAAGTTATGATTGTAACGAGTTTCTCGTGTTAACATTTGGGCTGCACTATGCCGATATTCAGGTTACAATCGACACAATGTGACCCTAACTGTGCGGCATGACAAGGCGGTAGGAGGTACGCACGATACCGCCCATAACTTCAGTCATTTATCGGCAAGCCCTTTGACAAACCCGTGCTCTAGTGAGAAAATGTACTTTATTTCACGCCTCATTTCAATCCGATAAACGCCCTGAGAGTTAGAGATTCCGGTAGCCCACGGCCGAGATGACCCTGCTAATCAAAACCATAATTCCTTTATGCGTGTGCACCAATACTTGTTGCCCATAGAATTCTTCTGACAAACAAGGCCAACGATATGATTGCGGATGCTTTGTACATAAGGCACATCCGCATAAACGGAGCCGCAGTCAGTCTCTTCAGAACATCTGTTGTCTGCAATGCGTTCTCAAGGTGCGCACACACTCGGTGTTCGTCGTGCCGACTATGTAGATGTCGGCTTAACGTGATGCAGCGCTCATCTCTGAGGTGGTCTTCAACGTCAACTCTATCGTCGCCGCACTCTTCACGCGCGGAAGAGATGAGGGATTCCATTGGATGCTTGCCCTTCCTGGCGCTGGAGAGGAGCCTGGTGC